TCCACTGGCTGGCGCTCGTCCCTCGTCCCTTGCTCGGCGGGCGCCCAACAATAAGTAATGCCGGTGTTGATGCCTGACGCCTTTCCCGCCTGCTGTCTTTGACGCGATTGGAAACCAAACCTACTGAGCGAGCTCCTCTCTCTAGTGCCTTGAGGAGGAGGCACTTAATGGATAGGCTCCTTTTTATCCCCGGGTTCAGTACCGGAGTAGTGTCATCGTTCCGAGCATCGAAAGGGGAGGGAAAGAGAGAACAGCCCTAACCGGTCCAGACCAGGAAGACTTTCTCAACTGTGGAATACAAGTGGTGACCTGAGGGCGTGGAGTGCCATAGTCATCCCTGCTCCCGCCCAGCTACTATCTCTTATTATTCAAGTGTTGGATTCTTTCATCCGGACAACACGTTGTAATGTAATATCCTGAGAACCAGGACCCAGTCTTGCCGGTGGATTAAGCATACTGCCAAATATCCATAGCTTCCATTAATTTATTCATTTAAACTGTCTGACTGATACCATCTTTGGTCTCAAAAGGTGTTCGTTTGTGTGTTTGCTATTTAATCTCTGCTGATAAATTGATTCCACCATTTCCTACTCTTATACCAATGCAGGAATGAATCACCTTTCCCCGGTTTCTCTAGAACCAGGTAGAATATTTGTGAATTATTCTTTATATTACACTCACCCAAGCTAATATTTGCAAGGCAAGGTTGATACATTTTTAATATGATTTGGTTGGCAATATAGGAGCCTGGTGGCGCAGCAGACTAAAGCACTATTATTAACATCAAGCTGTCTGCAATTACTGTAAGTTCAAATCTCACCAGGCTCAAGGTTGACTCAGCCTTCCATCCTTTCTAAGGTAGGTAAAATGAGGACCAGATTGTGGGGGCAATAAGCTGAGTTTGTATAAATATACAAAAAGTATGAAGGCTATTGCTTAACGCAGTGGTTCTCAACCCCTTTGAGGGTCGAATGGCCATTTCACAGGGGTCGCCAAAGCCCTCTCTCGCCCCCCCCCACGCCTTCACTCACCCTCACCCTCTGCCTCTGTTGGATCGCTGGTCGCAGGTCGCTTACCCCGCCCACTCCCAATCTATTGCTGCCTCCTGAGTCCCAGCTGATGGCTAGAGGGAAACAAACCATTTAAATTCTTGCTGCGGGGCTTCAAAGGGCCACCCTACATCTGATCAGTGTTAAAAGAAAACAAATGAGAAGACTGGTGCCTGCAAAAATAGAAAAAAACAGCCCCTTTCAGCTTCAGCATAGGTTAATTACCATAAGTAGACTTGATCAGCCTCCGGACTCTTTTGCGGAGGGCTCTGTTGCTAGCTGCAAAGAGAGGAGCAGATTTCTTTTCCCCTAGCTATGCTGAAAAAACGAAACTGAAAGTAAAGCCGGGTCTTTGTTGCAACGTGACAAAATGAGGCAGAGAGATTTTTCTTTTTCTTTTTCCTCACCAAAAAAGGTAGATGCAAAACTGCAAACAATGGGAAATTTAGGGCAAAAGAGGAGGTTCAAGATTTTAAAACACAAAAGAAAAAAAGCTCTATTTAAATAGGGAATTGTAATAATTGAGATACTATTAATTGTATATTGTGTTGAAAGCAGAAATGGTTAAGTTGTAGTTTGGAGGAATATATGGGGGAAATTATTTGATTTATTATTATTGGTAAATATAATTAATTGATTTGTAAGAAATTGGATTGCATGGAAATAATTGGAATATTCACGTTCATATTGATTGATATACAAAAAAAGATAGTTTTATAACTAATTGATTTATATTAAAATGTTGAATTTGTATTAAACAACTGTATTACATAATTACATAATGGATGGATATAAAAATAGATGACAATGGGAAGGGGTATAATATAGAATAGAAGGGAAAAATTGAATTTGATTAAGATTAGAGATAAGGATGAAGGGTAATATTGGTTTTTTTTAAAAATAGATGAGGAATAAATATGGCAAAAAGAAAATACAGAAATTGTAAATTTAATTGAAATGACTAAACACTGTTTAAATTTGTGAACCGGCCAAATACTCTGTTCAAAGAAAATACATTGTATGTTTGTATGTGTATTTCTAATTATTGCTATTTATTCATATTTATTCTCTTTTATTCTTTAAAGTTTAACAATTCATTCTTTATCTTAATATCTTTATATTTGTTTGGGGTTGGTTTTCTTCCCTTTCATCTTTTTTATTGTACAACAATCTTTCTCCTCAAACTTACCACCTCTCTCTTTTCTTTCCTTCTTACTTTCTCTTCCCCCCCTCTTCCTCTCCTTCCTACTTCCTCTTCCTTTCTTCTTCTCCTCCTCTCTTCCTCCCTCTCTTACCCTCACTCCTACTCTAATTTCCCTTCCCTTCCTTCATCCCTCTCTATTGCTGTATGCTTTTATGCATATGGACTACTCAGAGGGCTGAAAAAATTATTTTTGACTGGTCCTCGCACTTTTGACCAGTCCTTGAACTTACGACTGTCCTCACATTTTACGTTTTTGTCCTATCTTGTCACCATGGTGAAGAGAAGCAGTTGTGAAATGAGTGACACGGTTGTTAAGAATGCTACAATGGGCATGATGACCAGTCATAAGTGCGAAGACTGGTCAAAAGTGCGAGGACCTGTCATAAATCACTTTTTTCAGCCCTCTGGATAGTCCTTTTGTGCACATGGACTACTCAGAGGGCTGAAAAAGTTATTTTTGACTGGTCCTCGCACTTTTGACCAGTCCTCGAATTTACGACTGTCCTCACATTTTACGTTTTTTGCCCTATCTTATCACCATGGTGAAGAGAAGCAGTTGTGAAATGACTGACATGGTTGTTAAGAATGCTGCACGGGCATAAATGTGAGGATGGTCATAAGTGTGAGGACCAGTCAAAAGTGCGAGGATCTGTCAGAAATGACTTTTTTCAGCTCTCTGAGTAGTCCCTATACACATAGCCATGGCCACCCGGTCACATGACCAGCTAGGCACACCCACCCAGTCACATGACCTCCAAGCCATGCCCACAAAATAAGCCACACCCACAGAACCAATAGTAAAAAATTTTAGAACCCACCCTTGATTGGGGGTCACCACAAAATGAGGAACTGTATTAATGGGTCACGGCATTAGAAAGGTTGAGAACCACTGGCTTAACGCATTGTAAGCTGCCCTGAGTCTCCGGAGAAGAGTGGCATATAAATCAAATTATATATATGAACTGATGAGGTTATAAAGTATGTTAAACATATAAATTCAGCCAATTATGGTTTAGTTAATAAACAATTCTGAACAATGTTTAGAATGACATATGAACTTAAGCTTGATATAGAGTTGCCGGCAATTGCATGTAGGGGTTGTTTGGTAAGCATAGGCTGCAGACCTTCAACACACACACCTCCCAAATTTCAACTGTGTGGAGGTGCATGTCCTATGTGCTGATTGGTTGAGCCAACTTCCTGTTCTGTGCTTTGCTATTTGAGTGCCCCCTAGCCAGAGCATTACATTTGCAGAAATATAAATGGAACTATGCAACCATCCCAGAATGACAAATACATATACTTGTATTCCCTGATGTGCAGTGCTGGAGGATTATGCGCGATCCTTCGCTAAAATGAATTACCTCCAACTTTATGATGTCTGATAGATGTAAACATGGTCTACTAATAAGTAAAATTAATCTGTATTAAAGCCAAACTGTTTTGCTTAGATCTATGGGGCTGAGTATTTATAAACCTTTAGACAACGATCTCTTGTGAAAGTTAGTTCTCACATGAGTGAAAGAAAACCATATTAGAACAGGCCGTTACTAGAACAAGAACAAATAAAAACTGTATCTCCTGAACACAAAATAATTACTTCTGGCTCTTTACATATTGTGGTCAGAAAAAAGGAGGCATAGAAATTTGAACGCTGATTGTATAAATAAATCTTCTGTACAAAGCTGTGTAAGTCGTCAAGAGTTTGTTGTTGTAGCTTCTTAGCTTTACTGCCATAAGAATTGAATTATCACAAGTTTCTGGATTCTTGATTGCCCACTTAATTGCTTCCCGAGAATCCTTTTAGGAAAAACCTGATGTCACACTGTTTTTGTTGTCATACACTATGTATATTATTCTTATAAATACCCAGTAAAAGTTACAGTCTTTTGTGTTATATATTTCTTTGTTTTTAATGAGTTGGTTTTTAAAATGTATTCAGTAATACTGGTATATGTAGAAAATTAGAAAGTCCTTATGAATATCAACAAAATTATAATTAGTGTTCAGTTCAGCAAAGAGCTGAAATTCACATCCAGTTCTGTTCAAATGCTGCTTAAACCTTAATGGCAAGAGATCAGTTACACATATTTGTACTTTATCCTTTTGGCTTTCAAACTGTTCTCTTGTTTGCTTAAGGTTTCTAATTTTACAAAAACAGATTTATGATTTAACCAGATTGCTAACTATAGGTTAATTTAAGAGCTGAGAAAGGTGACTGAGAGAGGTGACAAAGAAGATAATTATAGAGATCAGTTCTCTTAATTCCTTTTGTTGTTAATCTGAGGTTGATGATTGTCCTCAGTTGCCAACTCTTGATGTCAAATTAGTTCTTGCTTTCTCCTTAAATTATTGCTTTTCTGTGATTACATTAAGACAGTTATAGTCACTCCCAGTATTGTCTCTATTTAACTTTTCTCCATAACTAAGTTACTTTATAAAAGCAGAAATTAGAATCAAAGGTGTTTAAAATAAAAGGAAATCAATTGTTTTTTTTGAACTATCTGATTCCTTATGATTTCTGATTTCCTTGAATTGTTGCTTTACAATGTTTTTTTTAAAATATAAGAAGTCTGTTTACACAAATTACATTTGAAGAGTTAGCCTTAACTAAGATCTGATTTAGTAGTATTATACTTGCAAAATTTGTTGATGCTCTTTTTTCCTTTGCTCCTCTCCCTGCATGTAATTTGACACTATAAAATGGGGAAGTTTGTACATTGGAAGGCAATAAAACATAAGGGTGATAGAAGCTGAAATAAGTTTATTGAACAAAGCAAATTAATAATTTTAATGGCAAGATATAATATTCATGGACAAGGCAACTAATATGAAATGTTAACGTTTAATAGAAAATAGAACACAACAGAATAGAATATTGGCCAAATGTAATTGGACATACAAGGAATTTGTCTCTAGTGCATAAGCTCAATATAGGAAATGACCAGACTAAGCCTGAGGGAGAGGTCAAATGTGTCATCAGTCATGAGTCCCTGCACACCCATAGGATATCTAAGTCCAACCCACTTTTAATTCCTTTGACCCTTATGTAGCGCCATTTTGTTTTGACTTTTAGTAGCTGAGAATCTTGTAGAAAGCTTAAGTTTGCAATAAATCTTTATACTCATTAAACTGCCTGAATCTACTAATTTCCACAGTGCTTGACCCTCTTAGTGTACAGGTAATCCCAGGTTATGAGCATTCCCTTAGCGATCTGTCCCCCTGGAAGCTCCATTTTGGCCTGCAATGGGCCAGGTGAGGCCTGCGGAGGCCCGAATAAAACTGCAGAGGGCACATGTGGCTGAGAGGAGACTGCTTGCTAGATCTTCACAAGGTAAGTGACCTGGCGCAGCACGTTGGGGGAGAAAGCAATTGTGGCGAGCATGAGATATTTCAATGGTTCAGGGGAGGCCTTGGGTGGTCTTAGGCAAGTGACCTGCTCCATCAGTAGTCCCCCTCTTGGCCTTCCCCACCCTGAAATACCTTGTGCACTTAACGAGCCTCACATTCGCTTAGCGAAGGCATGGGCAAAAGGAGGGAGTGATCCTGTTCAAGGTATGAGATTCACTCCCACGAATCCTTGGATTACGAATGGAATGGGCAGGCTCCATTACATTCATAATTCGAGAACTATCTGTACATACAAGCAACAAGGTAATATAATCAGTGTATATATAAACTGTGTATATATAAATGTACATACAAACAAAAAGGTAATATAAAATACCAATAGGAGAAGGTAGTAGAAAATAATAATAACAACATTATTAATAATAATACTAATACATCAAGAAATTGCAGCTTCCTGCAATAACACCAGCAGAATTACAAAAAACTGCACTACTTGGAACATCGTACATTTTAAGATACTTGGTTGATACCTAGAATGCTGGCAGCAACCCGTATCAACCATCAGCGCCAGTCAATGATGTTTGTGATACATTTTTAAATGTGCAGTTGACTGAGTTTCATGTTTAATGAATAAAATATATAATAATAACAATAATAATAACAACAGCAACAACAACAATAATAATAGCCATACCATATGGGAAAGTATTATTAGCCATAAGGCAGTACTGCGATAATTAGGTGTTCAGCAGAGTGCTGGCATGAGGGTAAAAACTGTCTTTGTGTCAAGTTGTTTTGGCATGCCCTATAGAGGCATCCTGAGGGGAGGTTTCCTATCTTCCTCAGAAAGATACGAAGGATGAATAAAACAATATCCTGAAGATGCCCAATTTAGAAGAAACCAACACCTCTTCTACAGGTCACTTGATGAAAGTCGAGTCCAAAGTCAAATTCACCCATGTAAAGAAAAAACTTTGAACTTTTGGAAACAACTGTGGGAAAACCCAGTGGAACATGACAAAACTGCTTCCTGGATCAAAGATATTCAAAAACAAGCAACACGAAACAAAATAGAGAATATTGTAATAACAACTGATATGGTTGCAAAACAAGTAAAAAAGGTCAAGAACTGGAGTGCACCTGGCCTGGACGAACTGCATGGATACTGGCTAAAACACCTGACCAGCCTCCATCACCGCATGGCCACTCAGTTTGATGAAATGCTTCAAAATGCAACAAGCGAAGAATGGTTAACAGATGGTTGAACATACTTGATAATGAAAGATCCAGAAAAGAGTAGAGAACCAAGTAACTACCACCCAATCACTTGTCTGCCAACAACATTCAAACATTTTACAAGAATACTGGGAAATTCAGTATTCAATCATCTGATGGAAAACAGTTTGTATCTGGTAGAACAAAAAGGAAACAATAAAAAATCAAGAGGAACAAAAGATCAGCTGCTTATTGACAAAATGGAACTAAAAAATGCAAAACGAAGAATAATGAATTTAAATATGGCATGGATAGATTACAAGAAGCATTTGACTCATCACCCCACAGCTGGATTAACGCCTGTCTGGAAAACTTTGGAATCAGCAAAAATATTTGTACATATTTTAAAGCAAATATGCAAAAATGGAAAACAGTTCTAACAGCAAATTGGTGAACATTGGTGAAGTCAACATCAGACGAGGAATCTTCCAAGGGGATTCACTTTCGCCACTACTGTTCAACATTGCATTAATTCCACCAACAATAATCCTACAAACACAAAACTGGGATACCAAATCTCAAGGCAACATGGCAAGATAAACCATCTACTATACACGGATGACTTAAAACTATATGCAAAAAGCCCCACTGAACTTAAATCAATACTCAACACAGTTCAACTGTTCAGTAGCAATATCAGAATGAACTTTGGACTTGAAAAATGTGCTATGCTATACATGCAATGAGGAAAAATGGAAAAAAATAGAAGGAATAGAACTGGGAAATGGAAGCATTGTGAAAGCATTAGCAAAGGATGATGTTTACAAATACCTAGGCATATTGGAAGCAGATAACATCTTGAATGGAAAAGTCAAATGCAAAAGGAATACAACAGGAGGGTCTGCAAAAATATTAAAATCAAAACTGAATGCTGGAAACATAATTAAAGCCATTAATACATGGGCAGTTACAGTGATACGCTACCCAGCTGGAATCATCAACTGGACTGTGGCTGAACTGGAAAACCTGGACTGGAAAATGTGTAAACTTTTGAATATGTATCATGCTTTACAGCCACAAAGTGACATCGACAGGTTGTACTTGTCAAGAAGAATAGGAGGCAGAGGGCTACTGCAAAGCCATCAAACTGTAGAAGAAGAAAAATGAAGTTTGAATGAACCAAAGTACAGAAAAATTGCTGCAGCCTGTGAAAACAGAAAACATATAAACAACAGAAACAAAGACAGAATATAAGGAAAAACAGCTGGATGACAGATTAAATGGATGGAAAACCAAAGCTTTGCATGGACGGCACCTGAAAAACATTAAAGGAAAATGCAATAACAACTTGACATAAGCATGGCTTAAGATGGGAACCATCAAGAAGGAAACAGAAGGTTTAATTAATACTAGCTGCTCAAGATAAGCACTACAAACTAATGCCATGAAAGCAAAGATACAAAAATCCACTGACAATCCAAACTGCCAACATTGCCAGGACAAAGTTGAAACTGTTTTACATTTAATATGTGAGTGTAGCAAAATCGTGCAAACTGATTACAAAGCTAGACATAACCAAGTTGCTAAATTAATTCACTAGTCATTATGTAAAAAATACGACTTACCTGTATCCGAAAAGTCATGGAAACATAAAGTGGAAAAAGTTGTTGAAAATGAGAAGGTGAAGATCTTGTGGGACTTTCGAATACAGACGGATCGTCATTTGGAACACAACATGCCAGATATCACAGTTGTCGAAAACCAAGGCATACAATTTATTGATATTGCTCTACCAGGAGATGCCAGAGTCTAAGAAAAAGAACTGGAAAAAAATCACAAAATATCATGACCTGACCATCGACTACGCAATTATGTATGAAACATGTAACTGTGATACCCATTGTCATTGGGGCACTTGGTACCATGTCCAAGAATTTTACAAAATACATCAAGAAATTGCAGCTTCCTGCAATAACACCAGTGGAACTGTAAAAAAATGTGCTACTCGGAACATTGTACATTTTAAGAGTTTCATCTTTAATGAATAAAAGAATAATAATATAGCCACACCATATGGGTAAATATCATTAGCCATAAGGCAGTACTGTGGTAATTAGGTGTTCAGCAGAGTGCTGGCACAAGGGGAAAAACTGTCTTTGTGTCAAGTTGTTTTGACATGCCCTGTAGAGGCGTTCTAAGGGGAGAAGTTGAAACAGTTTGTGTCCAGGATGTGAGAGGTCTGTAGATATTTTCTCAGCCCTCTTTCTGACCCATGCAGTATACAGGTCCTCAATGGAAGGCAGGCTAGTTACAATTATTTTTCCTGCAGTCCTAACTATCTGTTGAAGTCTGTACCTGTCCTGTTTGGTTGCTGTACCAAACCAGACAGTCATAGAAGTACAAATGACAGGCTCAATAATTCCTTTGTAAAATTGTATCAACAGCTACTGGGACAGTCTGAACTTTCTGAGTTGATGCAGGAAGAACATTCTTTGTTGTGCCTTTTTAACGATGGTTCTAATATTATTGTAAGTGTCCATTTCAAGTCCTGGGAGATTATAGAACCCAGAAATCTGAAGCTTTCTACTGTATTGTCTAATATTGTAAGAGGTGGTAGAATAGGAAGGCTCCTCCTAAAATCCATTTTCATCTCTATAGTTTAAGTGTGTTCAGCTCCAGATTGTTCCAACTGTACCACAGGGCCAGTTGTTCAACCTCCCATCTATATGCAGACTCATCACCATCTTGAATGAGACCGATGATATCTACAAACTTCAATATTTTAACTGAGGGATCCTTTGAGATGTAGTCATTGATATATAGAGAAAAAAGTAATGGAGAGAGACAGCACACAACCCGGGGGGTGGGTGGGTAGGGGCTGTTGAACAAGTATTCAATATGATTTTATCTAACTTTGTTGATCAGGATTTTGATAATTCTGGTAATGGGTCAAAAAGTTCTTATGTTGAAATGGCAGAATTAAAGGTCAGGTCTTACTGGCTTTTAGAGATATGGAAAGTTCCATAAGAAACCATAAGCCTGTGGCAATGGTGGGTTTCTACCAGTTTGCCCCGGTTCAAGTGAACCGGTAGTGGTGGCGGTGGGAGGCTCCGCCCACCTGCCCGGATGTCATTATGGACGCTCTGCACATGTGCAGAAGTGCTGCACGTGAGCGAAGCAAGCGTGCACACACACATGCTCACAATTCCAAACCAGTAGCAAAGGTAAGTGGAACCCACTACTGGCCTGTGGGTTAAATATGTGATTCAAACAGCAGAAGGTATACATGAGCATTTTTTATAACGTCTCTATCTTATTCACTGTGTGCTTATTTCCTTATGTAACCAGGTAAAAATAAGAAATCTATATATACTTGCTTCAAACTGCATTCAGGGTTTTTCCAATTTACGGGAGGACCCACCTTTGTTCAGCTGAATAAATGTGCTTTTGTGTTAAGAGAGATAACCTGGACTCCACGTCTTTGTTCACACCAAGCCACACCTGATTCCTGCCTAATATTTTAACTTGCTGCTTTCTATCTGTCAGAAAGCTTATAATCCACCTACAAGTGTGGACAGGCACAGCTAGCTGAGTTAGTTTAGAATGGAGAATTTCTAGGATGATGGTATTGAATGCCAAGCTGAAGTCTACAAAAAGGCCTTGCATAGGACATTGAGGATTCAAAATGGTGCAAGATGTAGCGTAGCATCATATTAATAGCATAATCTGATGATTTATTTGCACAGGCAAACTGCAAGGGGTCCAGCAGTGGATCCATGATGATTTTCAGGTGGGCCAACACTAACCTTTCAAAGGTTTTCATAACTAAGTGTCAGCCCACATCGTCGGGGCTGTTATTCCGGTGGGAACCGAGGTAGACAGAGTATGTAGCCCCATGTTCCTGCCCGTATATCTTGCCTTCCCATCACTTGCCTCCTCCTGCATACAGACAGTTGAATCCTCTTCTTTCAGCTGTTCACAGGGCCTCCAGCTGAGGGCGGATAGGACTGCACTTGCATGGATGAGGTGCTGGCTGTGTTAGCCAGCATTAACAGAGGCTTACCAGACCTATCCCAATCAGAATGGCCCCAACGAACCAGGACTAATTGCACTGAATTACTGGCCAGAGGAAGGCAGCTGGAGCCCTCCAATCAGCACAGGGATTTGGAGTGGAATCTGGGGGAGGAGTAAAGGGGTGGGCCGTGCTAGGTTTAAAATGGAAAGGAAAAGCACAATAAGGTTAGAGCTGACAATATTTCACTGTAATTGCACTGGGTGATTGTCGGAGCATGCCAAATTTAGGAAGATAAAACTTTAGAACAATATCCATCCTATTGTCTGCGATTTATTTTCTCATCCTGATTCGGAACCTGACATACAGATGCCAGAGCAACTGGTCTGTAGTCATTCAGCTCCTTGATTGAAGGTTTCTTGGGAACCAGGATGATAGTACAGATATTCCTTGAGCTACGACATTTCACTTAGCGACCATTCAAAATTGCAACCCCAAAAGTACTTACTACATGATCCCGAAGTTATGTATGTTGGAACACCACAGCGGTTGTTCACCCTTATGACTGATCATAGAGACTCTGCAACATGCCCCATGCCTATTCCTCCCCCACTCTGCCCCACCAAGGCACCGGGCCTGTTTTGCTAGCCTCACAGATTCCATTTGCTCCTCCCCACCCCATTTCCGATCACTCACTTACCTTTTGAAGATTTCCAGAGTTCCAGAGAAGGCTGACTCACGTGGCAGAAAAGCAGCAGTCTTTCACTCAGATGCTGGTGAACCTGTAAGAATGTGAGATCTAAGCAGGGGTGAAATGCTACCAGTTCGGACTGGTTTGCCTGAACCAGTAATAATAAAAGCTACCGGTTCAGGCGAACCAGTAGTAAAAAAATGTTACTGGTTCAGATGAACCGGTATTTCCGATGATCAGCTGTGCCGCATGATTTATATTCGCTAGAAAGCAGGAAATCCTCCTTTCTAGTGAATCTAAATCGCGCAACACAGCTGTTTTCCCCCCTTGCTGTTCTACTTACCTTAGAAAAGGCTTCTTAAGCCTCCTTTTTCAGTGTTTAGTGCGCACGAAGCATGCGTTTGGCGCATTTGGTGCGCATGAATGCGCGCAGCGAACCAGTAGCAGACTTCAGAGCATCTCACCCCTGGATCTAAGGATAACAGCTTTGCCAGCATCTGAGTAAAAGACTGCTGCTTTTCTGCTACAAAGCCAGCGTCCTTGCAGGCCTCATTTGGTCCCGACCTGGGCGGTGTTGCAGCAGCCTCCTGCTTGCTGCTGGTTTGAATGAGCAGCTTTAGGGATTGGGGCGTGAAGGCAATAGCAGCAATCAACATGGAGCGTGCCGTTCAGCCCGATGAGATAAAGGAAACAAACGTCTCAATGACTCTCAGAGTGCTAATAACCAGATGACTGCAAAGAATATAAATCCTTCCATTCTCCACCATTCATTCAGAACTGAAGAAGCTTCTTGGATGAGAAGTGAAATGTCTTCAAGCAAAAACAAAGAAAGACCAGTTGCCTTTTATAAAAGCAACTTTGGGACCACCATGACCTGAATGATTGAGAATCTCCATAGATATCAGTGAGTTCAGCCAAGTACATTGAGGAATTGAATACAGAACATAATATTTTATATCTTCAGCTAGTGGAGCTCCATTTTATCAAAAGCAACAACAAACAACAGCAAAGTTTTCCTGGGTAGTGATAGCCAATATTCTTTCTTCAGGAATCAGATCCAAACTGAAAAGGCCTTGGGAAGGACTTGAAAGTTATATAGTATACTACTAAAAGTTCTACTTAAGAACATATATAGTTTATATGTCTTGCCTATTAGCTAGCAAAAGCTTTATAAGACAGTACCAGCTCTTACACCAGACTTTCCATACTACAGAAGGATGACTCAGTTAAAAAAAAAGATAATACTCTTGAACTAGGCTGCCTCAGAAGACGAGAAAAAAGCTCTGAAAAATAGCCAGAGGGAACTGGGGAAGGAAATGAAAAGCTTAGAGACTTTCTTTAAAACCTGATACCTTACTACGTCATGTTATGTGTAAGAACAGGAGAACATAGAGGAAAATCTGGCACATCATCCTTAATAGACCCACTTCAGTGTGTTAATTATGGCGGCACAGTGGTTAGAATGGTGGACTTGTGGTGGTGCAGTAGTTAGAATGCAAACTAACTCTGCCCAGGAATTCAATCCTGACTGGCTCAAGGTTGACGCAGCCTTCCATTTTTCCAAGGTTGGTAAAATGAGGACCCAGATTGTTGGAGGCAATATGCTGACGTTGTAAACCACTCAGAGAGTACTGCAAAACACTGTGGAGCAGCATCTAAGTCTGTGCTATTGCTATTGCTAATTATACAATTATCTAATTACTCCTATGGCTTTATTAGTTCCACTTTTAACCAAGTACTCCTTTTTTTCTCTCTTTGTGCACAGACTCAAGTTCCTCCCACTTAATTTGATGAAGTATTCACAGATGACAGTGACTGGGCATCTTAGACAAGCTAATTTTGAATAGCTAAGGGGAAAACAAGTACACACCATTCAATAGGACTCCTTTCCCTATTTTCCCTAAGGTCCTAAAGCAGAGCTGCCAAACTTACGGCCCATGGGCCGTATGCATCATACCGTTTAGCGAAGGGGGGAAAAAGTCCTGATATGTCACGTGACGCTGCCATGATGACACAAGTTTGACACCCCTATCCTAAGGTAATAAAGCAGCTAGACTCAGTGACTTATGAACACAGTGTTCTGCTAATTGCAAAGCTATACTGAAAAATAAATATTTTACCCTCATTATCGCATTTGTGATCATGGTTCCTTTTGGTCTTCTAAGATTTGTTTTCTACAGTTTCTTTTCTGGTTCTCAAAGTTTGATATGCCAACTATCTGATAAGATGTTGATATGCTTCTCTCACTTTCTGATAATGGCTTCTTGAGCTCTATTTCACCGATACTATTTCACAAGTAAGATAGAGCGTGGCCTTTTTTAAAAAAATTGTCCCATTGTGTGGCATTATATTGGCTTCTAAACATTTTGTTGTTATACTGAATTTATGTAAAGAAGTACAAAAAAAATCACACAAGAATTTAATTATACTTCCTACTTTTACAGAATTAATAATTTTCTTTTAGTAGTACGGTATATAGTAGTTACAGAAAAGCATACTAATAGTTAATATCTCTGCTTATCTTGGTGTCACAAAAATGGCAGATTTAGTTTGACAAACTGCATTGTTTTTCTTCTCCTCCTACACCAACATTCCATGCTTTACTATTACTTCTATTTAAAACTTTTATTAATATACCTGCAGTTTAAACTAATTGAAATCATGATGTTGTCAGGTATCCAGATGTCAAATACATTAACTTTTTTATTGTGAGAAAGTCTAATACATTGTAATGTAAAAATATGTTAACAGCAGTTAAAAAGTCCTAGACTAAAAACAGAGACTGTGAGTTATGGTCCTCCCTCAGGCACAGAAGCTGAGTAGATGACTTTGAGTCAGTAGCTCTCCCTCAGCCCAGCCCAACCCCACAAAGTTTTTGTAAGAGGAGGAAAGGAGCATTATATCCACTTCCTTGAGTTGTACAAAAGAAAGGTGAATAGAGGTGGGATATAAACTAATAAATAAATAAAATATGCAAATAGGCACACACATAATCTTGATCTAAATACTTCCTTGCCAGCCTACAACTTTATTTTCAGAACAGTAGTTAACCTGCTTTTGTCCCCAAGGTCAAGACTTAATTATAGCTTTAATTACTGTAAATCTATTGGACTGTAGATCTTTCAGTATTATCTTAGAAACAAACGTACTTGCAAAAACCACGGCAACTCCTAGCCCCAAACTCATCACTGACATCAATCAGATATCAATAGTACAAGATTCCCATTATAGTGTTTGATCGTTTGTCCAATTATTTATTTATATTAGACTGTTTGGACTTCCAGGGACCCCCTATCTATGGCTCTAACTCAGAATCCACCCACCAGTTACTTGGTTTTATCTTATTGGATTAGGTTCAGCCTTCTGCTTTATTTCCCAAGCACGCTCTCTCGCAGCCGAGCAATGCACACGGAGACCAGTCTCTACAGAAGAAGAGCCGTATTTAAGTTATAGCGACAAAAATTAGGAGTCTAGTAATGCTTTTTTCAACTGACAAAAATTATTAAAAGGCACAAACTCCTTCGGATTATCTGTCCCAGAGACCCAGAAAGATTTGTAAAATGACATCACCGCGCCGAGTTTTCCTTCCACTTTTCTGTTTTCCGGCTTACGTGTCACATGATGGCCGTATCCCAGAATCCCTCAATCAAGATGGTAGCCTCCTGGAGCTGAAGAGGCACATGTTTGTACGGGTGTCGGATACATCGTTTTTTGCAAGATCTCTTGCTTAGTTTACCGTCATCGTCTCCCAAAATACCTTCTTTGTTGTTGTTTAAATTGTCGAACACATGAAGACCAAATCGTCAGCTCATAAGACTGAGAACACGCATCGGGTGAGACACGGGTGCCAGATCAATTTAATATTTGATTTACCGCAAAGGAGAATTAATAGATGCGTTGCTGTTAATTTAATCCTGGATACGTTATTGAGTTAGACCTGAAATTGTGACATCTATTTTCATTTTAGAATTATGAAATTAATAGCTGTCTTTAGTGATACTAAAGACTATCTAAATCGTTAGTTTGCGAATGAAAATAATGTCCATTCTGGTTGCCCATCCAGTTGCATATACATTATAATAATGTTTAGTTTAACAGAGGAATCATCTACAATTGGGTGAAATGAGCAAATTCGTCCAGACAACAATTTACAGTACTAGATTGGGAAGGCTCCTATTTGGGGACTGGAGCAAGTTTTTCAGCCAACTGTCACTATTTTAGGCTTAAAGCATACTATTACTATTAATTATTATCCAGAATGTGGAACATGTGGTTAAGTGCAAAAAAGGACTAATTCATATTGACATGTGTCAATATCAGAAAGTTATAGTGTATGTATAGGCCATGTGTTTTCAAGCATGCCATTATAAGAAAAATATTTTAAAGATGCAGTGGCATCAGATTTGACAAAGTATTTTTTTTACAATGTGATTTCATGAATTACTGATATTCAGCCAGAGTATCTTCTCTGTTTTTCTTGTAGTTCCTCACTTTTTCAGAACGTTTAAGCAATGTAAACATTGACATTATACATCGCATTGATAGAACAGGAAGCTATGCTGAGGTAAGACCAACAGTCTTAAAATCATATTGTCTTTGTGAGAATATTGCCATATATCATATTCCTTAGTGATAGGAACAGTTCTCTGTCTTATTTTGTTTACTTGCTGAAATAGCTGCCCTTTAGGATTCTTTCATCTCAGCTGATATCATTGTCCTCCCTCTCTCCAAGTCTGGTAACAAGATTACTATCCCTTTTTGGTACATTCTTATATTATTCCCATGATGCAATTAGTTGCCTTGAGTGCCACTGTTTAGAAAGTTTGACGTATACATTAAAGAAGTTCTGTAGCTCCCCTGTACAGAAGAGGAACTATGGCAGAAACACATATGGGCCTCATTGTACCACATCTCAAATTACAAGTGTGCGTGCGCATGTGCATAAAATATATATATATAAATTATGGCATCATGGAAGAATTGTTGTCATGGCTATGTACCTTGAATTGAGAAAATTTATTGAATGGATTCTCATTATTTACTCTTAAATGCTATGATAAACACTATTGTTTTCAATTCAGCAGTAATTATAATATAGATGCATTTAGATCTGCCTATTTTAGGCAGATCTGCAACATGTCAAAATCAGCTTCTGAATACGATTGTTTAGTTTTAAAAAGAAGAAACAATTTTTTTAAAAATGAAGGAAAATTTACATACATATCCCATTATCTTATATAATGCTGACATGTTTACGATTTCATGTAGTGTAATGAAAGATCTGGCTGTAAAATACTGTTATTAATTTTAGTGACAATTTACATTAACTGTAGAAAGTCTCTTCCTAATGTTCCTATTTTTCTCTACTCTTTTCTTCTCACTCTTTCTTTCTTGGTAGTAAAACAGTGAAAACAAGCAATAGAAGGAAATTAATATCTTACTGTAACAAAAATTGGCACTTGGCTTTCTACCGTCAAATCATTACTATTGGATTATAAAATATTGCCATCGTCATTGATTTACTAGGATTTTCAGTTCTTTTTGTAATTCATTGGCAAATCATTTCAAGTTATATATGCAAGATAATAACCACTGGAATATTTTAGCGTTTTTTTTGTTATATACCACAAAATATCGATCTACCATAGAAAATATTGTTTGTATGCCTTATACTTTGAAAAATAATATGTATGTCTACTGATTAATGTATATGCTTGATTTTGTTAGGAGGTTGACACCTATTTCCATGAAGGACTTGAGAAATGGAGAGAGCTGAATCTGACATGGCATTTTGGTATACTCTTTTTCCCCCAAAAATTTTTTTTATATTGCATTTCACTCAGAAATCCAAGTATTTACAATAACAAATTCAGTAATACATGGTTACTTTATCCCATTGTTTCTGCTACTTTCAGTTTCTAAACTAAGTCTTCAGTTTTTGGTTAGCATCAAGTCAAAAATAGTTTTTCTATGCTTTCCTCCTCCCTCTATAAAAACAGAGTTGTCTTGTAAGACAGCCAGGAATTTTCTGGAAGGATTATGTTTGGCTACATAACAAATTTTAAGTAATTTCCACATTATCCACATCTCCTCTTAGATTGGATGGACAGTAATATACCAAAAACACTATTACTTTGTTGGTTCCTTCACTTAATTTAACTCTAGAACTTGCTACAACATTGCTTAATTCATCCATTTAGATTTTTGAGCAAGAGTGGATATTTTAAAAATGCAATGCAACTTCTCTCTACTACTTTTTTTTTCTTATTGAAATCATTGCATTCAACTCTTGTGTCAGGTTGTTGTATCAAATAAACCATATTTTCCTATATGTATATATATATATATATTGAACACCAAGCAGGTTTTGCACAGTTTTAACATTAGATTAAATATAGATAGATATTGTGTAGAAGTAGCCTGCCAAAACAATGTATTTCTCTGTCTGTAAATTGATAAATATCTAAATAACTGAAATGTTTCTTGTTAGTGACACATAATGCAAATATAAACCATATAGGATTATTACAGTCTAAATAACTTTTCTAACAACATTTATTAGCAAGCATTTTAGACAGGATTATAATATCTATTGCATTTGTGCAGGATCATCATCTCCTGGTACCAATATAGTAGTACATGTAGTGCTCAACTTACAACCACAATTGAGGCCAAAATTTTTGTTGCTATGTGAAACATTTGTTAAATGAGTTTTGCTCCATTTTACGACCTTTCTTGCCACAATTATTAAGAGAGAGCGAGAGAGAATGAATTACTTATTTTTAATTTTTAAAATTGGAAGATTTCTGATGTGTTCTGTATAAGAAGTAGGAAGAATGAAGAAGTTACCCTTGTTAATTCTTCTTGACTCATCCTCTTGAGTGTATATAACAAGAGCTTTAGCCCTTAGTCCCTTAGCCCTGACAAAAAAGTATCATCCTTTGAATTATTTATAACTATTACTAATTACTTTGCTTTCTCAGTTTTTCCCCTAATTTTTTCCCTAATTTTTATTTTTTATTTCTTTTACATAGTGACATTCTACAGACAGGTAGTCAACAAATGCCAGTCTTTCAATCAAATAGTATACTATCAGAATAATATTGTAAAAAGCTTGAAAACCCACCTGCAAGTGAAAAACAGTCTTGCATTTCAACCCCTTTTGGAGTAAGTATATGTTGTCATCAGATATACATTTTCTTCAGACACAAGACAAGAATGCGGGTATTTTTATCTGTAAATAAAAAGAGTATGATTCTGTGGTACTGAGTGCCTTTAATTTTTTTTAATCCTAATGATTGTTTCTGTTTTATTTACAACACTTTGATTGGTTTCACACAATGCATTAACCGATAATGTGACCTCTTTACTTTTGGTTTAGAGTATGAGGTAAAATCAATTACAGTACAATGTGTAACCAGTCAGTATGAATCATATAATTCACGTAGGCCCTACACCACATTTTAATGTAGAATAGTCCTCTCCAGTCTGATGTTTTCCAGCTGTATTGGATATCAGCAGATATAATCTCTATAGATGTTTATGACCAAATGATGATAGAAATTGGTCCAATGGATCAAAAGGGTAACAGATTGGAAAAAAGTACTATACTGCAGATTAAATACTTCATACATATGCATAATATAATCAACTGACTATTTAATAGTGGAGCAATAATACAAATTATATCTGCTTCTCAAAACTGTAGCTGAGGAATGTTTCAGCTATAAGAATACATTATATAAATACATTGCACTCTAAGCACACAATAGGCCAGCAAAAATTTTCAGGGCTATTTATAATTATTGTTGAATGTATATGTTTGTTACAGGCTGTGTTCACACATTGAACTATGTCATAAAGTTATTTGTTTCATTCTGATTTCGTACTCCATGCAACTTACTATAATTGAAAACCATAGTTTTTAGCTGAACATATTGTGTGAGCCTATCCAATTAAGGGGTACTCAGTTAAACAAACTATAGCTTAATACAGCGTGCAAATGAAGTCATAATTCTGCTATGTGTTTTTTAATCTAGTTTGGTGGTTCAGCTGGCCCGTGATCTTCAGACAGATTTTTATCCACATTTTCAAGATTTTTTTCTCTGCATTACAAGTCTGTTAGAAACTCAGGACACAGAGTTGTTAGAATGGGCCTTTACATCACTTTCCTACCTATACAAATACTTATGGAGGCTTATGGTGAAGGACATGACCAACATTTACGGGTAAGCATTTTGATCAAAAATACTATAGAGGATTTTTGTATACAAGTTTTATTAACTCCCATCATCTGAGTGCTAATCCTTAATTCATTTTACTGACCATGCAAAATATATGCTATACAACTAGCCCTGGAAATACTAATAGTAATATATATGCATATTAGTCTACCCTAAGCTTAAGATGCACCCTAATAATTATTGTCACGTTAATTTTAGCCAAAGTCCTTAATGAACTAGAACCCTAACTCCATAACTCAATGTAAATCTAGTTCTAGAAGAAAATCTCAACCGTAACGTATATCAGGGTCTGTCAGTAATCTTAAACACGTCTCCTAATTCTTATGTCATTAATTTTAACCAAAGTCCTTAGTGTACTAGAACCTTTCACCACATGCAAAAGCAAATACATATCTTAAAAAATAACTTTGGAAGAATATCTATGCAATAACATTGATTAAACATACATATCTCCTTCATTTTATAGAACTCAAGATGGTGTACTAATGCTTGCTCCTTCTATTTTTTCCATAACAACAACCCTGGGAGATGCATTGTGTTGAGAAAATGTCTGACCCAAAGACATTCAGCCAGTTCTTCTGCCTAAGAGAGAACTAGAATACATAGACTCTGTTTTCCAGTCCAGCCCCTAACTGCTATATAAACTACCATTCCATAAAACTAAATAAACTTAAATCAATGATTGGTACAAGCCATAAAAATTCTTCTAACACTTATTAATTTTAAACAGAATGCACAATGGACCAGAACCCTATCCCAAGAGGAAAATTTTGTCACATTAATCATATAAATATCATATTGTAAACTACTTGGGAAACTGTTTTGAATGAAAACCTTTAATATCTAATATAGAAATATTCACATGTTCAGAATTATGATTTCAGGCAGGCACAGAATGTGGTTTTGGTAAGGAATTGGGTGTCCATCGAAGGTAAAGGAAATATACCTGCAACCTGGTACAATTATGTGCTGAGAGCAAAATCTAACTATTCCTGACAGAAAACTCAATACTTTGGTGCGGATATTTAAACCATTTTAGATTTAATAGATTACTATTTATTTAGTCATCAATTGTTCCATTTGCCTTTCATACCTGTATTTGTTTAATATCTTATGTGTGTATGATATTAGGTTGTAAAAATGTCCAGTATAATGAATGAATAACTAATTACTGTTCTGTTACATTCTTGTGTATGTGTGTGTGTGTTGATAGGAATATAGTAACAGGAATGTATTTTTCTTTAATCTTCTGATCACCCCACTCTTGTGCTTCCATGGAACTACTTAGGAACAACCATTGCAATTTGTGTCACCAGTTTCTTCCCTGCCTAAGTGAACTTTGTCAATTTTTCCCCATTCTTATGAGCTAACCTACTTTGGTGTATGTGTTCTGTTTGTACATATAACAAAATATGACCTATCCTGAATTAGATTGGTGAGTTTGCAAAATGTTGCTGGAAGAATCAGTTGACCTGGCTACTTTTCATTCTTTTTTTTGTACATGAAAATATTGTGTTTACAGATTGTACAGTACCCTTCTGGCTCATCGCAAACAGCACATCAGAAACTTTGCAGCAGAAAGCTTCACCTTCCTGATGAGGAAGGTAGGTGTTGTATTGGATAGGGGGAGCAATACTGGGAAGAATGAATGGGAAAGGGATAGTTTTCCTTGAGACCAGCTGGCCCTGGTATTTAAGTCAATGGAAACAGTTGCCAGGGATCCCTTTGGCACTGACATCTATTTTTGTTTCATGAAGAGCATATACTCTACCATGAATGATAATCTCTTCTTAATAATACATGTTAGAAGCTATAATCCTGTTTTAGTCAAGGGTTCATTAGATAACTATGCAGTAATATCAATTCTCAAAGTATAATATGGAAGTCACAGTATTAAGAGTAGTTCTTCTCTCCCAATATGCATGTATATTATTGTTGTGCCCCAGCTCCGGATTCCCGAGGATATTGACACACACCAACGGTCCTTATCAAATTTATTAAGTAGCAAGAATAAACCAAAGTCCGACAAAGGTTGGCAACCAGCCCAGAACAGATACGATAAGACTTTTCAAAAAATGCTCTGATGATAATTACAAGTTGTTTCCAGCAAGAAATTACTAACTGCGTGCGACTTAAATAGGCTAAGGGAGTGGCCAATTATCCTCAATCCTTACTCTCGAGGAGACCTCCTCCTCCTGAGTAGCCACTCCTGCCTTTTGGCAGCCCTGCGTGCTCGAGCATTGAGGAGAGGCTCCTCCACTTCGCTCTCTCCATTTGAAGGAGCTTCTGGAGGTTCTGAAGGCCCAGGCTGAGGTCTTTGCCTCTGGCACCACATCCTCTTCAGCCTCCTCACTGTCCGACATGAGCGCTGGCTGCGCCGGCTGCTGGCGTGACCCCACACCAGCCTCCTCATTGTAGGGATCAGCCACGATCCGCGCAGGCTGCTGGTGGGCCACAACAGTTATATAATACTTGCAACTTCCCAAGATATGTCCAGTTTATATACTGTGTTTCCCTGAAAATATGACTGGGTCTTATTTTCTTTTCACCTCTCCCCCCAAAAATGGCTAGTGCTTCTTTTTGGGGGTGTCTTAATTTTTTTGAGGTTCAGGAGGCCGCGAGCATGGTCACCTCATGGCTGCTGGGCCCCTTAATTGCGGCCCACAGATCAGGTGATCCAGCGACGGCTGGGAGTTCTGTCTCTTTGGGCGCCTGGATATGTTTCCGGCACGCTCTTGCTAGCCCCAGCCCTCCCCATGGCATTAGGCAACCTCACAGCCAAGGGCCCCTCTCTTCCGCAGCTCACTTTGTGGCCTTGGAGAAGGTGGCAAGCATGGTTCAAAGGGGAGCCTTGCAGATGCACATCCAAACTGCTCCCTCCGCGGCTTCAAAGCCTCTAGCCTTGTAATCCTGCAAGGGGGACATTTGCTCCAAAGCTACGGCAGAGCATTGCACTGGGAGGCCTCCACAGGTAAAACTGAGTTGCATGTCTTGTTCCAGCAAGAGTGGCCAGGGAAGGTGGGGTTTTGGGATGCATAGGAAGAAGGGGCAATCTCCCCCTCCCTCCTTCGTCCTGCTGCAGAGCTGCCATGGAGCTCACTCAGGGCAGCATGACTGCTGGTGGGGATCCTGCCAGGCCAGTGATGGAGGAGGTGCTCCGGAGGTTGTAGATCTGGGCTGAATTGCCTCATGCAAGGCAGGAGCAGCCCAGGAGGGCTGCTGAGAGCAAGACAGCCAGGAGGGCAAAGAGCCCCTTGCAAGGGCAGCAGCAGCAGGTGCAGCAGGCCCAACAGCTGGGTATAGATGAGGGGGAGGAGTCGATTCTGACGGGCCACATGACTTTCTGCTTCATCGTAGCAGCAGCCTGAACAACACCCGAGATCCAGGCCTGGCGGAGCGCAAACTGTGCTCGCCACTTGCTCCATAGCCACAAGGTGAGCTGCGAAAGAGAGGGGCCCTTGGCTGCACCAGAAACATCTCCAGGTGCCCGGAGAGACAGAACTTCCAGCCCTTGCTGGATCAGCTGATCCACGGGCTGTGATTAAGGGGCCCAGCAGCCATGAGGTGACTGGGGAAGGGAAAGGTTACCTCCTGTGCTGGCCACGCCCACCCCCTTCACTAGGGCTTATTCTCAAGGTGGGTCGTATTTTGGGGGGGAAACTATTAGAGAACTGGGAGAGGAAGAACTATATCTGAGCCAGTTGTCTTCATGCCTGCAGTTCGATTTGAACCAAGGATTTCTAACTCTTGAATTAAACTACTGCATGAGGTCAGAATTTTTCAATTTTCTACTATGAACTATTAAATGGGAAGTGTGGTAAATTATGGGCATTGCTCTGTATTAATTCGAGATTCTTGTCTCAGTTTAATCATCTAGCATAAGAAATTTTGTTTCAGTTTGTGATGTGCAAGTTTGGCTTGTGCTTATACATCTGACCTTGATAGCAAGAATCAATAGGTATGATTGTTATTATTATAGTGATTGCAACTATAGTGATCTTAAGGCAATGAATGACTGTAATAAACAACAATAGAAATGGATGGGGAACAGGGTAAGAAGGAAAACATAACATTTTATGATAGTGTTGAATGTTTTTTTCTGAAGAACACAGATGGACATTTGGAAAACCATATAATTGTGTGAGTTTTTCAAGGTTTTTCTTTTCTTATCAATAATATAAATAGCACACTAACTTAGTTTTTGCCAAGATACTATTAAGCCTAAGAATATTTTTAGCTGGTGACATTCATAAGGACCTTCCAGTTTTCTACATATATTACTGAATAAACCAACTCACTAAAAACAAAGAAATATAACACAGAAGGCTGTAACTTTTACTGGGTAATAATGCAACAACAACAACAACATTAATAATTTACACATAGTATGACCAAAAAAAGACATCAGGTTTGTCATGGCAGGATTCTCATGATTAAATAGGCAATCAAGATTCCAGAAACGTGATATGTTTTTATGGCTGTAAAGCTAAGAAGCTATAACAATAGAATTTCAGTGATGTATACAACTTTTATCAGATACAAGATTTATTTATGCAATCAGCGTTCAAATTTCTATGCCTCCTTTTTTCTGACCACAATATGTAAAGAGCCAGTAATTATTTTGTGTGTAGGAGATAAGTTTTATTTGTCCTCGGTGTAGTAATAGCCTGTTACAGGAACTGTTCATATTTTGTTCCTGTAAGCGATTGTGGATTCTTTATCTACTTTTTCTACCAAATAATTAAATGTTATTTGGTAAAGTGCTGTTAATGTGATTTGAGTTGACACGCCAGGTCAACTAACTTTCCCACATGCACATTTCTGCAGCATGATTATCATGAGTGCTTAGAACAAGGGTAGCTTTATTTAAAATCTTGCTGAACAGCTGGCCACTTACCTTTTTTTCTCTTCCCATCAGGGACTACATTGCAAGGAAAACATGAATTAGTTGCTCTGTTTGATCTACTTGATAGGCTGTTGAAATCCCAAATTGGTCTGAATTCCTGAGAAAAAGAATGAGATACCTAATAAAACAACTAATGAAATATTTTTCATTATGAAATGAAAGAATTTTATTGAAAATAAAATATTTATCATATTAATATGTTGATGACATAAACCAACTCATGGTAGTTTAAAGTGTAAATAAAACCAAATAACAGTAACATTCAATTAAAATATAAAATCAATAAAATAGCAAGCAATAATATTAATAGGACAGTAAAATGTTAGTAATAATAAACATACTGTCAGGCAGCCAATTATAATTTGAAATCTTTCTATAATAGTAATACTAATAGGCTATGGTGTTCGTCCACGTACTTATTCCAATTAAGTTTAAGTAAAATGGCACTACAGTGTTGAGAATTTCAGGCGGAGAAGTCAAGAGTATCACTGGGAATTAACTAAATTTTGAGTGTGATAGTGGAACACTACATTTTCATTCTTCAATTTTGTCTCACAGGTTTCTGACAAAAATGCCCTTTTAAACCTTATGTTCCTTGATTTGGGAGAGCATCCAGAGAAAGTGGAAGGTGTGGGACAATTAATTTTTGAGATGTGCAAAGGGGTTAGAAACATGTTCCATTCCTGTGCAGAAAAGGTAAATAATTATTGGTGCATGGAACAAATATAACCTAATTTATAGAAGATCTATAATTATGATCACACTGTGTCTGTCCGTAAACAGAGGCAAATACCTGTCCAGAATCTGATTTTTAAAATATAGATAGTGCTGTGCTTCATGGCCTAGACTAGTGATGGCTAAACTTTTCCGGATTGAGTGCCCAAAGCAAGCGGGCCGGAACCCCCAAAAGGCAATGTGTGTGCAGCCCCACGCATGCGCATGTGCCCGAAGACCACCTGGCCAGTGGGAGGTGCGCATGCATGCGCGGTGGAGCTGAACTGGGACGATGGCTTGTGTGCCCACAGAGAAAGCGCTGCGTGCCACCTGTGGCACGCTTGCCATAGGTTCACCATCACGGGCCTAGACATTGTATTTGAACATAGATCTTTTTAACATTTATATTTTATTGTGTTTTACTAATCTAAGTGAAATGTTAATAGATAATGCTACTCCATGTATGATATACCATACATTAAATAATAGAGTATCTGATCTGCTATATTTAGGTTATCTTAGATTTGGATTGTTTACCTTTTAAACACCATTAACTACTATTTAAGAATGTTTTGCTTATTACTTGGTCAATGGGTAGGCTGAAAGTAAATGCCAATGGTGGAATTCAATTTTGAAAGGTCTTAAAAATATATATTTTAGTAAAATATGTATCCATCAGAAGTTAACATACCTGTTTTATATTTTGTAAAGGACAAAAATCACATTACCATAAGGCAGGGTTGTCAAACTTGATTTCATTGAGGGCTTCATCAGGGTTGTGTTTGACCTCGGGGCGGGATGTGTATGGCCAGGGTGGGCGTAGCCAGCTTGACGTCACTCATGTCGGGGGGGGCTGTGGCGGCCCAAGCACTCTGCCAGTGAAAACAGGCTGCCGAGCTCCGTTTCTCACTGCGATTGCCTCCTGCAACCCTCTGCCAGCGAAAATGGAGTGGCCCTCTCGAGCTCAGTTTCCACTGGCAGAGGCATTGCAGGCCGGTCCCTCATTGTTTCCAGGGTGGCCCCGTGGGCCAGTTCTAAGCACCTCGTGGACTGAATCTGGCCTGCAGGCCTTGAGTTTGACACCCCTGCCATAAGGGGTTCTTGATGCTCTCTGAACTTAATTACAGGTAATCCTTGACTTATGATCACAATTGAGCCCAACATTTCTGTTATTAAGTGAGACATTTATTAAGTGGGTTGTGCCCCATTTTATAACTTCTTGCCATAGTTTTTAAGTGAATCTCTCTAGTTGATAAATTAGTAATCTGGTTAAGTGAATCTGGCTTCTCCATTGACTTTGCTTGTCAAAGTCTCAAAAGGTGATCACATGACCTTGGGACACTGCAACCCTCATAAATATGAACCAGTTGCCAAGCATCTGGATTTTAGTCACATGATCATGGGGATGCTGCTAAGGTTGTAAATACGAAAAACGGTCATAAGTCCCATTTTTCAATGCCATTGTAACATTGAATGGTCATTAAATGAACTGTTGTAAGTCAAGGACTACCTGTATTAGTACACTAATGATGTTACCAAGTTTGAGTAATGACACGTCTGCAAGGAAACAACTAAGCTCAGAGAGCACCAAGTATCCCTCATTTCAACTCTGAGCTACAAATATTCTCTTAGATTGGCACCACATTACCATAATCTGGTCATATGAGAAAATTTTTCAGCTACTGAGTGAGTGTGGTAGATTGCTCGTTTCTCCCATAGACTGAAAGGAAACTTTTTAGACATTTGATCCAATATTGAATTATTATCCTTTGATTAGTTGAAATACTGAATTGGACAGAAATCATGGCTATGGAAGGAAGAATTATATCTCTTAACTTTTTGATTTCTGATTTCTGTATTCCATAATGATCATTTCACATAGAATAACCAATTACTGTAGAGGTTATTGACAATAACTGTTTAAAATTTTTATTTAGAAAATAGCCCTCATATATCTGAGATTCTTTTTGCAGGCCATACTGTTAATTTTGAAGAAGATGGGACCAGTTACAGAAACAGAGGTTATACTCCCTTGGGTTTCCATTGGAGAAGTTTGCAAACATATGGCACAATCAGCTGCTAGATTCATCTATAGGGAACATTTTGATATCTTTTTCAAATGTTTGCAGGTGAGTTGAAGACGATTGAAATACAAAGAGAAGTCCCAACTCTCAGCCTAATATTAGTGATAAGATTACATAATGAAAAACTTAGGAAAAGTATTTTATGTTGACCTAGCAAGGATCAAGTATTATTTTGTATTCCAGCAAACAGTGGAGTACTCAATATAAGCCAGTGGTTCTCAACCTTCCTAATGCCGCAACCCTTTAATACAGTTCCTCATGTTGTGGTGACCCCCAACCAGGGTGGGTTCTAAATTTTTTTACTACCGGTTCTGTGGGCGTGGCTTATTTTGTGGGCATGGCTTGGAGGTCATGTGACTGGGTGGGCTTGGCTAGCTGGTCGTGTGACCGGGTGGGCGTGGCTATGTGTATAGGGACTACTCAGAGGGCTGAAAAAAGTCATTTCTGACAGGTCCTTGCACTTTTGACTGGTCCTCACACTTATGACCATCCTCACATTTATGCCCGTGCAGCATTCTTAACAACCATGTCACTCATTTCACAACTGCTTCTTTTCACCATGGTGATAAGGTAGGGCAAAAAACGTAAAATGTGAGGACAGTCGTAAATTCGAGATCTGGTCAAAAGTGCGAGGACCAGTCAAAAATAACTTTTTCAGCCCTCTGAGTAGTCCATGTGCACAAAAGGACTATCCAGAGGGCTGAAAAAAGTGATTTCTGACAGGTCCTCGCACTTTTGACCGGTCTTCGCATTTATGACTGATCATCATTTATGCCCATTGTAGCATTCTTAACAACCGTGTCACTCATTTCACAACTGCTTCTCTTCACCATGTGACAAGATAGGGCAAAAATGTAAAATGTGAGGACAGTCGTAAGTTCGAGGACTGGTCAAAAGTGCGAGGACCAGTCAAAAATAACTTTTTCAGCCCTCTGAGTAGTCCATATGCATAAAAGGATACAGCAATAGAGAGGGATGAAGGAAGGGAAGGGAAATTAGAGTAGGAGGGAGGGTAAGAGAGGGAGGAAGAGAGGAGGAGAAAGGAAGAGGAAGTAGGGAGGAGAAGAAGAGGGGGAGGAAGAGAAAGTAAGAAGGAAAGAAAAGAGAGAGGTGGTAGGTTTGAGGAGAAAGATTGCTGTACAATAAAAAAGATGAAAGGGAAGAAAGCCAACCCCAAACAAATATAAAGATATTAAGATAAAGAATGAATTGTTAAACTTTAAAGAATAAAATAGAACAAATATGAATAAATAACAATAATTAGAAACACACATACAAACATACAATGTATTTTCTTTGAACAGAGTATTTGGCCGGTTCACAAATTTAAACAGTGTTTAGTCATTTCAATTAAATTTACAATTTCTATATTTCCTTTTTGCCATATTTATTCCTCATCTATTTTTGTAAAAAACCAATATTACCCTTCATCCTCATCTCTAATCTTAATCAAATTCAATTTTTCCCTTCTATTCTATATTATATCCCTTCCCATTGTCATCTATTTTTATATCCATCGTCACATTGGTTAATTATGTAATATTACAGTTGTTTAATATAAATTCAACATTTTAATATAAATCAATTAGTTATATAACTACCTTTTTTGTATATTAATCAATATGAACATGAATATTCCAATTATTTCCATGCAATCCAATTTCTTACAAATCAATTAATTATATTTACCAATAATAATAAACCAAATAATTTCCCCCATATATTCCTCCAAACCACAACTTAACCATTTCTGCTTTCAACACAATATACAATTAATAGTATCTCAATTATTACAATTCCCTAGTTAAATAGAGCTTTTTTTCTTTTGTGTTTAAAAACTTGAACTCTCCTCTTTTTCCCTAAATTTCCCATTGTTTGCACCTATCTTTTTTGGTGAGGAAAAAGAAAAGAAATCTGCCCGCCTAATTTTCCAACCTTGCAGCAACAGCAAAGCCAACAGCCTGCTTTACTTTCAGTTTCGTTTTTCAGCATAGCTAGGGGAAAAAAAATCTGCTCCAGCAAGCAGCAGAGCCCTGAGCAAAACAGCTGAGAGCAAATCAGCTGAGAGTCTGGAGCCGATCTAATCAAGGGCTAATTAGCCTATGCTGAAGCTCCGTGGGCCAATAAAATTACAAAAAAACACCGAACCATTTGTTAAATTGCTGGCTTGCCCGTCCCTCGTCCACCACTATTTATTGACAATAAATAGTGGTGCGGGGCAAGGGGCGGGGCGAGCCAGCAATTTAACAAACAGTTCGGCCGAACCCCCTAGAACCGGCAGAATCCCACCACTGGCTATAGGGCGGCCCTTTGAAGCCCCGCGGCAAGAATTTAAATAGTTTTTTTTCCTCTAGCCATCAGCTGGGACTCAGGAGGCAGCAATAGATTGGGAGTGGGCGGGGTAAGCGAATGGCTGGCGATCCAACAGAGCAGAGAGTGAGGGTGAGTGAAGGCGTGGGGGGGGGGCGAGAGAGGGCTTTGGCGACCCCTGTGAAATGGCCGTTCGACCCCCAAAGGGGTCGCGACCCCCAGGTTGAGAACCGCTGATATAAGCCATCCCAAAATGGTTGTCCTCCCTGTGATATATAAGAGTAGTTGTTCCAATTACTATAGACTTATGCTTGGGGAAAACTGTTCTGAAAGCTGAACTGATGAAAAAATACAGCAGATGTACAGGTAGTCCTTGATTTACAACCGTTCATTTAGCGACAGTTCAAAGTTATAACAGCACTGAAAAAAGTAACATGACCATTTTTTACACTTAAGACCATCGCAGCTTCCCCATGATCAAAATTTGGATACTTGGTACGTGGTTCGTATTTATGACCCGGGGTCATGGGATAAACTTTTGTAATTTTCTGACAAAGTGGGAAAACCAGATTCACTTAACAACCGTGTTGTTAACCTAACAACTACAGTGATTCATTTAATAATGGTAGCAAGAAAGGTTGTAAGATGGGGCAAAACTCACTTAACAAATGTTTCACTTAGCAACATAAATTTTGGGCTATTTGTGATCATAAGTTGAGGACTACCTGTAGTCACAAACAACTATGTCGATATATTCTGTTTACAGATTCATCCAAAAGTTGTGTGAAAATAATACTTTGTCCAATATTGCTTTCACATCAGCCTCATTTAAGTGTTATAAAGCAGTGCGGTGCGAATAGCAGGGCAGAATCAATCTCATCTATAATGCTGCTTTGATGACACCAGTGATGAGCCAGACTCCATAAGTATATTGTTATTAATCTTTTTGAGTGGCACATATTGGAGCTACTGTATGAGTTGAAATCTTTATAGTTCAGCTTTGGAGTCATGTGGAAGAGTCCCAGAGATAAACAAAGAGACAAACAAAATTATTGTACTTACCAAGACTGGTTCTTTATTGGTATCATATGCCCGTGTAGAAATGAGTGGCTGTCCACTGCTATAGTTATCTCTGAAATAAGGAAGAAGACAAAAACACAAAAGTTATAAACACTGAATCTCATTAATCTTAATGTATCTTCTGTCTTATTTTTATTAATCCAAATTTTGAATTAAACTATTTTTGTCAAAAAAAAAAAAAATCAGGAATCAGTTTTTACGTTGCAAGAAAAGGTAACCAAGGACAACTGTTGTGAAGCTTCTGAACAAATGGAAAGATTATTGCAGGTCTACTTAATCATAGTAGAGTATGCATATGGCTCAAAAATTTCACAACCTGAAGAAGTTTGTACGGTAAGGTTAACCTTTTTTTTTTTTTTTAAATTGGAGCAGGTCATGTGGGTTTGTTATGAGGAAAACCTCTTTAATCTGATGCTCTTGGGGGCATTTCTGAACTGAAATGACAATTCTGGGAATATTAATGATTGTCATCTGAATATATTTAACCAGCACTAGGTTGGGAAAGGCAGGTAAGCAGTATGACTTAACTGCTGTATAGGTTGTGTCAAAAGATTATATCTAATGATATATGACATTAACCTGAAGAATATTCTGAAGAATAAATCTTACTAATCATTTTATACAATCTGAAAAAGATTCCTAGATAGATTCTCTTTTATGAATGAAAGCAAATATACGTGTCCCAGGTTAATGTTGCAGGATCCAATCTGGTTCAGTTACCAGGACTAGAGGTTTAGTCATCTGAGCTTTCAGACTGGTGCTGGAGCTCATCCTCAGGGAACTTCTCTCTGCCGGAATGTGTAATTCTTTTTTCTTATGCCTCACTGACTCTCTTACTATACTGTTGTGCAATATTGGCAATATTGCTTCAGAAGGAAGAAGCAGCTGAGAGGAACATGACAATAGAGAGATTGAGAGATAGGCACAGCTCACAGTGTGATAGAATAAAACACTGAATAAGGTGTCAGATAAGACAACATTTTTAGATGAACAAATAACAAAAATGGCTTCAGAAAGAAATGTTAAAAGACCCACATTTTGGAAAGAAAGCAAAGAAACATTTTAATTCTCACTAAAATTAGTCACCATATATACTAGAATGAATTGCCATTAGAACAAAAGATTTCATTGAAAGAAATGTAGGCAATGTGCCAAACTCACATAATGTGTTTCTAAATCTTAAATGCAATTAGATTATCTTTTTAAATGTGTCATTCTTTTTTAGTCTCCATATTCAGCCCACCTGCTGAAAACTTTCTGAGAAAAAGTGTTTTATAGACACCTTTTGGTATAAAGGAATATTAACAGTATTTTGTTTACATTTTCACATTGTGAGGATTCTTTCTGTGTACTGTTGTATATGTGAAATAATGAGAGAAACAATAATATTAATTGAAGCATATTGTTATTTTGCCTGAATGTCTTAGAATTTTGAAAATCATTATTTGTTTTCTATTCCAGACTTTAACAAAAATAATAGATACATCTGATCTCACAGTGCCTTGTTGTGATTCCCTGCTTAAAGTTATTTCTGTTTTGCTTCTTCATGAGAATATCTTATTGTCTGATTCTGTGGTGAAAGAAATTGTTGAAAAGGTAATAAGGTACTAAGTTAAAATTAATATGTAAACTTCGGTAAAAGATCTAATGAACATATGCCCATAGTACTGTAATGTTTGCTTTGCATTTTTCTGGAATAGATCTAAATATTTCTGATAATAAATGACAAGTCTAATTTATCCTCAGCAACGGAAATGACCTATATGTGTATTGACTGGAGGGAAATGCATGATATGTGTTATTTAAGGAATTTGAGTTTTATGGTACCTTAAGGATTAAGAAATTTATTATAATTGTTCATGGATCATAATCTATTTCATCAAATGTAAAGTGTATCACCCACAAAAGGAAAGTTACTATATATATCAACCATTTGTTAACCATAACTAACTTTCACTGAAAAAACTGCCCTTATATATATGGAAAAGAATAAATGGGTACAAAACTGAAATGTCAATGATAAAAAACTCATTGGAAAATGGAACAAGAGGACAGTAACAATTCTACTTTTTGGTCTACGAATTTTTCCTGCACAACATTTTTTTGCATATTTATGGGAGGTTACATTTTAAATAAAAGACCACAGTCAATATAGCAGAAATGAAATGCATAAAAGCATTTCAACAACAGCAAAATATTGTGCCATTTCAAGGTGCAGTGGAGGAAATATCAGATTAAATAAAATGCTAGATTTTATAGCAATAGGAAGATTTTTGCCAAGGGGCTGGCCAAATATTAAATCTGCAGTTCATGGCTTAAGAGAATTATTCCTCTAAATGTTTTTATTTTTTAATTTAAATTTTAAATTTGTAAATGTTTTACATTTACTTAGCTAAATGTTTTAGTTTTCTTTTAGTTGGGCTTCTCGAAACAGTGCCTGAATATGTAAGGGAGGGCAAGAGCTGAAGACAGAGCACAGTTTTTGCATATTGACATGTCAGATTCGTTTCAGCCATTTTTTAGCATGATCTGTGATGATGCTTGTATATATGAATACAGTTAATACTGAAAAGATGCCCCTCGTCAATCAGTGTTAACTTTTGTGACATAATTATCTTTGGGCAAACTTTGCAGAATCAGTTTGAGAGTCCTTTGGAAAAGTCATATTGAATCTGGACCGGTCCTTTGTTTTTCTTTTTAATAGGTTTTCAGAGGCGGATTTGAATGGTATTCTGTTTTGAATTTTTCTAAAGCGATGTTTCTGATGAAACAATTTGAAAAGGTAGGTAACCGTTTCAGCACCTTTTCACCTGTGGGGAAACAATACAAGCATCTCTGTATATTATTGAGTTTCAGTCCAAGCAGTCATCTCCAACAATGTCAAATGCAGAGAGTTCTAATTCAGCACAGGTTGCCCACCCATGTTTTAATTAATGCGGGGATTATGTGGAAAGAAGCTCAAGAAATGCCTATAGTGTTTATAGTCTGCAAAATCTAACTGCCATTGGCTAAGAGAATCCAGTGCCTAGGGCTGTATTTATTTGTTCTGAGATAGCTTTATATTTATTCTATTCTTTGTGTTTCAGTTAATAATAAAAATAAAATAATTGGTTTATGCCAGATCCAGAATCTCAGAAGAATATCCTGGATACGAAACTTGCACAGCTCACAACTATCAAATTAATAGTTGCTAGATTCTTGAAAATCTTGTTTAAATATAATGCATGAACTTAATTAACATTAGCATGTTTTGTTTTATGCAGCGTATGTAAACATTCACAGAAGTGAGTAATAAGAGCACTTCAGGTTTATGCACTCCATTATTCCAGTAAGCCCTGGGCTGTTGAAAAAGTAATGCCACGGTTATCTCACATTGCAGATAGGATGAGGCTGAGGGATTCAAGTAGCCCTTGTCTTACGACTACAATAGAGCCCAAAATTTCTGTTGCTAAGCAAGACAGTTAAAGGAACGGTGCGCCATTTTACAATATCTTTTTCATAGTTGTTAAGCGAATCCTTGCAGTTGTTAAGTGAATCATGAGTTTATTAAGTGAAACTGGCTTCCCCCATTGCCTTTGCTTATTGGAAGCCAGCTGGGAAGGTTACAAATGGTGATTACATGAGGCCGGGACAGTGCAACTGTCATAAATATATGACAGTTGGCAAGTACCCAAATTTTAATCATGTGGCCCTTGGGATGCTGCAACAGTTGTAAGTGTGAAAACTGGTTATAAGTTGTTTTTTTCAGTGCCATCGTAACTTTGAACCATCACTGAGCGAATGGTTGTAAGTCAAGGACTACCTGTAGTGCTTACCATGACACCTTGTGGAGCATGTAGCTCAGTGGGAGATGAATTGCAGAATTCCCATGCCCAGTTTATATATTTAGCTGCTCTTAGAGTGAACTCAATTTTTTAAATATTCAATAGCCTGAATAATAACTGCCAACCTAGCAGTTCGAAGGCACATAAAAAATGCAAATAGAAAAATAGGGACCACCTTTGGTAGGAAGGTAACAGTGTTCTGTGCGCCTTTGGCGTTTAGTCATGCCAGCCACATGACCTCGGAGACATCTTTGGACGCTCTGGTTCTTTGGCTTTGAAACGGAGATGAGCACCACCCCCTAGAGTCGAGAACGACTAGCACATATGTGCGAGGGGAACCTTTACTTTTACCTTTACATCTTAGGAAGTTTAGTAAATTTTCTCAGATCTACAATTTAAGCCTTGCGTCTGTCTCTTTAGAGGAGAGAACATCATTTCATAGGGTACAAAAGTTTAGATGGACATTTATCGTGAAACAGTACATCACGGAAACAGCAGTATAAAGTGTTATGAAGGGGGAGAGTGGGAGGAGGAGTATGAAATATGCAACCCATGCAGATTTGCAATTAGGTTAAGAATGCTAGAGATGGATATAGAAGTTATAAATGTATCCCTAAGAGACAGACTAATTTAATTTTGTTTTTACATTGAAATGTAGAATTGCTTTTAATAGCTAAGGTAGTTCATTTAACTATTTTTAATCAAATAGTTTCCTCTGAGTCACGTTTGATTCCTGGAAACTTTGCTGATATGTTTCTTGACAACAGAATAATTTACCATCAGAGCTTTCCTGGTTTTTTGTTTAAATTGTTCAGTCTGTTTTGTAGCCTTTGAATTTCTTATTAGCTTCTCCCTATATTTGCATTTAGAAACCAGTAGGGTATGGCTAAGTAATGCCACTTCCCTGAATTCGCTTTTAAGACCCTGAAAGATTTGATTGAAGAAGATGACAAATGCAGCTGCCTGATTAGGGTTGCTAGGAAACAGCCGGTGTAAACTTTTAATGTAAATAAATAAATGATAGAAAATAGGGAAGAAAGCACACGTTAGATGCCCACATATTGCATCCTTCACATAAGGCATGATGGGCAACCTGTAGCCTTCCAGGTATGTTTTTGCCACTCCCAGATTCCCTGTAAAATGCATTACTAATATAGCAGCACAACAGCCATTTATGACTGTGATTTTTTCCCCCTTCACTCTCTGACAGCTAAAATGGTGGGGGGGAAATTGTTTTGAAGCCATTGGAAGAGCATATCTGTTTTCTATACATCTCCCCAAATCCACCCCTAAGGGTTCTTGAAGATTTAAAATAATGGCACACACATGGGCATTTCCATAGACAGTATAAACCCCAGATTAAAAAAAAAATGCTGCCCCTGGTTTAGAGGATTATAGCATACCCTTTGTAAGCCGCTTGAATTAAATAAGACTAAATTCTATGTTTATATGGAAAATTGGCTTCCTGATTCTGATGTATCTATGTCCTAGCTTGAAAAATCTTGTACAGGTAGTCCTTGACTTGACTTTGGACTACAGTTGAGGCCAAACTTTATGTTGTTAAGTGAGATATTGGTTAAGCCCCATTTTACGGCATTTCTTGTCACGCTTGTTAAGCAAATCACTGCAATTGTTAACTTAGTAACAGTTGTTAAAAGAATCTGGCTTCCCCATTGACTTTGCTTGTCAGAAGGTCACAAAAGGTGATCACGTGACCCCTGGACATTGCAACTATCATAAATATAAGTCAGTTGCCAAGTATCTACATTTTTATCATATGACAATGGGGATGCTGCAATGGTCATAAGTCACTTTTTTCAGTGCCGTTGTAACTTCGAACGGTCACTAAATGAACTGTTGTAAGTCGAGGACTACCTGTACTGTCTTGTCCTTTTCAGCAATTTCTTCCCAGCCTCCTTGAATACATTGAGCACTGCATCTACAGCGATGATGCTGTGGTCCAGCAAGTAGCCTTAGCAGTTCTCTCTAGACTTATCCTAAAGAAAGCAGAACCTCCCTCTGTTGGATCAATGGCATATGAGAAGTATCCTCTTGTTTTTGCAGAATCAGCTAAAGGGTATGTATGTCTTAACCTTATCTGGAATTATACAAATGATGTTCCTCAGAACTTGTTAAGTAAACTTAGATAGTCAAGCAAATGATCTGTTTTAACACCCAGATAAAGATTCTTTAACTCCCATTTTGGTTTAGTTGTTTTGCAATTACTACATTTAAAACAGGAGGGACTTTAATTGAATCATCGTCTTGCTGCAGTTCTATCAGTACTAAAATTCATTGATTTCTATTAACCCAATTTGAAGTGGAAGACCTCTGTTGCCAGGGCTATTCTAAGCCAGTGATAAAGAGTTAATCTGGCCCTTTAAGTATTTAAACACTATTGATTGTGTCAATGCATTCATCTTTAGTGTTGGGTCAATGTCATAATTTCATATTTTAAAATGCCTTATTTAGCAACCACATTTGCGACAGGCACCAGTTGGGATCAATTGAGGTGATTGCAAGTGAAACCACAATTGGATTTACTGTTTTACTTCAGCTTTCCTTTGCTTCACAGATTTCCAAAGGTTGTAAATGCAAGGAGTGGTCATAAAGTTGCTTTTTTTTTAATCGTAACTGTGAATGGTTGTTAAACAAGGCAGTTGCTAACTAGGACCAACTTTTATGAGTAATTAATTCATTTATAATATTTCTCAGGTTGTGTTGCTGCTTTCTAGTTCAGATATTACCCTTTAAGAATCAAGAGTGCAAGTTCATGTCTGATTCAACTCCATAATGAAAGGAGAACTATGCAAATTAACTTTCTGTTGAAACCCAAAGCAGTTGTTGGTTTTTAGATTTCCTTAAATCCTGCCTTTATTATTTTGTACAAATAACTCAAGGCAGCAAACATACCTAACACTCCTTCCTCCTTCCATTTTTCCCACAACAAAAACTCTTGAGGTAAATTGAGTTGAGAAGAGTGATTGACCCAAAGTCACCTAACCAGCTTTCATCCCAGTAGCGAAATTAAAACAATTTCCTGGTTTCTAGCCTGGTGCTTTAACCACTAGACTAAACTGGTCTGGTCATACCCAATAAGCATATTGGCTTGGTTCATTTTTAACTATTACTTAGTATGAGTTTGTATATCACAGTAAATAAAAAAAACAAATAGTGATCTATGAACCAGATCAAAATTTTTATAATAAAGAAAAATAACAAAAATTAAAAGTTCCCAAAGTGTAGGAACCTAATCTGTTCTTTTGTGTTAATAGTATGTATGTATGTATGTATGTATGTATGTATGTATGTATGTGAGAGATCTTTGTTGGGCAAGTGGCTAGTGCATAGGTGGAAAGCATAATCTCTAAAATCTGATAACTTTGAAATAACATAGTGCAAACAATTTCATGTAACTGCTATAGTATCCATTCAATTTTATTTTAGGCTGAGTAGAAGATATTTGAGAAGTAAGAAGATGGGAGAAAAAGAAGAGAAGACTGTGCTTGATCATATTCTGTCTTGCATCAGATTCTCCACAAGCAGAAACACAGCTGATATTTCACAATCCTGGGCAGCCCTTGTAGTTCTTCCACATATAAGGCAACTATAAATCAGCTTGGCTTATTTTTTACTTCTTTCCACATACTGGAGTACATGTATTATAATTGACGTGTAGATCTCGGGACGTATTCTTCTGCTTTCTAGAACAACATCAACCAGAACTAGGAAGTTAGAAATAGTAAAATTACCCCAAATACTTTGCTGGTTAAATGACTATTTAGAAATCCAACAGTTGCAGTATTGTCAATGATACCTGAGCACATTTCCTGGATTTATTATTGATCCCTTGTTTCCTCTATTATTACTCAGAAGCTGTTTGCAGTCATGCTAACAATCGTGTTAACAAATTAGCAACTTTAATAGAAAATAGAGACTTGGATTTCTTTCTTTTTTTCAAATGTGTTATTTCCAAAGACCCACTAATTTTGCAAGATAGACATCTTAATTTGGAGTTGCATGTAAAGAGAACCAGATACATCTGACATTACAAATTCTCCCTCTTCTAATTTTCTCTAATTTTCTCTCCTTAATTAGAATTCACTACTTCTATTTTTTTTTTCATGATTTGAGATACATTGGAGAATAAAATAAAACCACAGTTCTTAGCCTTCAGTAAAATTGTAACTTATGATTGCATTTATATGTTTGACAGGCCACTTGTGAAAGAAAAAATTACACCAGTGTTTACAAGGTTCTCTGAGAGTCTCTTTGCTGGCCTTGACAAAGGAGATTTCTGCAAAGGTTAGCTCTTTAGATTTACCTGTTCTTTCTTTGTAAATGTCAAGTAAAAATAAATATGATCTATACTCTTTCCGCTCCCTCCCCCTCCTTTGTAGAAATGTGGTTAATTTTGACTGCTGCTGGATTGACACTCCCTTATTTGTCCAGATTTTTAAAAGACTTCGCCTTTCCAGCATGATCCCTGGAGGTAACAGCGGTTGCCAACATGTTTCTTGGCACCATCCCGTTCCCTCCCATACTGTATTTAATTTTTCTATTTTTTAATTTTTTTAAAAAATGAATGGGTAGCCAGCTTGCTCAAGGGTAATCATTAACCTCAAGTACAGCCTGCATTTCCAACTGTGCATTTTGGTCCTGCATGAATCCCAGAATCGTTCTTAGAAAAACATTTGGGGGCTGCAGCCCAATGCTTTAATTTGCCTTCTAATAGATGGATAATTTGTGATCAGCCTCACCATGATGACAGTCATTTTTGAAGTACTGATAAAAATGCTCTCAAAATTCCAAATGTGCCTCTTGGCTATAAAAAGTTTGGCAATTCTATTTTAAAACATTTTTATTTGCTTGATTGGCCTAATCTGCTGTTTTAATGCTTTAATGCTTTGCTTTTAATACAGCATTAATCAATTGAGATAAATAAATAACAACACAGGGACAAGATTATATGAGAAAAAGCTTTGTTCTTATAGCGACTTATTTCTGTTGTGCGGTACTCTGATACTTATGATGATGATGATGGGAACTTCTGATACAGATTGCATTATTACACTAAGGTTGTTTAAGTGCATTATTGTTTTGTGGAAGATACATACTAGAAAGATACATCTACATTACTGATGTGCAGATGTTTGCATGAAATATATTGAAAGAGAAAGAAATCTTTCCTAATCTGGTACTTATTCTCTGTATATGATAGGCTTCAGCTTTTTTTATTCAAACCAGTATCCAGATCTTTGATAATCATACTTACTTGGTGCATATCTAAGCAATATGTTAGACTTTTGCTGTGCATTTAATTTACCTTATGAAATTTAGTTAATATTTTTTCATATTTATCCATCTTTTCTGTAAGTTTATATAAAATTATACATATTTTACAGGTGGTGTGCATGTTTTGTAAGAAGTTGAAATAATATTTTATTTTTATAACTTTTAAAGTATTTCTGAAATGGGCATATGGACTAAAACACAATTTGTTTTTCATTTTCTCAGGAAACTTGTTTGTGGCTTGTCAAGCTGTGAGCACGCTTCTTAGTTTAGTGGAATCCTTGGAAATTTTAGATATGTTACCAGTGGAACGTGTAAAGACTTTATTGATGTATGTATAATAGGAAAACATTTCCCTATGAAATGGCAACTCTAACTGAAGTTAGCCTATTTTATTCTATATTGTTACCCAAAACTAGGTTGAAGTTTCTGAGACAAGGAAATATATATATTGATTAGAAATGAAAGGTAATCCTTGGGATATGACAACAGTTGGGCGGGGATTGTTGCTGCTACATGATGAAGTCATAAAGCACTATGTCATGTGGCTGCATTGCTTAATGATTGCAATCCCGGACAGTCCCAGTTGCTGCTATAACCCCAAGATGTGTGAGTGATTAAGTGGGAAGAGGTGGAAGTCCAAGGTAATGGGCACCGGGATGCTACATGGGGTTGAAGAGGCCAGGGAAGAGCATAGGAGGGCCTGTGCAGGGTGTATGTGAGTCATAGGAAGCTGGGGGAGAGCCTGTGAAGTTTTGCATGAGTCAGGGGATGGTGCAACCAAGAAAAAAAGTGGGAGGGAATTAGCAGAGTGACTTGTGGCCTTTCTTGCTGGTTTTCCTATTCAGTTTTCTTGTGGGAAATTGGGAAGGTCGCAAATAGCAATCATGTGACCATGGCTTCCTGCAGCTGCCATTGCAATCATAATTGCAGCGATGCTTATGGAGATGCTGCATTGGCTGGATTTTTTTCAGAAGTCCTCTGACTTTGAATGGTCGCTGAAAAAATGGGTATAAGCCAAGGACTACTTGTACTGTGTTTAATATTTACATGTTTATTGCTGGACCTAGAGTTTAACATCTGTTGAAACTTCTTTTTTACATGGAATGTGTAAAAGACACAATTGGTGTTTATTCCATATTATACAGCAGAAATAGGACTTTTTCTTTCCTTGTAGAAATTTCCCAAGGTTAATAATCACAGACAGTTTTTCAGACTACTGGAAAAAAATACTTCATGGTAGAAATTCCAATTATTGTAAAGGGTCGTTGGAAATATAGCTGTGCTGGGAAAAATTGCATCTGTGTATTTAAGGATTTCAGTTCCCATAAGCTTAAAGTTTTAGGTAAAAATGATATGGAGCAAAATTCAGGAGGCTTATATCAAATCCCGTAATGGGATTCATACAGCTTGCTGCTGCATGAGCTTTATTTTAATTTTGTAATCAATTGTGCTTAGGTTTGATTGTCATTGCCATGATATCTGTCACTGATGTGCATGTTAGTGAGGGAGTAATCAACATCATTAGCAACAGATAAAACAATTGTTCTATAAGACATGGGTTCTTTATAGGTTATTGATAACCTGAGAACCAGTGTGGTAAAATGATATAAGACTAAGATGCAAATAATAAAGTGCAGTTTTACCCTGGCATAAATTTAATAGATGGCATTAAAGCAACCATGTTGTGCTGTCATTTAAATTTGCAATATGAGAGATAAAACATACCATAACTGTGTAAAGGTATTGTAAGGATTAAAATGAAGTAATGCAGGAGAAGAACTTAAATATTTGAAAGCAGACAGCAGAACTGCTGTATTTGCTTATTGCTAACAACTGGATTGAATTTATCCTCCATCTTCTTGGAGACTATCATACTAAACTGCTCTTTGAAGAACAAGATTCTGTGCTTAGAGGGTGCTAGAGCCAGCTTGACATCTCGTTTGGCCCCTTCCATTAAAACTGGCCAGTTAATGTCCATGTACCTTTACTTGTTTTCCTTTTTCCTCCCTATCCCCAGCTCTGTTGTTTTTAGTCACTAAGTCATGACCAACTCTTCACAATATTATGGATCATAACATGCCAGGCCACCCTGTCTTCCATTTTCTCCCACAGTTTGCCCAAATTCATGTTCACTGCACAAATGGCACTGTCTAGCCATCCTTTTTTCCATACCACTAAGAATGTAAGATGATTTTTATAGAAAGCCTGGGGTTGAGTTAAGACAATAACAAAGTACAATAAAGTAAAACTCATGTTTTTAAAATGTATCTTGATTTCTGTTTTCTTTTTCCTTAGGACATTTCCCTCAGAACCATCTGCCTTACTGTTGGCTGATCTCTATTTTACAAGATTAGCATTGTGTGGTTATCACGAACACTTGTCTAAAGAGACTCTGATGGAATTATTTTCTAAATTGCAATTCAATATTTCTTCCAGTGTACCTAAAGTAAGCTGATCCCCAACATATATATATATCTTTTCCACTCTTTCCTGCTTCACAAAGAGTCACTGCTGCTGAAGGTGCAGTAAAACTGCAATCAGCAGTCTGGTGGCATCTAATGTGTTCTCACCCTCATGTCAATTAGTGTTACATATATAATACTTTGTGTTGAATCCCTTCTGTCACTACCCAGATGAACAAGAATGGTCTTTGGCAATAACTCAAAAGAAATAAATCAGGATACAGAACAAACATTGGAGGATATTTAAATCTCTATAATCACATTCACGGATCTTAAGGATAGCTATTTGCAAGAAACTCAATTTGAGGGGTGAATAGAAGATGGGATGGTAGAACATGAATTCCTATTAAAATATGATTTCACCCATTTTACCTTAAACATAAATTATCAGCTTGATATTTTCTCCAAGAAGTCAGAATTTGTAATTGTACTACTTTTTTCCATGATAGTAATATATTGCAATTTTTTAAAAATACAGAAATGGATATTCATTTTTTTACTTCCTTATATTGTCTACATCTGATGTAACAGATTTTGATATAAATTAAATTATTAGTCTGAAAGGTGTGACCATAGATCACTTGTCGGCAAAAAAAACCCCTATTTAAGTATGATAGGTAACAGGGAAGAAATATATGTATTGTATTTGGAATACACTATTCCTATCCAAGTAATTTGGAGTTTAAAAAATTACTAACTTTAGTGAGATTGGCAAAAGCTCATGGAAGACGAAGCGAAAAATATTTGGAGACATAGGTTATCTATTGCTGGCTTATATATTATTAAATGAATTAATGAAGCATGATATCTTTGGAACAGGTGCGACTGCTAACCATACGGATTTTAAGTCGTTTTGATGACTTGCTTTCAACAGGAACTCAGGTAATGGTTCAAATAGTAATTTAGTGCAACAAATGGTACAGCATTCATGCGGAAAGAGGCTTCTCCAGTGTTCCTAAAACTGCTAAAATTGCAGTGATAGATAAACCATAGCATAGGTCTAGTAGTGTTCTCTAACTTATATTTCTGAATGTTGGTAGGCCATTATTTTTGGTGCATTTAGAACTTGCACTTGGTGAAGGTTTGATTCCTGCAAAATATTTTATAGATTAGTAGAATTTCTTTTTCTTTTTTTTTCATTTAAACCAGTGGTGAAATTCAGCTGGCTCTATCCGGATAGTGCAATCCGGTAGCGGTGGCGGCGGGAGACTCCGCCCACCCGTCCGGACGTCATCATGTTCTGTTTTTGACCCTCTGCACATGCGCAGAAGGCTTTGCGCATGTGTGGAGGAGGCATGCGCTCACATTTGCGAACCGGTAGCGAAGGCAAGTGAATACCACCCTTGATTTAAACCAATAATGAATTGCTAGGAAGAGCTCTGGTTTAAGTTTAGGGTGATGCAGAGATGGGCTGCTACCGGTATGCACTGGTTTGGGAGAAGTTAATTTCCTGAGCAGTTCGGAGAACTGGTTGTTGGAAGAAATCTTTTCCCACTTTACAGGGCTAATCCTGCAAGGGAGGCAGGAAGGAAACATTCTGGTATGCCTGTATTTCTAGCCTAATCCTTATCTTAATTGCCGTGCTGCTTTAAGTGTTTTCAGAAACTGCCTCTGGGTTAAGCTTGTTACATTGTAAACCTTATGCCCAGACTTTCTGTCTGTAGACTGAGCTTGTCCGGAGTGCTCCCCCTCCCCCCGAGTTTTTTGTGGTACTTTTATTCCTGGGGCTTGACTTTCTTAAAGATTGTTAAAGGGTTGTTTTAAGCTTTTTGGAGTATACTTCCAACACAGCTGGAACAGCTATTTACAGAAGGATTGGCATAGCCATAGAAGAAATGGCTGACAGGCTTGGCATTCTGTCCGATTTTTTTACTGCCTTTCTGGGGGCATGTGATCTTTCCTTAAATCTGGATGATTACCTAAGGTTATCTTGTGGGGTGAGTGAGACCAGCTGGTATCTTTAAGTGGTGCAAATGGATCTAATGATTGCTTCTCCTGGGTGGGAAACTATGCTTTGTCAGTTCTCTGAGCACAGGAGTCTCTTGTCTATGGGGATTCTTCAGTCATCCATGTCATGGTTGTCCCAAAGGTGCTTTTTTCAAGAGGCAACTGGACTTTCTTAGTTTCCAGAAAGTCCAGTTGCCTCTTGAAAAAGCACTTTTGGGACAGGAGTCTCTGGCATTGCTTCGGAGTGGGCAAGGCACATGATTGCTCACTGATAATAAGTGGATTGTTTTAGTTTTCTCTCATGATAATATAGCATAGTAACATGGCACCGATTGTAGAAAGTTAGCACCCATCCCTCTCTTAGAAGAATGAAATATTTTGAGAAATACCCTGTTTCCCCCAAAATAAGACATCCCCTGATAATAAGCCCAATTGGCTTAAGCTTTAAGCATGGCAGTAAGGCCAAGCACTTATTTCAGGGTTCAAAAAAATATAAGACAGGGTCTTATTTTCGGGGAAACACAGTATTAAAAAGGAAGAATATATTTCCCTGAATGAGAAATGGAGAAACATGTTTTCTTAGAGAGAGAAAGCAGCCCCCACCTTCCTTAATAGCCCACAGAAGATGTCAGCACTTAAGAGATAGATAGCTATATTCATAGGCAAAAATTCCCTGCAGCAAGGTCTGAACAAAGGCAGAATGGGATTAGCCTTCACTCAAGATGTTAATTTGTTAATATGTCTCTTTAGCTCAGCATTTTGTAGCCCAAATATGCCCACCCACTTTCTGGAGAGCTTAAATGACCTCTCTGCTAAAGGGTTTCACTTTATGAGCAAGAGTAACTTGGCTGCTGATTGTTATCCTTGTATTTTAACTATTTTAATTTCTCTATGTGCTCTGGCAACCTGCCTGATTTGTAACTCCAGGTTGCAGGTATTGCTGACAAAAAGGAAGGTATTCAGACAGAATGGTTTAGGTTTCCATGATGGCTGTGACTCATTGATCTTCAGTGTGTGTTCCCCCATTTCTCATCTAATGACTAGTATTTAGGGCACCTTTCTTGAAGCAAAGAAGCTTTTTGTATTTTTGTACAGGTAATCCTTGATTTACAACAGTTCATTTAGTGACCATTCAAAATTTCAATGGCACTGAAAAAAGTGACTTATGACCATTTTTCACACTTACAACCGTTGCAGAATCCCTAAAGTCATGAGAGGGCAGGCGAGGTGAAACGTCCCTCGACATAAGTGACATTGAGTTGGCCACGCCCACCCAGCCAGTCATTAGGGCAGAGAACCGGTTGTTAAAAAATTTGCAGCCCACCAGTGAGGTGATGGGGTTTTTTTGATGTTATATTTGATGTTATTCATATTCATGCACTAAATTTCTTTTCACCGAATGTTTTTTGACATAGTGGATTATCAGTTGATTTCTAGCAACGATTAGGAAACTTTCTGCTAAATAAGCTATGAATGCATTTGGTTTTGAAGAAACTTTCTCATGCATTTTTTTTTCTTTTTTTGCTAAGGATGTGGGGTTATTTGGTATGTTGCTTCAAGCTGAACTTGTGCCAGCAAATATCAATGATTATCGTGAGAAGCTGCTCTACCTGAGTAAGCTGAGACATGATTTGGTGTGCTCCATGATCCCCGAGGGAGCTTTGCAGGAGGTAAAAAAGTGTCCTTTGTGAAAAGTCTTAGCATAATTGCATTTTCCTACCAGCAGATCATGCAGTTTTTGTATATTATCATAATAGCTTTAATAAAGTGATGAGAAACAAAATCAATTCACACCAGTGGTGAAGATCCAGGATTTCCATGGTATATAGAAATCATAGCCATCTTTATTTTTATTTTCTGATCAAATAAATTTGTGCTTATGTGGAGGTATCAGCTAATGATTAATTTATGTTAGCAATTAGGTTTCAAATCAAGGGCAATTATTCTGTTGTTTTTAAAGCAAAAACATTTATCTTTATTTAATTATAGTAGCTTATCTTTCTGGTAAGTCTGAAATACTATTTTTATTTTCTTAACCAAATGACTGTCAAATTGTCAGATGTTTGCATACAATACTGCAATACTAGGCTGAAGAGGGATTCAGTGCATTTTCCCTTTTTAACACAGACCACATTTACATGGAGCACTTGGTGGTATTGTGGCTTCAGTTACTGTACTAGCTGGAAAGAAACATCCTTTGTGATGAGAGAAAGAGCCATTAATCACAGTCCATAACCACAGTATGTTACTGGTCAAGCGGTTTAGTATGAGCTGGCATGTCATCCAAAATTTGATTAAGAATTAACTTCTAAGAAAACAGCTGTTGATACAAGAATGACTACATGTGTACCTAATAAAAGAGGATATAATATATGTAGTCCAAGATTTCAGGAAAGTCCACTATTATGCTAATTCTTATTAGAATTTAAGGAAATTCACAAAATTAACGCATTGGATACTAATATACTGACGGTATTTAAGAAGAATATCTTTGTAGGCCAATGATCTTGTTAAATATGTAATAGTGGTGATTTTGAAAGAGGTCATCAAACATTTTAGCGTGTTATTCCAGGTGCCTCTTCGATATTTATTGGGAATGCTTTATATCAACTTTAGTCCACTGTGGGAACCTGTGATTGAGCTTATAAGGTAAGTCTTTGTTTTTTCAAGGAAAAGAGCAAATTGGGTATCGTGGTTAAGGATTCAGATTCAGCTCAGGCCTAAGCCATGGGAGCTCACTGGGTGATGTGGGATCAGTCCCTCTAAGCCCAACTTTTGTTGTGGGAATTGTTGTAGGAAAGAATGTAGTGCATGTCACTTTGAATTGAAAGAAAAGCAAATATAGTTCTAAAGTTACGTAGTTATAAATAAGGACAAAAATCAATTGTATCATAAACCTGTGAATTATGGAGAGTTAGTTTAATGTGCTAAAGAAGTAAATGTCTTATTTCTGGTGAGACTGTTGAATGTGCCGTTCTTTTGAAGGAGGGGATAATTAACATTGTTCAGCCTATGAGAAATATGACTTCTTAATTTTCAGCTTACTATTTTCTGGCATCTGGTAGAGTTTTTTTTAAATGTAATAGATGATTTATATACTATGAATCATATGATTCATATGATATGAATAGATAGTATATAATGCTTGAGTTAACTTAAAATCGTAGCTTTCACATTCATCATGAAGATACTATTGCAGAATTGCATTCCTCGTTACTTTGGTTTTTTTGCCGCATCTACACACTGCAGTTCTACCTGTTTTAAACAGTTCTAACAAAACAAAACAGTTCTAAACTGTTTTGTTTCATAAATGAATTTAGTCCTATAGAATTATGTTGGTTCCACCCATAGACATTAATTAGAATGTGACCTCAAAGTCTTTTGTTCATCTTGAGTCCGGGAGAAAATGAATGATGCCAAACATTTGTGGGAAGGAAATTTTCTTAATGAGCAGATGTTTGAGAAGTGAAGGAGTGCAGTTTCATGTTTGCAGCAGTGCAGTTTAAGGACTTCTTGCACAATCAAAGAGTAGAGAACCAAGTTCCTCATCCCTCTCTGTAATTGAGTTTCTGGGTGGAATGGCTGTCCTTTCTCGCTCACATATGACAAACATCGAGCAGGCTGAATCCAGAGAGCTTTTCCATGAGTGGAGATGAGGAAAGAGCTGAAATCCCAGTTGCACAAGATGTTGCATAAATCTTAAAATGAGTTCTTGATCTGTGTTTGTGCTGTGAGCAATAAGTACCATATCTCTCAGAAGTAGCTGGCCGAACTAAAACATTTGGCACTGAAATTTAAGCACATGCTGAAGAATGACCACAAATAAAAAGAAAAAAATCAGTTCACTGTGCAAAAGAAAACTGAACAAGCAGAAACTTTTCAAAGAGAAAAGAATTAAGAAATAATCCCAACATGGTGGCTTTTTTCCCTTCTCTTTGTGACTTAATGAAGCACCATTTCCTGAATATTTCAGTACCATCTTTCTCGTGTTCAACTACTTTGCAGTTTTGGAACAAATCAGATTATGGAATGATATGAGCAAGTTAGATATATTTATCAGATTTCTTATGCTTCTGTTTTTCAAAAATACAGCAAAATGATTTTGGACTGTGATACAATAGGAATAAAGCCCCATAAATTAAGGAAAGAACATTGCAAAATAGTTTATTTTCTGTGAAGAAAATAAGACATGCCTATGGTAGTTAATAGTTGATTTGTTCAGTTATCTTTTTTTTTTCAAAAATAAAATCCCTTTTTAAATTAGGTCCCATGCAGATGAAATGGAAAACAAACTATTCTGGAAAGTTTATTATGAACATTTGGAAAAAGCTGTATCCTATGCTGGTAAGACATTGTCATATAAAAGATTTAATAATGATGGAGACAAGGCTAAAGCTGCTTGTTAACTAATCGAATAGTGCCTGACTTCGTATTCTTCAGGAATTTTCTCCCCTACCCCCCCCCCTCTCTCTCAGGTTCCAGTGGCAAAACAGGCATGCTTGCAGTGATCTGGAATTGTTACTTGCAATTTTATTTTTTATTTTTTCTCTCAAAGAACACAAAACAATTATTTTTTATTGATAGGAGGCCTCAATTTCTGGAAGTACCCAATTTTCTGGGCCTGCTGCAGAACCCCAGTGATTGAACAGTATTCACTAAAGTGGAACTCTTAAATGTTAAGTTTTTAAAAATTCTTTATTAACCTGGACTATAAATAGATTTTCTGTAAATTTGCAATAATAGGTTAGCTGGCATGACTAAAAAGATGTTTATTTTGGATTTAATGCTCATTTTGGTGATTTTTCCATAGAAAAAGAGCTACGTAATGAGCTAGAAGAAGAACCAAAAACTGTTACGGATGTTGGAAGTGAGGAAATCTATCAGCATCATGTCAGAGCTGTGTATGATGAGCAATTGAAATGTCAGACATGCTGTTACGAGAGAATGGATCATACAAACTTTAGGTTTCTCCTTTGGAAAGCAATGTCAAGATTTGCATACAGGGTAGAATCCAGGTCAAGAGAACTTTCTCCACTTCTACTAAGATTTATTAAGTAAGTGAGGATTTTTATGGAAGAAATGTTGTATATACATGTTTCACAGACACTGTTGGAAGTACTTGGTTACTCTTAAAAAAATATAAGCATATGATGGAATAATTCATATTATGACTTATCAACAAGGACGTCTGACTGTACTTGCTGCTTCCCCTGCTCCAAGCACTCATGACAAACAGACCATGGTGTGTAGTGGGCTGTGAGAATAACTTTTAGGAGCAGTAGCAAAAGCTGCAACCAAGACATTGATTAGGCAAATAAAATCTAAGTCCAAAGCAGAAATGCAGTTTTGAGAAAATGCCTCAGACCTGATCCTCCTCAGTTTTCATGTAGATAAAGGTGGGGGGCTGGCGGAGGTGCATTCAATTGTGTAAGATTCTGTTACTAACACTATAATAAAAGTAGTTTATTATAGCTTTGTTTCCTAGTTGGTCTTCCTTGAAGTACAATATCAATAGGAAAAGTAAAGAGTCTGCCTGACACTTGTGTGCATAACAGAGACATTAAAACAGAGGGAGAGGTAGGGCCACAGAGAGTAACAGTGACACAACAGGGCTATTATTTACTGAGGCACAAATAAGTTACTAGAATAAATTGAAAAAAGATAGACAGGAAGACCAACTCCTCTATTTTGTTTTATTACAGCAATGAGTATTATCCTGCTGATTCACAAATAGCCCCAGTGCAAGACCTTAGAAAGAAAAGCAGTTGTAGTGAGGATGTAAAAGATCTTCCAGAGAAAATGGATCTTCAAGACACAACTGAGGATGAGTCACATGACTTTGAAGAAGAGAAGCAAACTTCTGAAGGCCAAATGACTGAAGAGATGCCAAAAAAGAAAACAAGAAGGGCGGCAACAAAGTATGTTTGTCTTAACTGCAATGAAAATGATAAGGGTTTTCTTCAAAACTTGTAAGAAAATTTGCATTTAAATATAATTTAGCCTGTGGTTCTTGTTATTCAATTGTAACATGCCTTGCATAGTTTCTTAATTCTTTCTTTCTCTTTCTCCAGTCATTAGAATATGTAATAGAACATTTTAGTCATATGTTGATTAGGCTCACAATTCAGGTTCATGTTGATTTGTTAATCAAGCCCATGATTTACTGTAACATGGGATTCCAGTGATGAATCAGAGACAAAGTGAAAGGAGTTCACTTACTGACTATGTAAATTGCTTATGTTTGTGGATAACTCTTTAAAAACCTGGGTGTTCCACATGTGTATGATAAGTAGGAAGCAGCAGAATGGAATATGTTGCAATTAAATAATTCAAAATTTGGAAAGATGTATGCAAACATTGTATACTGTCCTCTTATTTATTTAGCTTAAATGCAGAATATATCAAAAGAAATTTGGACTAGAAGAAATATAGTTTGGATTGAAAAAGTGAGAACATTTAAGGAACAGTTTTGAAGGTGAAAAAGGCAACAAAAACAAGTTATTGTTCAATATTTAAAAAATTAAGATTATTTCAGCAGGCAAGACCAACCCCATGAAATTTCAGCAGAATTGAAATAGTGGTCAATTTTATCATTTTAAGCTTAAAAATTTACTGTAGTCAAGAAATCGTGAAACAGTCATGAAAAGTGCATGCACTTGCCCGCTGCTCGTGCAAGTGGGGATTCGTAGTCACGTCCGCTAATCACTTCCTTTTTTTTTTTGTAAAGTTTTTTTTTATTTTTTACACAAACACACACACAAACATACAATGTATTTTTGCTGAACAAAGTATTCAGCCGGTTAACAAATTTAAACAATTTTTAGTCCTTTCAACTAAAATTACAATTTCTATACCTCCTTTTTTGCCATAACATTTATTTTCATCTATTTTGTACCAATATTACCCTTCATTTTCATCTCTAATTTTGACCAAATTCCATTTTCCCTTCTATTCTATATTAAACTCCTTCCTATTATCAGCTAATTTTTATAGCCATCATCAAATTAATTAATTATGTGGTGTTACAGTTATTTAATTCTTATATTAATAATAAACTCACTTATTTTATAACATACATTTCCTTAACTAATACAATCCAACATTTTAATATAAATCAATTGATTATATAGATATATTTTTCATTTATATATGAACCAGAAGAAAAAAAACCTTTGTTGAATTTAAAAATATTCTTAACTATTATCCTCTAATTATATAGCTTTCCCCCTGTATTATTCCAAATCATCACTTAATCGTTGGTACACACACCACCGTAAACCATTAAAAACATTTCAATTATTATTCCAATTATTTTTCAATTCATTTTCACCATCATATGATTTAACATTATTTCTTACTACAATTCATATTTCAATTCTAGTCATATACATCATATTCCTCTTTCATTTCTTTCCTTTTTTCCCTTTTCCTTTTTATTTTTCCCCTTTTCTTTCCCCTTTTTTCCTTTTGTGCCTTAAAATCCTGATTTCTCCTGTTTTGCCCTATATTTCCCGTTGTTCCCCCTCTCTTTTCTCTTTTTTTTGTTTCACCACTGTTTATCCCACTATTTATCCCAGTATTATCATTTTGTATTTCAAAGTCCTGAACTCTTCTATTTTGCCCTATATTTCCTGTTATTTTCCACCCTTTTTCTCTCTTTTTTATCTTTTCACTGTAAATCCCAGTGTAATCATTTAAGTTCTTTATATTCTTTCTGTTCCATCCTCCCTTCCTTATTTGTCTCTTTCCATCCTCTTTATTTTTTTCATTGTTAATCCCAATGTAATCTCTAAAAACCTCCTTATTATTATTACTATCTACATGTTCAGTTACTTCTTCATATTTAATCACATTGTCTTTATCTTCTTTATTTTCAGCCTCTATGTCTTGCTTCTCCATCTTCATTTTCTTGTCCGCTTGCGTATGCTCCATCTCAGCTTTTGTGCTCTCAGATTTTAATCCTCCGTGTAACATTGTAGTTATTTCTCTTATTTCCATTTTCCATGACAAGTACATCGATTTAATCATTTCTCTAATTTCCTGCGCCATTTTATTCTTTTTGAGTTAATATTATTTCGATTTTAAAAGTTCCATTGTATTCCTTTCCCCCCTCCCCCGCCCAAAGTCAAGCCACTTGCAGACAAAGTTCTCACGGCTGTTATCTGTAAAGTTCATAATTTTCCAAAACAAGTGGACAGTGGGTGGGGAGAGGGGATGGTTCTGCACAAGTGCATGCACTTGCCCGCTGCTCGTGGAAGTGGGGATTCGTACTCACGTCTGCTAATCACTTCCGTGATCTAGATCTGAATGGCTCAAGGCCCCGGGGGTTTGGGACCCCTGTTGTAGATGACCCCCGTTTTTTCTTTTGGGGCTGCTAGGTTTTTTTGTTTTTTTGTTTACTTTAAGTTGACTTGTGTACTACGTGAATTCCATGTGATTGTGATAATCTGTTGGTGGTTTCTGAGATGTTCTTGATGTATGGCAACATTACTCTTTTAAGGGCTTGATTTGGTTGTGCTGTATTGGGTTGAGTGTAGGCACTTTTTGATAAAGTTGTGTGGATATCCATTTTGTTGGAATATGTTGCATAGATGCTCTGTTTCCTTTTTCTGCTGTTCAAGGTTACTGCAGTGAGTTTGTGCTTGTCTAAACAAAGTTCCAAAACACAGTTTCTCTTGTGGGAGGTTAGCTTGCTGCTTTGGTAGTGAAGCACTTGTTGTGGGTGGTTGTTCTATACACTTGTGTTTCCAGTTTGCCATTATAATCTCTGCTGATCAGAATGTCCAGGAAGGGGAGTGACTTGTTTTCTTCTTCTCTGGTAAACTAGATTCCTTTATAGATGTTGTTGAGGTTCTATGGATATTCTTTAATTGGCCCCTTTTTATTATGGTGAAGGTGTCTACATATCTGAAGCATATTTGGGTTGTATTTGTGGAAGTGCTGTAGCTTCTAGACACTGCATAACAACCTCCGCTAAAAGGCCTGAAAGCGGTGATCACATAGGTGTACTTTAATTTGTTGGTAAATTTGTCCATCAAATTGGAAGTATGTGGTTAGGCAGAGAAAGAATGTATGACCACATTGCTCCATAACACATCTGATCTAACCAAATACACGAAGATTAAAACACCCAATATTATGAGATCCTTTGTGTATTTGGTTAAGTCAGGTGTGCTTTGGAACAATGTGGTCATAGATTCTTTGGCTAAGTCTGGATCTGTAGGCGTGAAAAGGGCTGTGATATCAAATGGGACTATGATTTTGTCCTCATCTATAGTATCGACTGATGGTTTGAAGGCGCTGTTTTGGGAAGTTGAGAGTCAAGCCACTAGAATATAAACTTGAGAGCAAACCACATTGCTTACTATCACTGATGATTTTACCTAGTTTGTGTAATGAAATGTCTACAAGAAAGCAACCAAGTTCAGAGAGCAAAGACCCTCAGTTCAGTACTGATGTGAGAATTGGTTTTTTAATTCTAATAACTTTTTCCAAAAGTCTGCTTCAAAAACTCAAAGAAGCAAGTAGCGATAAATAACAATGGCATAATGATATTATTTGGGTCATGAGGGGCTAGAAGTGTCTAACCAACAAATTGATCCTCTGGATTTTTCCAAATTAAATGCATTAGTGTTACCTTCTCTGGAAGAAATATGAGACTGGAATTTTCTGTTTTTAGTTGATAAAAAGGTGTTTAGTTTTCTACAGCTTAGCATAACATCCAAACCCAGATAAACTAGTCTGTCTTATTCTTAATATGATTAATGGAAGTAGATTTCAAGCTGTATGGAATTGGCTTTTTTGTTATTGTTAATCACTAGCTAAGGATAGCGTTAATGGGGTTTGGGTGACATAAATGTAGCTAACACAGAATGGAAGCAAAGGCATCTGAAATCACATGTGCAGTCCTGGCTTGTTCCTGTTCATAATATCTGAACCAAGACAGGCTATCAGTCAATACTAGATTCAATAAAATAACCCAGTGATCTTTGCAAAGAGCTATGTAAACTTAAGTACATAAGAACATTTAAAAGAAAGCATTTGATAAATTGGTTTGTAGTTTTAAAATGTTTCCATCTCAAAAGTCAAATGTTGTTTTTGGGTGTTTTTTTTACTGACAGTTGGTCTGTTCTGTTTTGTTTTTCAGGCAGCTTATCAGTCACTTACAAGTTTTCACTCAGTTTTCAAATCCCCGTGCTTTATATTTAGAACCCAAATTGAATGAAATATATGTTCAGGTAAAGAATTTTTAAAAATGATTAATTTTTAAAAAATGATTAAAATGATTTAATACACATGCGTATTTATTATCTTACAGCTTGGAAATAATTTGGGAAAGTTTTTTGTTTCAGAATTTGTTCCCAACCTGATGTCTCCAGAGAAACTTGAGAATGCCACTTCCAGAATTACTAGCCAGCATGAAAGTGACTAAATTATTCTCAAGCAATTAGTTGCTTAACAAATAAATAAAAGTAAAGCAAACATAAGATAGAGAAAAATAAAAAGGGAAAAAAGTAAAACAAAATGTATTCACATGATCAACTGAATTGTGAAGTTCACATTAGAAAGTAATAATTTCTGAGCTCTGTTATGATCTTTCTTGGCTGGTGGTAGAATTATTATGATAGTAGTGAGGAATAGCTTAAATCAGCCTTCAATTTATTAAGAAAAATCAGCTGCAAGATCTAGGCTTGCTGTCTCCTATCCCAGCAAGTCAAATAGTCGAAGAGGAATTGAGTTTTGTTAAGTATATCAGGGGTCCCCAAGCTGCGGGGTGTGACCCAGTACCGGGCTGTGGTCTGTTTGGAACTGGAAGGGATGATTATGTGCACATGCACAGCTCCATTTGTGTGAATGGTGAGCACACGCAGGCACAAATGGAACATTCACCCGCCACTTGCGCGGAACCATCCCCTCACCTCCTGCCAGTCATCAAAGCCAGAAAGATTGGGGAATGCTGAAGTATATGATGAATTTTTGGGGGAAAGGAAAAGCCTTATAGAAGTAAGAATTTAAGCGAGATAGTATGGGGATTGCATAAATGTTTTTAGATTATAATAGCTGATTATGCTTTTTGACAAGGAGCTGATTCTTGGAGATTCCTGTTTTGAGGATCATTCTTTTTAATGTGCAATTTTTACAGTAGAGTTCAATAATAGAATGTAAAACATTTTATAGTAATTAGAACTACCTTTCTCAAATTCCTTGTTGGAAATATGAAGCATTACCACAATTTAGAGATAGATATTAAGAGTCTAGATGATATGATATTTATTTATTTGTTTGTTTGTTTGTTTGTTTGTTTGTTTGTTTATTTATTTATTTGTCGCATTTCTATGCTGCCCAACTCCCTGGGGACTCTGGGCGGTTTACAACAAAAAATAATGCGAACAATATACCATAAAAGTTGTTTTAAAAAAAAAATTAAAAACCCATATACTCCATTCATGGCCGGGTCTCGCAAGATTGCAGCAGCGAGATCAACGGCCCCAGGCCTGCCAAAAAAGCCAGGTCTTCATCGCTTTCCAGAAGGCCAATAGGGTGGGGGCGGTCCGGACCTCAGGAGGTAATTGGTTCCAGAGAGCCGGGGCAGCCACAGAGGAGGCCCTCCCCCGTGGGCCCGCCAGCCGACATTGTTTAGCTGATGGGACCCGGAGGAGACCAACTCTCTGGGATCTTACCGGTCGTTGGGAGCTGTATTATTATTAGAAGACCAATGGTCTTATAAGAGAGCACATATGTGTTTCAGATTTTTACAGTGGTGCACATTTTTGAAGTTCATGGACTCTAGGTATAAGAACAATTGTTAAAATGGCAAAAGCATTCCCTGCTTGTGGATTTTGCTGTTTGCATAATTACTATGCTCTATGGATTCTCTTCAGTAAAAGGACAGTGTAAATTGTGAAAGAGAATTGATTGTAATACGCTACTATAACACAGCTCTGTTTTAACCCTGGTTTGTTTTAAAACATTATTTTCAGCTGCTGACCCACCAAGACCAAAATGTACAAAAAGTAGCTCTTGATTGTATCATGACTTACAAGCATCCACATCTTCTGCCCTATAAGTAAGAGATAATGTCTGCTTGTCTGCATTGAATTATATATGATCATACACTCACAAATATAGCTTCAGACTTAATATATACTGTAGATTCTGTAATTGTGTTACTTTCTATTGCTTTAGATGATGTGCATTTTTATTTCTTGGACTGTAATATTTTAGATGAATACTTGCCTGGTTTAATGACATACACTGTATCATTACACTAGTTTATGTTACAGGTTTATTATAGAGTGTGAGGGAGATGAGCGATTTAAAAATGAGACAGATAGATAGATAGAACATACTAAAAATGAATAGAGGCTCCTTGTTGTGTTGGTATTTTATCCAGTGCATTTGATTTTACTTTCATGTTATATATTTTGTGAATTTTGCTGGTCATTGATTGAATAAGCATCTCTCACGTGTATCTTCTCAAGTACTAAAAAGTTTGTGATCTTGTATTTTAATAAATTATGTAAAGAATCTTTGTTTAAGTTGTGTTATGTACCTACAGAGAGAATTTATATCGGCTATTGGAAGACAAGAGTTTTAAAGAAGAAATAGTTCATTTTAGTATTTCTGAAGAAAGCAGTATAGTAAAACCAGAGCACCGACCAGAACTTATTCCTGTTTTGATGAGGTAAGGGACTTTTATATGTTAATATAAATACTGTTTTACTTTTTATTGCTTTAGGCAATGTGTATTTTTACTCCTTAAGAGTGTAATATTTTAAATTTCTACCTGCACAGTTTACCAGACAATACATGCTGTGATGTATGTTTAAAAATGAAATATTACCTCCTACCTCACAGAGAAGATGGAAATTCTGATCCATTGTCCAGATTTTACTGTAAACATACTATCTTTGTAATAAACTTGTTAACTTAACTCATGTTCTTGTATAAAACTACAACCACAACTTATTTTTTAAAAAGTGGCTTTTCTCTTAAATTATAAAACCTAGCTTTATTTCTAATCAAACAAAGGACAGATTTCCCAACTGTGGGCTTGATGGTAGATACCGGTGAAGACCAAATGTGGTAAAAGAGTTATATTGCTGATTTGGGATTGGAAAAAAAGGCTATCTGTGAATACCATTAAGTCATGAAGTTTACTTTGAACTATTTACTACTTTCTACTCTTAACATATTTCAGAGATATTGTAAAAATAAAATGGAGGCAAAACTGTTTACCATATACATGTAAAAAGGGGTTTAATTAAATCTAGGGTTATTTGAATCAAACTTGGCCCATAATTTTATGACAACAATATAGAAAGGGTTATTTTCAACATTCCAGTAGTCTGTAATCCTGAGGTTTCCTGGTGATGTCCTGTCAAAGTTTCATGCCTGATCCTGCTTAGCTTTCCAATATCAGTCAAGCTTGGAGAGATGCAGCCCAGACTGTAGAATATAAAATTATCAATAAATAAAATAAATGTGGACAAAGAATGAAATAAGTTCTAGTAAGTATGGATGGAAGAATGAACTTTCAGTTGTGAATTATTTTGTAATAACATTCATTATAATCGTTGATCAGACAGCATCTTTATCTTTTATATCTCAAGATATTTATTACTACGGTTTTCCCCACAACAAAAACCCTGTGAGGTGGATTGGGCTGAGAGGAGTGACTATCCAATGATCCCACCAGCTTCCATGCCTAAAAGAGGACTAAAACTCATTGTGTCCCAGTTTCTAAACCAGCACTTAATCACTGCACCAAACTGCCTCTTTGATTTGTGATGATTATTGCGGTTTGTGGCATGCTGGGAATTTCTGCTAGGACTAGCACATAAAGAGCCTTTTGCCTATGGACCTATTGCTTCTGAAAAGCTAACATGATTTCTTTTTACCCCTTGAAGGATTCTGTATGGACGGATGAAAAACAAAACTGGAAGCAAAACACAAGGGAAATCATCGGCAGGGACCCGTATGGCTATTGTTTTGAGATTCCTGGCAGGCTCTTTGTCTGAAGAGATAAGGGTGTTTTTGGATCTGCTCTTTGAGCCTGTGAGACATTTCAATAATGGTATGTTTTGCAGAGGAAAAAAAAGTGTTGGCAGATATAATGGAGCTGTCAACATGTTAAAGGGGACTGAAGCTTGTAGAAATAAACATAACACAAAACCATATGGGAAGTGTCTCTACTGTCAACATTGCCCATTGAAGATTGAGGATGGCCGGTAGCTTCAGAATGTTGAATATATATGGCAAAATAATATTATTTTATTTCAATGCATGCATTATTGCATTGGCTCATTGCTATTGTTCTCTTATACCGCCTGGAATATTTCAAGATTGAGATGGTTTAAAAAATGTATAAAGAAATTAATTAGATGAATGAGTGGGAAGTGGAGCATTGGATGACATGCATGATTCCTTAACATTTAAAGCAGAACATGGCATTTTCCATGTGACTGGTGACCTGGTAGCTGCAGTTAATACCGCATTCTTATGACTGCAATCACTTTCACTCCGGTTAATAGCGATGGAGAAAAAGCAGCTTCCCTTCCATTTCCTTTTCCTTCCCCACCCCTAAGTCTCTTACCCATTTTCCTGCATTTTTCTTTAGATATTTTATCCCACTTTTCTTATTTTTATAAATAACTCAAACATACTCTTTCCTCCTCCTATTTTCCACACCACAACCCTGTGAGGTGAGTTGGGCTGAGAGAGAGTGGCTGGCCCAAAGTTACCCAGCCAACTTTCATGTCTAAGACGGAAGTAGAGCTCACAGTCTCTTGGATTTTAGCCTGCTGGTTTTATTTGTTAGGGTGGTCAAGACTTCAGAATATGATGACTTTGATGGGCTCTGTCATGAACCATCAAACCTCTAATGCTAATTCTTGTGGGGCAAGAATGAAAGCTTTTAGTCAAGTGGGCAATTGCTCTGAGAGTGCTCTAAAGTTGATTTTCAGTCTTCTTACCGGAATGCTAATACTCTTAAGAGTTAAGTGGCCTTTCAGCAGCCGTGTCATAAGTACAGGAGTGATGACAGATAAAGCCAGTGGTAACAGTGGTTGAGAATTATGTTGAATTGTCGTGAACTGCAACCGGTGATCAAGGATTACATGGCTTTGGTGTTGCCTACATGAGGCCCCTAATATTCTAAAGGAGGTTGTGGCTGACTGATCAGAATCTTGAAACATGAACCTGCCTGTTTAGGACAATTATGTCCTACGTCATTTTGTGTTGAGCCCAACTTTCTTCAATGTAAATTGATGAGCATGAGCACACCATGTGCAGCAATGATAATGAAGCAGATGAGAAAGTTGACTTAATAATATTATATTAAGGAAATTGATTGAGCAGTTGATTATGGGAAAGTAAACCTTTCTAATTCTGGAGATTAATGCTGGATCAGCATTATCAAATGCAGGGGTGTCAAGCTCGCGGCCCACGGGCTGGATGCATCACATGCTGGCCATGTCCATTCCTGTTTTAGTGAAGGGGAAAAAGTCGCGATATGACACATGACAGCAAACGTGAGTTTGACACCCCTGATCTAGTGGAACCGGAGATTTTGCGTATACCTAATATTAAGCCTTTATTTACTGAACTCAGTCATCACATCTCATAGGTCTTGATTAATGTGTAATAACAGTTGCACTTTGAAAATATGAACATTCATCCTGTGTTAGAATTCTAAACATACTGTTTTTGAAATTAAAAATTGATTTAACTGAGACTAACATGTACTGTATGTACATACAGCCTTCTCCTTCTGTATTAGTTAGAGTTGTTTTCCGTCATTTTTAAATATCACTTTAAAATTTGATTCCCCAAATTGAGCATTGTTTTGTAGCTAAAGCACAACCATTCTTAATTTGCCAATTTCTACTATTGTGACCAAATCTTGAATCTAGATTTACACATACAAAATATTGAACAGTATCCCCATTCTGTAGAATGTTTATCTATATACATTCATTATTCTCTTCTTTCCTCTTTTATGTTTTCTCTCTGTTTTAAAGGACAGTGCCACTCTGCAGTGCTTCAAGCTGTGCGAGATTTGGATTTATCTCAAGTCCTCCCGTTAGGCCGTCAGCATAGCCTTTTCAACAGCTTGGAAGTAGTACTAAAAAACCTGGGACATCTAATCAGCCAGAACCTGCCTGAGATTTTACAGATTTTACTTTGCATGACAGCAACAGTATCACACATTCTTCAGCAAAGAGAAAAGGTGAGAGCTGCTGCATACTTAAGCTGACATGTGAGAGTTAAAAAAAAATCTTGGTGTAATTAATTTTTTTTTTTAAATTTGATTTATATGCTGCCCTTCTCCGGAGACTCAGGGCGGCTTATAATGCGTTAAGCAATAGCCTTCATACTTTTGTATATTTATACAAAGTCAGCTTATTGCCCCCACAAACTGGGTCTTCATTTAACCTACCTTAGAAAGGATGGAAGGCTGAGTCGACCTTGAGCCTGGTAAGATTCAAACCTGCAGAAATTGCAGGCAGCTGTGTTAATAACAGGGTGCATTAAACCACTGTACTACCAAGGCTCCTTTTAGAATTAAGAAAGGAATGTTAATTTGGTGTTTAGGCTACTACATTTAGGCTACTTGAATTAAAGTAATAAAGATTAATGCTTACTGAATATTAGTATGACTTGCAAGGATGCATTTCAGGTTTTTTTTAGAAAATTAAACATTTGGTTTAGGTTTCTAAATTTAAAACAAAATGTGCAGGGTGTATATTTTACATATATAGTATCAACAAAAGATTATTGATAGTATTAGTAACCTGTTACAGTCTTGTGTATTTTTGGCAGAGAGAGTCATGCTAGGCTAAATGAAGTATACTACTTCAGTGCTACATAATAGTACACTAAATTTGCTTGTCAAATTTAATTCAATTGTCTTGATAGCTCTCCTCTGTTTTACCAAAATCAAACCAAATCTTTATTATGGTCTAACATAGAGTTTCCATACGCTAACCAGCATAGAGCAATAATCCTAATCCTTAGATATGGGGAAAATAGTTACATTGTTAGATTCTCAAACGTCTTTTCAGGCTCTGACCTTTATGAGGCAACTGGTTAAACTGGGAAAAGGCTGATCTTTTTAGCAAGATAATTACTGGTGAACTTTTGCATAAAGTTACTCAGTAACACTGAAATTGAAATCTGTAATTCAGTAACCCCAAAAATACTTTCACCATTGTCATTTGTTAAACTGAATTTAACATTTCATTATCTATTGAAGAGCTAAAAGATACTTAAAGTCTGTGAGAGCCCTAATTGTACTTCACTTGGTAGTTTTCTGAATGTGTTAATCATACATTGCAGACAAACGTTCCCATTTGTGTTAAAACTTTAACTTTGTATGGTTATAAATAAACTTAGCTTTACAATTTCCTAAAGTTTGCAATTCTGAATGTTTTTGTGGCTATGGTGCTTACATTTTCTTTTTCTGCTATTCAAGTTCTTAACTTGTGTTACAGAATTTTGTGTTGACTTTATCTCTCACACATTATAGAAGTTACAATTTCCATAGTAAGAAGGTTATAGAGAAAAAATAATATGCAGTTACCCAAGGTGTAACTAGTAAAATATCTAAAAAGCTATTTCCCAAAGTATCATCATATTTAAGTAGGTATAATATGTGGATAATGCATGCTAATAATGTCTAATAATGAATTTTAAATATTTTGATCCAATACATGAATAAAAAATGCAATTTTCTGAAAACGTTTTGCTTAAGAAAAGAAAAAACCATCACAGTTTCTTTTACAGATTCAACTCAGATTTATCAACCAGCTGAAAAACTTAAGACGCCTTGGACTTAAGCTTATAGCAGACTTTTTCTCTGACTTTGAAATGTACAGCTTTAGCGGAGAAGAGATTGATGCTGTGTTCTGTGCAGTGGTGTGGCCCCAGGTAAGGCTGCTCCTTTCAGTAAGTGATTCCAAGGTTGGCATATATCTTCTGGGAGAAGAGTAAAATTTGGGGCAAAAGGAAAATAATATATTAAAATAAAGCATCTCACTTCGTTATATCCCCCTTAGATGGTCCACATTTTCATGGCTTATATTTTACTTAAAATGTTATCGATCTGTCAGGTATCTGAGGGTCAAGAGGTGGAGTTGAGCCCGTGCTTTGGCTGTATTAATTGTTATTGATGGAGCTGTTTTACCCTGGCTGCTGTTGTAGATACGTTGTTTTGCTTTTCTCCTTTTATATTTTTAATGTTGTTAGCTGCTCAGGGTCAGTAACTTGAGATTGGTGTCCACATCAATTGAACATATGGTTCAATAAATATTGGCTGAATTTTCATCACTGTGACATAGACCAGCAAATACGACGCTACATTGGCAACTGAGAAATGTAAAAATTGCAGAAATTAGCCAGAGTTACTGGACAAAGGTTATTGCTTTCAGAGTTCCATCCTCCCTTATTTTCATTTGTACCATTGGCCTCCATAATAGATGAAGCTACTGGCTAAGTCCCGGTGGAGTAGGAATGGAATCTGAAGTTCATAAATTCACCTTCTTCCTCTTAAGTCAGGCCAACTTCTACCAACAAAGATGAAATAAACCATATTTATAATAGTTATGTGATATTGTATAATATTTAAATATAAATAATATGAAATTTCTTCTTGTTAGCTCAGGCTGGAAGGAAAATTTCTGTAATTTAGCCAGAAATGGTATGTGATATCCACCTTTCTCTGGAGCTAGGATCCTGGGACTTAGAGACTATTCTTTAAAATTACCAGCAGGCCCCTCTCACTTGGTGAACTGAAGACAATGCCTGACGGTAACAGGCATTGGGTTGGACTCTTCAAAGTATTTTTGTGCTTGAGGTCAATGGAAGCAGCTTTTGCTATTCTGGTGCAAAAGGCATTGCAGCAAATATTGGTTGCATTCATACTAGATTCATATATTGTGCTACGTCAAGATGAAAGGAACCACTGGCATAGTACAGCATGTGAGCCCAGATAGTTCATTGTTCTTTCAGATGCAAATAATCTTGCTTCTTCTATTCTGAATAGCTGTCCTATGATATACTTGTTAAGGGTTCCTGATTTTATCTTCCTGCATTGTTTTTTTTTGTTTTTGTTTTTCCCCCCCAGATCACTAGGCTGGCTTCTGAGAGCCAGTATTCTCCTACTCCTTTACTCAAAATTATTCATATCTGGAGCAAAAACCCCAGGTAAGCTATTTGTTTTTAGCAAAACAAAAACAAAACTGTCCAATAATTATTATAGACTGTACTATCTATATTATTTAAAAGCTTTAAATCCAGAAGGTTTATTGCCCTGCAGGTTAACATGCAATTGTGGTTTTAGAACTCTTTGTCATCTGCATTAGTCACAGACTACAACCCCCCCATTAGCACTTATTATTCACATGGCTCATTGGGCTGACAGAAATATTGCATGTCAGTCACAGATGGGGAGCTTTAGTTGTCTGCCTGTGCTCTTTATGTAGAAACAAAATAGTTAGGATAACTGTAATACTGGGATCAGACAAAACAGGGTTAGAACCATGTATTGCAAATATGTGTCCTGCCAAAATATAGCGTCCTTTTTGTCCTCTTCTTTTCCCTGTCTGCTTTTCTTTTCCTGGAGCTGTGAACAAGAGTAAATTACAAGCTTGTGATTCAGAGAGGCTTATAGGAGAAGTCACTGCAGCTTCCGACGTTTCTCAGTTCCAATCTTTTTAAATCAAGTGATTTCTTGCATTGCACCCAAACAATGATTTACACTGTACTACCAAGGCCAAGAGCCTTGGTAGTACAGTGGTCTAAGGCACCCTGTTATTAAGCTGGTTATTAAGACCAGCTGCCTGCAATTACTGCAGGTTCGAATCTCGCCAAGGCTCAAGGTTGACTCAGCCTTCCATCCTTTCTAAGGTAGGTAAATTGAGGACCCAGTTGTGGGGGCAATAAGATGACTTTGTATAAATATACAAAAGGATGAAGGCTATTGCTGAGCACATTGTAAGCCGCCCTGAGTCTCCGGAGAAGGGTGGCATATAAATCAAATTTTTTTTTAAAAAAAAAGTGTCAGTGGCTGGTTTTGTACAACCAAAAAGGCAAAATATGATTATTTAATTACCGTATTTTCTGGAGTATAAGACACACTTTCCCTCTCCACCCAAATGTGGAAAAGTCTCCCCCCAAATGTGGAAAGTCTGTGTGTTTTATACAGTGAATATTGCGGCGGGGGGGAGGGGAGTTGGTGCGGTGCCGATCAGCTGTTTTAGAATGGGCTGTGGCAGTGGTGGCGAACTGGCTGTGGTGGCGGCGAATGAGCCGTAGCAAATGGCAATGACGGCAAATGGGCCGTGGTGAATGGGTAGCAGCGGTGAATGGGCTGCGGCGGCAGCAAACTGCCGGCGATGGCGAATAGGTTGTGGTGGCAAACGGGCCAGATGAATACCAGATGGATGCTGGGAGGCAGAGGCAGAGGCAGATTTTTTTTTTCTTGTTTTCCTCCCCAAATGCTAGGTGTGTTTTATAGTCCAGAGTGTCCTATAGTCTGAAAAATACAGTATCTCTTAATCAGGGGTGGGTTGCTACCGGTTCGCACTGGATCGGGCAAACCGGTAGTGGCAGCGGCGGGAGGCTCTGCCCATCTGCCTGGACTCTTCTGCTCATGTGCAGAAGTGTCACACGCATGCGCAAGTGCGTGTGCACCCACAAGCGAACTGGTAGTGACAGATTTTTAAACCCGCCCCTGGTCTTAATACAATGTACGAACCATGTCTTATTATAGCAGGAGTTCTATCTATTGAACTTCTCAAGTGTTTTTAATCCTACAGATAGAATCGTACTCAACTCAGTTATATTTTCATCTCCAAAGCTAGTGTGTATGTTCGTAGAATAGTCTGTTCCTGAACTCCAGTCATAGTTTGGAATATGGTAGCAAGTATTCAGGGGATTTCATGCTTTTTGTTCATTGTTAATATCTGGAAATGGTAATAAATGTTTTTATAGTAAAAGAAATTGAAGCACCAGAAGTATGAAAAACTTGTCTTTTTTTCTCAGTTTTGAATCCCATATAATTTATTTCTTAAAATTCCCTTTCCCCCTTCTTACTTTGCTTTTAGGTATTTCATTTTGCTAGCTAAGCAGAAGCCAGGGCATCCAGAATATGACATATTATCAAATGTATCTGCCGTGCTCTCAGCCAAGGCTCTGGGAGAGGGAACAGCTAGTACTGTGATGGATGTGATTGACAATCTTCTCAATATTCCTGACTTTGAACCTAATGACCAGTTTAGCAGCTTGACAGTGACCGACTGCATCTTTATTGAAGTTGAAGAAATAGCGGGAGGTAGGAATGTATAGGTCTCAATTGGATGGCACTTTTTGTTTATTACATTACTGTCCATTTCCATAGGGCAGAAGAAGTTCAGAAAAACAAGGAAAATCTATAAAAAAAGTCAAAGGCACATAATATTAAAACTATATAATTGGCAGTCCAGCTATCATTGGGACCCAAACTCTCAGTGAAAGTGCTAAGTTCTAAGCAACTTTTAAAAAGACAAGATTCAGGTGATGATAAGACAGAGTGTTAATTTGTAAATGAAAATGACTTCAGTATATTATATTTGAGCTTTATAGAAGTACGTACAAAGTACAGGTAGTCTTCAATTTATGACCACAATTGAGCCCAAAATTTATGTTGCTAAGTGAGAAATATGTTAAGTGAATTTTTTTGGTCCCATTTGATGACCTTTCTTGCCACAGAAGGTAAGTGAATCACTTCAATTGTTAAGTTAGTAACATTACTTACTAATAGTAACTTAGAATATGGCTTCTCCATTGACTTTGCTTGTTAGAAGGCTGCAAAAAGTGATCACGTGACCCTGGGACACTGTCATAAATATGAACCAGTTGTCCAAACATTCGAATGTAAATCACATCACGGGGATGCTGCAATGGTCATAAGTGTGTCTATGGAGATTCTCAGCCATCCAGGTCATGGTTGTCCCAAAGATGCTTTTTCAAGAGATGAAGAAGCTTCTTGGATGAGAAGCGAAACATCTTCAAAGAAAAACAAAGTCCAGTTGCCTCTTGAAAAAGCACCTTTGGGACGGTCATAAATGTGAAAAATGATCATAAAGTCACTTTTTTCACTGCCGTTGTAACTTTGAACGGTCACTAAATGAACTGTTGTAGATTGAGGACTACCTGTATATACTTTTATTCAAAGCTGTTTTACACAGAATATGTAAACAACCTGAAGGACACTTCATGGTCTTATCTTAGGATGCTTAAAGAGTTGTCCAGACCCACAATATTCAGCCTTTGCATTGAAGTAGCCTTCACTTGCCTTCCTGCAATTCGAAGTCAGAAGTGTGGTGATTACAGGAAATACCTTTTCAGCTTGGAATGAACTCTTTCAGAAGAGTTGCCTAATATGGGCCTCTCTTCAAAATGAGGCACAGATTGAAAAAGTAGTCAGAGTTGCCAGCTTTTAAGACTTACACCTGAAATCAGCCACCTTTTCAATGTTTGGTACAATTACATGATCTTTTTGATAGCCAAAAATGACCAAAAAAAATTAAATGACTCAAAAATGGGAGTATATGCAAGATTTTGTTGCCGTGCAAAGTTTCTGAATTTAAATATTTTTTAAAAATGTATTGTTCATCATCACCATAATGTATATAAATAAAAATAATAACAAAGTTTATTTATTATTTAGTTTATTATTAAAATTTATATGCCGCCCTTCTCCCAAAGGACTCGGGGTGGCTCACATAAATAAAAAAAACAATAACAATAAAATCTAAAACCAATCTAAAATTAAAATCCCCAAATTTAAAACCTCGTAGAATGATCAGGGAGTCTGCTGGAACAGCCATGTCTTCAGGCCAGCGCCTGAAGTTGAAAAAGTTGAAACAACACTCTTACTAGGCTGTTTTGTAAGGATTTGTGTTTTCTGTGTGGGGAAAAAAGGCTTGGTTTTTCACTTTGGCCATATTCTTCATTTTCATTTTAGATGTTCCTAGTATGGGGACAAAGCTAGTTCTCCCCCACGTCCCTTCAATTCTTCAGTATCTCAACAAAACTATGATCAGCGTAGATAGGATAAAGAAAAAAAAGTATAATGCACAACTCAGCAAAGAACTCAACATTCTTTCAAAGTAAGTGGTTTCTTATCTTTTCTAATAGTACATATTTACAGAGATTTTTAATGCTGTAGAAGTGGTGGTGAAGAAATAGCTCTTTTTCTTTGGTGGGAAAAGCATTAAGAGAAAACCATAGAAGCAATCTCATCCTAATCTCTCAAAAGGCAAGAAAGTAGATGACTTTGATAATTGTTCCATTTTCACTCAGAAGAGATGCAAAAAATTGCTTTCTTCCTCTACATCTCTCAGATTTCTGTGAATGCAATGACATGTTCTTTCTACGCCGAAGTTCAAAACTTTTCAAGGCTGCATATTAAAAAAGCTTGGCTTTTAATTTAGTCATCTGAAACATTACATTGTGATATAACGTAATTTCTGTTGTCTTTCTGTGTATTTTCTGTTGTCTTTAGGATTAGCAAGTTTATAAAGGATAAGAACCAGAGTTCTATTCTGATTGGCCTCCTGCTCCCTTTCGTTCAACAGACCAACATTACGCAGGTATGTTTACAACAAAGTGTATGGAAAATAATATTTTCTTTCAGATTAGATTATTTTTGTGATGACATTTTAAATGTTTTTGCACTTACGGACTTTACATGCATTCAGGCTGACACTGAAAGGTAACTGGGCTATGTAACAGCTACAACAAAGAATGAAGCTCAGTAGGATATGAAAAATAGTGGATGAAGCAGAGGGAACAATATGGAAGCCTGAGCTATAGCCACTTCAGTTAGATTCGGAATGAATCAAATGTGTTGTATACCCATCTATGTATTTAGGTAACATATTTTTGCATTATAAAATAGAAATTTCTAAATACAAATGTAGAGGGCAGAATGCCCTCTTGAACATCTTGTTAATTTACTGTAAGTCATTTCTTAGCCCCCCCATCTACTTCTGAAGTCATCATCTTTAAATCTTTGAAAACGTAAATACAATTTTCCAAATCAGCACCAAGGCTTTATAAAAGACCTATTTTGGTGTTATTTGCTAAACCAGCCCTGCCTGAGTTATGCAAAAAATGGGAACAAAAGAAAATCTGATCTTGGCATAAGAAAAAAGAAATCTTCATTTGCCTTCATGGATGACCAGCTTACATTAAGTTTGTCATAAACGTTTGCAGGGATCCACATAATAGCACTTGTATAAGCATACAGGGAAAATGTGAAGCCTCCCAAATTGATCCTTCCTTCCATTCTTTTTACTCCTTGTTTAAAGGACTTCCCCAAAAGTTGCAAGATAAATTACAATTGTTTTCCTCAAAACCAATAATTTTACTCTTATTGAGCAAAATTATTGAGAAGTGAAGAAGTCCAGAAATGACTTTTGTTCATTAACTTAATCTTTTAAATTGTGCTTTTGATTTAAAATTCAGAATGTCGGCACCTGACAAAAACCTAATCAAGAATTTTAGTTTACTTTTTTTTATCTTGAAATATCACGACCCTTAATTGGGAAGTTCTTACTCCAATTTTATTGTGAATATGCATAAAAGAAAATAATATACTCAGGAATGTCACATGGTTAACATGATAATAAAAAGAAATAGAAGGAATTTTCTATTGGAGACTGGATGACTTTTTCCCCTTCTGCCAATAAAATCCACTATTAGGATCGTCCTGTTTGACTAGCTACAAAAAACAATACTAAGTTTATTTACAATATAAAGTTGAAAATATTTACTGATTTGTGATAGTTTGATGGAGCTTCAATATTTAGACTTCTTGATAGGTACTTCATTTTGTGATGGCACCTTGATTGCTGTAGTTTATTCAACCAAAATTTACTTGGTATCTCTAAAATTCGCAGAAGAGCACATAAAGGTACTTTAGTAATCTAGTCAATTGTAGTCCTTTGCAGTGTATTTATGTAGAGCACGGGGGTGTCAAACTCGTGGTGTCACATTGCCATCATGCGACGTTTTGTGACATTTTCCCCATTTGCAGAGCTGGGGTGGGCGTGGCCTGCGCATGATGCATCCAGCACGCGGGCCGCCAGTTTGACATCCTTGACGTAGAGGAATGTATGGATAATCTTCAGGAAGAAGTTATACAAGAATCAATAAGGCAAATAAGAGATAACTTAGTCCTGCAAAGGGAGAAGACATGAGAAAGAAACTCAAGATTATGCTACCTTGAGTCTTTTCAGTATAAGCAGTGGCACTAGGATATTCTGACAGGCTTTTAAGATTCTGTTATTACACCTTAAGCAATAAACTAGCATTCCTGTAATCCTTTTCCTGTACCTGTTTCTTTTAGGATACAGAGATTGACATTCTGGAGACAGTACAAAATCTACTGAAACATTGCTTAACTCCAGCAAGCTTCCTTAAACCTTTGGCAAAGCTGTTTTCTGTTATTCAGAACAAGTTGTCTCGTCAAGCACTTTGTGGGGTTTTTGAGGTATTACTGTATATAAATGCTTATTTTTTTAAAAAAATATTCTTATTACATTATGATCCAGAGTGTTGAGTTGCTTTGTTCCACAGTAGAGGCTAATCTTGACTCCTTTATAAGTCCTTTTTAAGTATTATCCTTTTCTATCTATTTGCCATAAAAAACAGTACAAGTAGTCCTTGATTTATGACCCGTCATTGTTTGAAGTTATAACAGACCTCCCAGGGCTACTTACAACCTGGATTCAAAGTTCTGAGGGCTGGCGCCTCTCCAAGCAGTCAGTACTGTGTCATTTTGTAACTGGCACACATTTATGGCTGTTGCAGCGGCCTGCAGTTATGCAGTTTAGGACTTTTTTTTGCTGGAAACTGACATTTATGAGGACCCAGATTATTGGGAGCAATATGCTGACTCTTTAAATCACTTAGAGAGGGCTATAAAGCACTATGAAGTGGTATATAAGCCTAAGTGCTATTGCTATTTATTTCCAGTTGCAGACAACGGATTTGCTTAAGACTGCCTCATTTGCTTAAGAACCACTGGCAAAAGTTGTAAAATTGACCATGATCACACGATGACCCACTTAACAACTGACATGACATATAACTCTAATTCCAGACTCAATTACGGATGTAAGTTGAGTATTACCTGTAGTTGGAGGAAGAGGCTTTTCTGATAGCTTCTATTAAAAATCTCTGGTCATAGATAGGTAATTTGATATATTTAAGGTGTTTTGGACTATATTTCTCCAAATATTGATCAAACAAATGCAATCTTAATCAAATTGCAACAAAGGTGTAGTGTATTTACATACTGATGGTCTATATACATTTAGTTTTAGCTGCTCTATTTTTATCTTCTATGAAGTTAAAAACAGCCTAAAAATTAATGTATGAAATAAATGTAAGTTATGCTATTCATTAATTTTTGTCTTTTAATGACTTTCAATCTTTTTTAACAGACATTATCTCATTTGGAAAGTAATATAAAATATATCACAGAAACTGTCAAGGTATGTAGCAGTATTCCTCATTTGCTTAATTTTTTAAAAAATTCAATTTGATTTTTATCTTGATTAGACATTTTGTTTGTCTTAGCTGAATGCTTTCAGTCCGCACCATCTTGATGAGATCAACTTTGATGTCCGTTTGTCAGCATTCCAGGACATCATTTCTCATATCAAAGGGATGAACAAAATAGATGTCAACTACCTTATCCCGGTAATGCATAACTGTTTCTACACTATACAGGTGAGTCCCATTAATATGGAAAATATCTGAGCTTGCTTTATGATTGGGCTCTTAGAAATATATTCATTTTATATTGTTGTTTATCTTATTTACAATTGAATGAAGTTTTAAAAAATCAATATTTGCATACTTTCTCTTGCTTGTCATGTGTCACTCTAGTTGTGAGAGTAAAGTCTCATGTCCTGTTAACAACAAATGAATCTGTTAAAACAACAGCAACAGCAACAAAAGAAATGAGTGGAAATTGTTGGTGTTACCCAAAACTTTTAATCTTGTTTCCACAATAAATTATTCAGGTTTCATTTGATATGTAAGGTCCAATAATAATATGTTTAAGCTCATAAATGCCAAACAAGAAACTTAAACAGAGGCTTGAATAACAGCATTTAATCTTGATCAAGCTCAAATGGTTAGCTGTTCCAAACATATACAAGATACATGCAGGTAAGAGCTACAAACAAGAGAGGGAATGTGAGTCCCTTTTATATTATTTAGGAACATCATAAACCTCAAATTCTAGCATCTTTGATTTGTGTATCCCCTGGAAGTTGATTTGTGTATCCCCTGGAACAGGATAGAGCCTCTTAATGAGCATCATTACCTCTTTCCTTTGTTCTTACAATTGACCACTTGATCCCTTGGCGTGAAGAGAACGGAACTGAACACAGATTGAGTGTTAGCATCTCCAGTCTGATACATTCCGGGCAGGGGGGAGGGAAGAGATAAGGCTCTGATCAAAAGGTGGAACATATAGTTTGAGAAATGCCAGATACTTCACAACAGACCCCAATAACAGTCCGGGAAGTTAGTCAATGTGGTATGTTTGTGTTATAACTACAAAGGGCATAATATATATGTCTGTGTCACAGGAAACAAATATTTACAGCATGCAGGTATACAAAGACATCATATACAGTATCATATATATATATGTTGCAGGAAACAAATAACAAGTTTCTACTAATTCTAGTATTTCAGTATATCTATTTCCTTACAGATACATAGCAGTTGCTGTATTTTTTTTTTGTTATGGCTTTATTAACTCTTCTACAATACATCTACTTACCAGCCATGGTATCCTTGAAAGTCTTTCTTTCAGTTTCTTGCAAAGCCAACTGAATGAAATTGATGCCAACTGTACTTTAACTTTGATTTAAAAATTTCTCTAATTTAATTAAAGCAAATGCTCTTTTATTCAGGATACAGCAACTGTTTTAAGGTATGCCATGCACACTCCAAATCACATTCCATTTTCTAATCTGGTTTTCTTTCTAAAAAGCTGTGCCAGTATCATTTCTATAAAGTTGTGCCTATAGCTATGTGGATGCCATCTGCATTCTCGCAAAAGCATTTTTAAGTACCAGGGGCCTTTAAATGATCTCGTGTAGAGAAATATAGTAGGAGGTGGAAATAGTCAAAATAGTTAGAAATGGAGGCAAGCTAAAGGAGCCTGGTCCTGCAAAACATTTCCTTTGGATTCTTGCTAATTTCTTCCTCTGCCTTTTATCTGTGCAACATCTTGACTTTCCTGTGACACAAGGGGAAATAATGAACTGTAATAGGAGATGGTTGGGTGATAGGGAAAGCATGCATTCCCTCAGCATGAATTTCTGAATGAGAAGTTTATGGGCTGTGATTGCCAGCCATATAGTAACAAAACTCTATTTTCTTTCTGGGGAAAAAAGAAGCCTATAAAAGGTTTGCAGTGAATTTATACAGTTTAGTCATATCTTGCTGCTAATGAAGATTACTTGGAATTTTAATCACTTTATAGCTGGTTTGAACTATCATTAGGGATCTGGTTTATGTTTATTTTAGTGCATAGTTTTAACTGTTTCTCCAATTTATATGATTAATATGATTATAATTGCATGTGTCCTGATCCTTTTCTTTTGCAGTTAGAGGAAATGGCTTTAAGTGACAATGCTGTTCTCTGCTTGACTGCCATTATTCAAAGATTTTCTGAACTTGAGCATACAGAGGATGAATTCAAGGAAATTATTCAGCATACACTTCTAGATTCTTTGAGAAAAGGGCTAAAGAGCAAGATTGAGGTGAAGAGCCTAGCACTCCTGGGCTTTGTGTTATAAAAATCTGGATGAATTGAAAATCTGTGTCTGCAGATCTCACTTTTATTAAAATAAAAGTAATTTGGAGGACTTTTTTTCCATCCCAGCTCTATTTTTAACATGACTTTTATTTAGTTATTTATGCTTGAATTAATATGAGTTATCCTCAAATTACTAAAGGCTTGCAATAGATATATATAAATATCCCATTATCTGTTTCCATCACGACTCCTATTTTTCTTGGCCATTCCTTATAGCCCATGGTGAGCTGAATATGGGAAATATCAAATATGTTAAATGAGTTAAATTGGGTACACTTTGGGACACTTGCATAGATTATCCTGGATGCAAAAACCTGTTTTGCTGGAAACAGATAGACTTTGTCAATCATAATGTGTTTAAGGTACTACTATTAGCCTACTATTATTACTATTAGTTTAAGGTTCTACTATGGCCATCCAGAGTAGCCCATCAGCGAGATGGATGGCAAATAAATTTAACAAACTAATATTTATATAGATTATCTACTTCTGTTATTGCTTCAAAGTCTAGTTTTAGTATAATAAATGTCTGGTATTTAGAAATGGTCACAATTGCCTAGGATAGCAGTTAAAAGGGAAAATTCAAACAGATTGCTATAGACTACAGTTTAGAATGTCAGATGTAAAAGTAAAATACTTATATTTTCTTTGCGGTTTCAGTGCATTCAACAGGATTACACATCATTGCTATCAAACTTGATTCGAGCATTTTCAGAACATCCAGAGTTTCATGACTTGGTCCAGCTGACTGATTATCATGATCCAGAGATGGACTTCTTTGAAAATATGAAGCATATTCAGGTAAAAGGAAATGCTTTAACTGATTCTTTTAAAGCACCATATGAGTTATCTGATAGTGATAGCCTCAACAACTGATAGCGCTTATTTCCTTTTTTCTATTGATATAAAATATCTGCAATTGATATAAAACATCTGGTTTATTATTCAAATGCTTGGTGGGCTAAGATCTCTCAACCAAGTTCTAATATAATTTTTATATTCTTTCAGATTCACAGAAGGGCACGAGCTCTGATGAAACTAGCTAAGCAGTTAGTGGAAGGCAAAACCATACTGAGTTCTAAAACTCTTCAAAATTATATTATGCCTTATGCAACCACTACCATTTTCAATGAGAAAATGCTTAAGGTAAGCTTTTGAACATAAAATGGGTGAAACTACTTCTTCTTCATTGCCATGAGAAGGATTTACTCTATCAACACATCTGATCTTTATGTAACTTTTCATAAAGCAAAAGAATTGAATTGGCTCTACTATCTTTAGTAGAATCCACAGCTCTTATGGAGAATTTGTTGTGTTGAAGCTTCACACATATAATGGGGGATGGAGATAAGGGGCATGTTCAGAAAGATTGCTTCCTGCTGCCTACCTTCTGAAGTGATCTTGATCCAGGTAAGGGGACTATAGACTTGTTTTTATATTAAAAAAGAAAAGCTAGAGAAATGACTTGATGTTGAACATGTTCTGTCGTTTAATCTTCCTGATAATATTCTTTCCTTAGTATGAAAACATGGTAACTGCATCAGTTGAGATGGTGGGAGCTGTATGCAGACATCTTTCTTGGTCAGCTTATCTCTACCATTTGAAACATTTCATCCACGTATTGCAGACTGGACAGATCAATCAAAAACTTGGTGTCAGGTACATTAAATGCCAGTTGTAAGATTAAAATTATAACCATTTGCATCAGTGGTGGGTTTCAAATCTTTTTACTACCGGTTCTGTGGCTTGGTGGGCGTGGCATGGCTTGGAGGCCATGGCCGGGGAAGGATACTGTAAAATCTCCATTCTGTCCCCAATCCAGGGGAAGTTTACTGCAAAATCCCCATTTCCTCCCGATCAGCTGGAACTTGGGAGGCAGAGAATAGATAGGGGTGGGGCCAGTCAGAATTTATATTACCGGTTCTCCAAACTACTCAAAATTTCCGCTACCGGTTCTCCAGAACTGGTCAGAACCTGCTGAAACCCACCTCTGATTTGCATTAAATAAAAATAAATGCCATTGGATGCTATGGGCCTCTAAACAAATATGAATGATTTTGAAGTTTGGAAACTATTCTGCTCTTATACTGATATTTTTTTAAAAGTGTCTATGTAGATTCTCAATCATCCAAGTCATAGTTATCCCAAAGGATTTTTAAAAGTGTTATTACATTATAGTTAACTCTCAATTTCTTTAAGATTATAAAGCTGTTATTTATACTATATTGCTGTACATATATTTATTCCATAGATTCATCTATTAATTCAGACATATTTTCACCAGGACAATAGTGGCTCAATTTTTGTAAACAGTTTTGTAAACTGTTTGATAAAGTTGGAAACTTGGAACTCAAATGTATTTCTTCCTTTCTTTCTTTCTTTTTTTAACTTGAAAGCGTGCTAGTAATGGTGCTGGAGGCTTTTCATTTTGACCATGAAACTCTTGAAAAGCAGCTTTCAATTATTGAAAAGGAAGGTAAGTTTTTTAATTCCTTAATCTGATTGAGGGTACCTTGGCCCATGGGAATCTGTTCTGCTTGAAATAAATTATGATGCCTTTTACATTTTTTTATTAATATCCTAAAGTATTTTGTTACGGTTTTTATATCTTTGTCTTATTCCAAAAGGGTATCTTAATTAATTAATGCCATAGTGATTTCATTCATTTTATGTAACTTATGTAGACTCTGTGGATATCAATCCTGAAGTAGAGAATGAAACCATGGAGATAGAACTTAATGATGGAGAAGAAGAAGGCCAAAAGACCAGCGAAGAACAGTCCTGTGTCAATGAACAGAAAGAATATGCCGAATCTAGGTCTGATCAGCCTGCTAATGAAGAAGACGAGAATTTCCAGAAAGTTACAAAACCACCTTCATTCCTGCCCAGGAATAAGGAAGAGTTGGAGTGTCTGATTAAACATATTCAGGAAACAGTGACTCGCAATATATTGCCCAAATTGCACAGGTGTCTTATTGCAAAGGTATATTTTAACGTTTCCTTCTTTTCTCTCTCTGAGGCACTTAAGTTAGCCTTATGGAGATTTCTCCTACCTTTATTTCAGAATAATAGTGCAAGAAAGGCCAGAGTGCAAAAGATATAGAGATTTATATGATTGAAAGAAGGTTTAGATCTAAAATGCCCTTAGTTAATACTTAATACTTCTCCTAGCTAGGGCATGATTGGAATTGCGGTCAAGCCCATCCAGGGGAGGCAGATTTAACTTATACACTACGGTAGATTGAATATAAATTTCTTTCCCAGCGTGAAGAAAGATGTAAAATGCATCTTATAATAAAATGGTTCCTGAGGAATATCTGTTTTGATACCTACAGGTGAAAAGAGATGAACAGCACAAGATGGTGAAATCCAAGATTGTCAATGATGAAGAGGTAGTACAAGTGCCAATAGCTTTTGCAATGGTCAAGCTAATGCAATCCCTTCCTCAGGATGCTATGGAGGAGAATTTGCCAGGGTAAATATTATATTTATAATCTACATCTATAATCCATAAATCATCCACATATAAAAATCTTTTCAACCTCCATTAATATCACCATATAAATCTTTGGAGACAAAGCATGGCAACATAGTATTAAAATTTTGTTTACAGTACGTTGAAATGAAGCTTCTCCCAGTGGTGTTTTGTATTTTTCTATTTGGCATCTTTAGGTAACTGTAGTCTCTCTTTGTTTCCAGAATTCTTCTGAAAGTCTGCTCTCTTCTGAGGAATAGAGCACAGGAAATCCGGGATGTTGCACGTAACACCTTGATGAAAATAATAGAGGCTTTGGGGCCACAATACTTGCAATATGTCTTAAAAGAGATGGTGTCAATCCTTGTCACTGGTTACCAGGTAAGGAGGAAGCATAATAGATTTGAGGAGGATGCTGGAATTCCTTTTTCATTCTGCTTTTTATTACCAATCCATAATTATTGTAGAGAGTAACAGACTGTATTTGCAAAACTATATGCAAGAATGTCTGGATTTTCTCCTAATTAAGCGTATCACGTGATATTGGGTTAGTTGCAGAGACTGCTTAAGGTTAAAAAAAGAACTCTTAGAAATATTAGAAATAACATTAGAAAGTTATTTCGAAAATTTGAGGACTACAAGATATTACCTTGAAGACTGATCTGCTAGATAACCGTAGAAAAATTGTGGAAAGATACAGTACATTGTAGCATTTTGACTTATATTTTTATAATATTTTTATAATATAATATAATATAATTATAATATTTGGTGGTTCTCTTTTCATTTATCCAATATAATGATCTCTCCTAAATATATAGGTCCATGTGTTAACTTTCACTGTCCACCTCTTGCTGAAGAGTCTTGCCAACGAGCGACTTAAAGTTGGTGATTTGGATCCATGCATAGAACTGTTGATGGAAGTACGTGTTTACAGCATATGAAAAAAATTAAATGCAAGATGAGTTTATTTCACCAGGTCTTTAACTTAACTCTTGCACAGGGAAAATGTTTTGTTGGGTAACGCCAAGGTTAAAATTCTAGCTCTCTGAAGAAACCCAGTTCATGAGCTGTTTTCTTAAAGGAAGAAAAAGCTGTTTGATCTTTAGTTGGGCTTTCATAATATTCAGATACATGATCCATGTTGATATGTGATGCATAAAAAGACATTAGGTTGACATTCACTCTGAGAGGACATTGCATTGCTTTGTTTATGAATTGGACAAAGCATTATGGTTTGCTTTTATTATTTTTTTTAAGTGGAAGAAGCATTTGTTTATGGTATTGTATTTCTGATGTATTTCTTAGGGTTTCTTCCTCTCCCTAAGACTTCTTCCCCTCCATAAGACTTTTGTGATTAATCTTTATGGTGCCACAAAATTTGTGCATCAATGAAGTAAAGAGACTGCTGTCTGGAAAGTTATACTAAAAACTATAGAAACAGCTATAACTATTTCATTATTATCTGTTGCTAAAGTATTCTTGTTCGTCTTGTATCTCTTGTAAAGATTTTCCACCGTGAATTGTTTGGGGAAATTGCTGAAGAAAAAGAAGTAAAAGGCATCGTTTCCAAAGTTATGGAAGCTCGTAGAAGCAAAAGTTACGATTCTTATGAAATCCTTGCCAAATATGTAGGAAAAAACCAAGTGATTAAGCTTATTCTTCCATTAAAAGAGGTATGAAGATAAAATTGGCGTAGTGTATTGGGACTTCATACTGGAATGTGTCTGAATACAGTAACTCTATTTTTCTAGTGAGCGACATACCTAGGAAGAGTGAGTAAATTGTAGTCCCAGAGCTGCATGTAACATCTTTTCCTTGGCCCTCGATTCCAGGATCCTCTTTGACCACTCTTTCAAAAACTTTTCACCATTTTGATACAAGAAGCTATAACATAATGGCTAAAGCAAGTTTAACAATGGCTTAAGAGAAGAAAATACTGTAAAACCTGACCCACCTCTATCACGTTGTATTAATGCTCTGGTCCCAAATATAATCCCTGGTCATAAAAATTGTTTTTTGTTTTTGTTTTTTGTTTTTTATTAAATTTATATACCGCCCTACTCCCGAAGGACTCAGGGCGGTGAACAGGCACAAAATAAAATACATAGATACAAAAGTTAGAAACATAATTAAAACCAGATTAAATAATTTAGCCCGAGACAATTAAAAATCCCAATAATTTAAAACAGAATTTTAAAACGGGAGAAAATTAGACCAGGCCGGCTTGCTGGAATAGGAGGGTCTTAAGAGCACGGCGGAAAGTGCGCAGATCCGGGATCCTCCGTATCTCTGGGGGGAGCTCATTCCAGATAGTTCCAGATAGTGGGTGCCCCCACAGAGAAGGCCCTCACAGTGGGTGCCCCCACAGAGAATAGTGGGTGGCCCCATAGAGAAGGCCCTCCCCCTGGGGGCCACCAGTCGACATTGTTTGGCTGACGGCACCCGGAGGAGCCCCTCTATGAGAGTGTACCGGCCGGTGGGAGGCTGTTTGTGGTAGTAGGCGGTCCCGTAAATAACCAGGTCCTAAGCCCTGGAGCGCTCTAAAGGTGGTGACCAAAACCTTGAAGTGCACCCGGAAGACTACCGGAAACCAGTGCAGCTCACGCAGGAGAGGTGTCACATGGGAGCACCATGTTGCTCCCATAACCACCCGCGCGGCCGCACTCTGCGCCAGTTGGAGCCTCCGGGTGCTCCTCAAGGGGAGCCCCATGTAGAGAGCGTTGCAATAGTCCAGGCGGGAGGTGACAAGGGCATGAGTGACTGTGTGTAGGGAGTCCCGATCCAGAAAGGGACGCAACTGGCGAATCAGGCGAACCTGATGAAAAATCCTCCCAGTCACGGCCGTCAAGTGCTCTTCTAAAGACAGCTGTGAATCCAGGAGGACACCCAAGTTGCGAGCCCTCTCCATGGGGGCCAGCAATTTGCCCCCAATAGTTAGTGATGGCATCAACTGACTATATCAGGACATCGGAAACCACAGCTACTCGGTCTTGGATGGGTTGAGCCTGAGCCTGTTCCTCCCCATCCAGATCCGCACGGCCTCCAGACACCGGAACATCACTTCAAGGGCATCGTTGGGGGTGGTCATTTTTTTTTTTTTTTTTTTTGCTAATTAGTCCTGCTAGGGACATTGTGGGGCATATGTGTATACGTGTTGTAATGAAAAATGTTGTATTCATTTTATGTATAAACAAATAAATATAACTCTACAGGAATTTTTCAGATATATTAGTCCTTCCTGTGCCAGTTTTGGCTGAGAAGAACGTGGTTTACCAGTTAATCTCATTTATATGTTTAAGGCAAAAATGAATAAACTTCTGGGACTAGTGGTGTTTAATATTTTAGGAAGAGTCAAAGAACAAGGCAAAGGACATGTCATGGACATTGCCAGACAGTAATTTCTTCCTTTTGGGGGGTGGGTGGGGGGGAGAAGAGAATTTGGTTGTGGTTTTTGGTTTTCTCTATAAAGCCTCACTCTGACTTAATTTACAATTTTCCTTTATCTGGGACAATACTGGGAAAAAAGCAGTGGACTTTCAGTAACATTGATCAGGGGCTCTGAGAAGCACAAAAGAAGTTAATGTTCTGACGCTTCAGATTGCGCACCTTACTGTAAGATGACTTTGCAGTCTGATAGGGTATTCAGAGGATCCAAATCCGAAACAGAGGATCTGTTAGGCGATTCAGAGCTTTTGCTGGCTGGGGAATTCTGGGAGTTGAAGTCCGCCAGGCTTAAAGTTGCCAAGATTGGAGACCCCTGTTTCAGAACATGCTTCGGCTGCAGAAAGGGGGAGTTCTGAGTGTTGAAAGTGTCATTCTAAAAAGATTTCTGTTCCAGGATTTGCTTTGTAAGGTGATTGCTGTACTGTAATGTTGTCCTGCAGGTTTTGGAGAATACAACCAGCCTAAAACTGTCTCGAAAGGTGCATGAAACGTTACGACGAATTGTGTCTGGACTGATAGTGAACAAGGCCATGACTGCAGAGACTGTTCTTCTGCTCAGCCATGGTTTGATTAGTGAAAATCTACCATTGCTAACAGAAAAAGCAAAGTAAGTTTAGGAGGAATACAATTATAGAAAGCTAAATTTAGTTTGATTCCCCCTTTTATTTGCTTGCCAATAAATGTTATTACTGCATACAAAATTCTAATAGAAAATCTATACCTGAATGTCTAAGTCTTATAAACGCACAGAAGCACAAATATTTATAAGCAGCCCATATGATTACCATAAATGCAAAGAAGTCCGTAACCTCTGGTTCTGTGTTTCTTCAATGCCTACCGTTTTGGATTTTCCCATTTGTTTACTTGCCGTTCTTTTGTTTCTAGTGAAGCCATAATTTATTTTAACCAGCATTTGATTCCTTCTTTGAGGTTTTTTTCCTCTTCCTCTAATGAGGGCCGTTCAACGCACACAGCAATCTTTTGAGATTGGTATTATATCACTGATCTTTTCCAAACTCTGAAGAAGGAATGGCTTCATTAAATAACTGGGTGTACCTTTGAAGTATATCAGTTCATTCTAAATGTCTGGTTTTGGTTTCCTCTCCTTTTTTTGCCTTTATTTTGATTAGAAGAACTGTCTGTTGAGACCAAAATTCTCGTTTTTGTTTTCTTCTTCAACAACTTTTTAGAATGAAAGCTGCAGTTCCTCCAGATCCTCGTTTGCAACCAGAGAGTTGCCTCCTTCTGCCACCGACTCCCATTCGAGGAGGTCAAAAAGCGCCTGTGAGCAGCAAGACTAACATGCATGTCTTGGTTGAGTCAGGGCTCCGGGTAAGAAGTGCTAGGCATCTCCCCTCGTTCTCCCTTTTTTATTGGGTTTTTTTTTTTCTGTTTTAAAATGTGTAGTCTCTCTAATGAAGTGAATCCAATCCTTTATGTTTCAGGTGCAGGAACACTATGAACAAACCAGATCAAACCTCATAATCCACTTTTTAAATTGTTGAAATAACTTCATAGCTCTAGTTTCTTCCTGTATGTTAGAGATGGGTCACTTGACAGAATAAAGAGTTGAAGGGACAGGATCCCCTCAGTTTTGAGAAAACTATCAGTGTGTGTAACACTGTATTCCCTTTCCATCCTTCACATGATGGAAGGATCATCCTGAGTTTTTCTTTCTAGGATAATTGTAAATCACGACTTGTCATTCTATTCGAATGTATATATTATGAGCATAGGACACCCTGCAGATTTTACTGTGCTACTCATTGCCTTTGGGCAGCGTTTGTGTGTGCTCATCTCCATTTCAAGGCCATTGAGCCAGTGCTGTCTGAAGATATTTCTGCAGTCATGTGGCCAGCATGATGTCAAGGCATGTTGTTACCTTCCCACCAAAGTGATACCAATTTATCTATGTGCATTTGTATGCTTTCAAATTGCTAGGTTGGCAGGAGCTGGGGTGAGGGCAGGAGCTCACCCCATCACATGGAGCTTGGGTTTCGAACCTGGGCTCCTGGCTTTCCAGCCGATAAGCATCTTAACTGCTGAGCTCTATATTATTAGCAGAACAAAATTGAAATGAAAGCTTTGGAAGTCACTAAGAGATTGGGATCTGTAACTTGCATCATTCTGCTTTAACTGAGCCAAACTATAAAGATTTGTTATTTGTAGTAAATACACAATACAAAGCTGTTTTTGAGGAAACTCCTGAGCAGCATTACAGTAAAACAGACTTGAAAGAAGGAATATATCTCTCTCCATCCATTTCTTTTCTGCCTTCAGTCTTTTTCATGTTTGCAGTCTCCCCTGTTAATGTGCTGCTTCTCTAAAGTATCACTGTAATATCCTACTATGTTAAATAACATCTGCGATTACCATTGTGTCTGAATAAGTCACTTGATATTTTAGATTAAAGGCCTCCTAATACTTCTTTATTATGTACAGCTGCTGCACATGAGTTTGAAGAGATCTAAAATAAATTCTTCAGATGAGCATGTTTTAGAAATGATGGATCCATTTGTACAACTGCTTATCAGCTGCCTTCAGTCCACAGATATTAAGGTATGATGTTTAGCAACATGTTACAACTTTATAGCACTGCAGACAAGATTACGGAGATCAACCCTAGAACAAAGCTCTCTTTGATAAGTAATAGAATTGGGAAAATGCATATTCGCTGCTTAGATGACAGTACAGAAAATCAAGAGTTTTGCATTTCTCCCTTTAGAGATTAGAATGATCCTGTTGGCCTTTCATAAGCCTGAGAAGACTTAGTTGTATTAGTGGACCTGGGATCCTGATTGGGTTAAGGTCCTGTTTCTTAACTGTGTCCATGGCAATAGTACCACTCAGTGTTCATATATATTTATTTTCCATTGTTTTGATTGTTTTGAATTTGTTTCTACATTTTATGATGTATGCTGTCTATAGTCAGTTGTTAAAATGGGTGGCTACAGAAATCAAACAAATGAAGAAAAATAAATTTACTTCAAGTTTTTCTATTTAAATGCAAATATCTGGATTTTACAGTTGCAGAGAGGACTTCAAAATAGAGATACATAACTGAAGACCCTAGGGCTACAAACAGCCCCCAAAGCCTCCAACGATTTCTAAAAGTTGTTATCTGACTGTAGTTTCAGTGGATTAGAAGTTTATCAAGAGTTGGACTCTACTACAGCGGTCCCTAACCTTTGCAGCTTGGTGGCTGGGTGGGGGGTGCCCAAGCGGTGGACTGGCATGTGCACAAGTCCATGCATGTGCAGCTTGACCTGTGTAAGATGAGCTGCACACACATGTGTAGACGCACAGGCCTGCCACACACAAGTTGAGTTGCGTGTGTGTGCACCGGCCTACTGCTCACAGGGCTCAGTTCCGAATAGGCAATAGCCCAGTAATGGGCGACGGCCTGGGGGTTGGAGACCCCTGCTCTAGTACATAGTACATGTACATAGTACATAGTATATTCCATGTTAGCCAGAAGGTTAGCAAAATTAAAGGTGGTTTGCTTTGGTAGAAGTTTGCTTCCCCTTTTAGTTTCTAGATTATATACCAATTGATTATTTTGTCTGTTTTTTTATAATCTGTATAGTAACCTTTTGATTGTAATAGTAAGCTATTGATTCAGCAGTAGTGGCCCATGTGGTGTTAGCTTAGGTGATACATAGGTGGCCTACATGATACTAATGTTTGGTGCAAGAGATCATTTGTGGAAAACATGTAATTTTAGATTTTTAAAAGCTCAATAACCTTAATAGACTTCTGATTCCTACCAAGATTTCAGGGAGCCATATAAATCATACTTGTTATTTTCTTTCCAGGTGATCACTGGTGCTCTCCAATCATTTCTCTGGGTTTTAAAGTTTCCTCTACCTGCAATAGATAATAATTTGGAACAATTAACGACACAGCTGTTCCTCCTATTGAAGGATTTTGCTAAACAAGGCACAGTTAAAGGGCAGAATTTTCATTTGGTTGTCAATTGTTTCAAAGTAAGTCTTAACCAAAGGAACAGTTCTGTGTTGATCTTGGATGGGTTTTATGCCAGTGTTATGATATTACCTGTGTGGTAAAGAAGGTATCGCTGCCTCCTTGGAATTTGTAAATTGTTATGTTAGTAAATTGTACTGAAGTGTACTTAGATTGGTGATTTGGGGGAGGAGACTCTTGTGCATGCAGAAATCTCAGTAGCAGTTTTCTAGCATTTTGTCCAAAGTGATAATTCATTGTAGAACCTACTGTACACAGCAGTGTCTGCAGAAAAAAAGAACTATACAGGTGCCTCATTTGGAGATAAATGAAACTGGGCGGGACGGAAGTGTTTTGTAATAATCTGACCCAGTTTCAGGGTCGTGGGAATTGTTTCCATTTCCATTTGCATCTGTCCTTAACAGCAAAACAAGGAAATCATTCAAAAACTTGCCTATCACTAATACTTATCATTTTTATTATATGTACCCTCATATCTGCGGATTTGCCTGTTGTATGTTTTTGAACATTCAAAGAATTGAATTTAAATCACAGCGTACCATTTTAATGTTAAATTAAAAACATGCCTAATTAAAAAAGAGTGTTGAGCTGCAGAAAACAAAAAGTTCAAAAGGTATAGCTTCATCTCTTCTCAGAAAAGGATTACGTGGGTCTAATTCATCAGAGAGAAAAGACCCTACTAATTTTAAAAACAATAATGGAGGCTTAGTCCCTATTTAATTTTGTTTAAGACTGTAATCTTCATGGAAAAAATGATGTTTTTGCACATCTATAGAGTAAGATAAGAAATTTTTTATTTGGTAGATTAGCATATAATTAAGTTTTTAACACAAAATTTTAATTTGCAGTGTGTAAGTCTGCTGGTGAGGAATACAAAGAGTCAGATTACAGATAAACAACTGCAAATTTTGCTCGGATATGCTGAAGAAGATATTTATGACTCATTACGACAAACCACTGCTTTTGGCCTCTTAAAGGTAGTAACGTAACACAGTGTCATTTAAGAATTATTGCTTGAAAATTGAATGACTTATTTTGTATTTTTTTTTTTGGTGAGAATTGAAAATCCTCTCTTGAAATCAGCCAGCCTGGAATTGGAAGCCAGGTGTAAGTGTCTCCTCTTGATACTGACCTAAAGTTTTTGAACTATGAGTCATCAGCCTATCATATCTTCAGCTTAGCTATTTCTCCTGTGGCACATTATTATTCATCATCTTGTTGTATTGCATCTTAGCAAGCAGGATAGTTCTAAGCCACCAGCACTTTGAAAATAAGCTGCTGTTCATCAGGTGAGCAGAATTCCAGTCTTGCCCATCTGACTGAAGATCAGAAGAGATGACAACTTCCAAAGTGGCTGGTTGGACATAAAATAATTTTGATTCTGCCGATTGGATATCTCAAGGGTTGCCTTGTGCTCAGATTGGTTAAATCGTTGGGTTTCTGGCGTGTGATGTTTTTGTATCCTCAGGGCAAAGAAAGGAAAATTCTATTGTAAGTTGCTTTTGATAGATTAGAACAACTTCACCCTGACTCATATTTATACATTATTGTCTTTGTTTTTTAAAAGGCTATTTTATCTAGAAAATTGATAGTTCCAGAAATCGAAGGTGTCATGCAGAAGGTTGCAGATTTTGCCGTTACAGGCCAAAGCGAGCAAGTTCGAATTCAATGTAGACAGGTTTGTAGACATGTTAAAAACATCCTTTTCATTATCATAATTATTTTCTTAGAAGCACTAAGATATTTTAAATAATTTTATTAAATCAGAGATAATGGTCATCTGAGGTGAGAGAGCTAAACTAACCCTTAACAGGCTTATTGATTGGTATTTGCTAGCAGTAGAAAGGACCACACTTAAGATGGAAAGTTTACCCACTGTGGGATGTAGACTCTTAATGTGCTTTGACTAGAATCATATAAACATTCTTTTTTTGCTTCCATATTTGTACACCAACTGTTTTATAAATTCCCTTGCCACTGTCCCCAATTTTTAAAAATGTGTATGTGTGTGTGTGTTTACATTACATTTTTCAATATTGGCTAGTGATTATTTTGGCTGCTAAATTTAAATTAATGAAATTAACTCATGAAGATTTTCCGCTTGCTAACACTTGGATAGTTGTCCTCTCTGTAAATTGGAGAATATACTTAAATCATTTATATTAGTATTATTTTTCCTTGTTCGTTTCTTCCCCCAGATTTACCTGAAATACATAATTGATTATCCCCTTGGGAAAAAGTTAAAACCCAACCTGGAGTGTATTCTTGCCCAGCTTAAGTAAGTAATGTGGATATAATTCTCAAATGAAACCATGAGAGCATAAATACATATTTGCTCTGTTGTTTCGTTTAAATGATTATTTTGTAATTGTTCTCTGGTTTTCCCAGAGAAAAAGCATATGTTCTAAACAAAATCCTGCAGTAGGTCTTATTTATTTTCCAGCCAAGTTTGTTCTGTCTATTACCGCATCTCTCATCAACTTTTCTCTCATTTCTTTATCTCAGGGGTGGGGAACGATGGTCCCATTATGACTTGTGGACTTTAGCTCCCAGAATTCCTGAGCCAACATGGCTGGCTCAGGAATTCTGGGAGCTAAAGTCCACAAGTCATAAAAGGGCATTGTTCTCCAGCCCCGCTTTATCAGAAGATGCCAAGGACTGAATATGGAGCCTCCTGAAAGCTGTGAAATTGGCCTATGGCCTTTAGATTGCCAAATTTCTATTAATGCTTGAATTTTCTAAGCCATGGATGTGTCTATTAAATAAAACTTTATGTAGTAGGTAGACATTTGCATAGCTCTGTTTTTAGCTTAGATATCCTGTCCATTAAAAAAAATATATACCAGGTAATTTGGTTCTGGCAAAGAGCTTGTTATGCTGAACAGCTGAAAAGAGATGATGGAAGAGCTGCTAGCAGTCTGTCTCCCATTTTATTATGAATGAAAGATTGTCATATATATGTGTATTTATTTCCTCTCTTCGCTATTAAAGGAGCAAAAGCACCCTGCACATCTAATAGTGTCATAGGCAGATTGTATGATCAGAATATATTGCTTAATGTTTTATATATCTGGGGCTTCTAAACACGAATGTAAGAATAAATCTAATTGAATGTCACAGGCATTATGCTGTTTGGGCAAAAATCTTGGCAATTTTGGAAGTATTAACTATACCCTGTTAATTGTTTTCACTCTAGTTATGAATATGAGACGGGAAGAGAGTCTGCTTTGGAAATGATTGCTTATCTCTTTGAAACGTTCCCTCAGGTATTGTGCAGTTATCTCACAGATACAATACCCTCTAATTCAGGGGTCCCCAACCTGTGGGTCACAGCCCATTACCAGGCTGTGGCCTCTTGGCCACCGGGCTGCATGAGTGGCTGGCCTGTGTGGGTGGGTGTGCTAGCGAGTGTTGCATGGGTGCTAGTGGTGGCCCCGTTTGCACGTACACATTCGTGCGTAAAGGCACCTGCTCCTCCCCCCTCCAGGCCGCCAACCCAGAAAGGGTGAGGAACTCTGCTCTAATGTTTTTTTTAAACATTGGGCGCTATCTAACAAAACAAAATTCAATGATGAAAAAAGTAAGGTTCTATATTTAGGCAAGAAAAACAAAATGCACAGGTACAGTATATGTGGTACCTTGCTCAATAGTAGTAACTGTGAGAGGAATCTTGGAGTCCTAGTGGACAACCATTTAGATATGAGCCAGCAGTGTGCAGCAGCTGCCAAAAAAGCCAACACAGTTCTAGGCTGCATAAACAGGGATAGAATCAAGATCACATGAAGTGTAAGTACCATTTTATAATGCCTTGGTAAGGCCACACTTGGAATACTGCATCCAGTTTTGGTCACCATGATGTAAAAAAGATGTGGAGACTCTAGAAAGAGTGCAGAGAAGAGCAACAAAGATGATTAGGGGACTGAAAGCAAAATGGCCACAGAGAGAGACAGATGCTGCAAAGATCACTGGGGGTTGTTGTCTCATTTAAAGACAACTTGTATAGCTTACTCTCACACTGGCATACATTGTTGTTGTGTGCAGAAATTTAAATGCGTGCATTGGTGAGAAAATGATGATGATCATTTTTTGTATTTGTGAACAGTTGCTAAGTGAGGTATCCGCTAAACAAGGAGTGGCTGTATTTTGATTGTGGTTTACAGGGGAAAACTGTCATTTTAGAGATTTGCAACCTGTATGATTCCTACTTTATTTCTGCAGGGCTTATTGCATGAGTTTTGTGGCCTATTCTTTGTCCCATTATGTATGATGATAGTAAATGATGATTCAGCAAAGTGCAAGAGGATGGCGGCACTGGCAATCAAAAATCTTCTCAGCAAAATTAGTTCTGCAAACCGAGACCTGATGTTTTCCCTGGTTGCTTCGTGGTTTACAAGTAAAAAGGTAGTATATGGGGCAGAAGTGTAGGTTGTCATTGGCAATTAATCTGTTAATTGGCATGAATAAAATTAAGGGAATGTCAAGTGTCTTAACTTTTATTCAAAGAAAAATTATAACCAACTGAATTTTCTTTGTAGAACTTTCTTGTAGAACACTTATTTTATTACATGGCATTTAGCATTCATTTTCTTGTGGGATTAAAATCTCCACTCAGAATTATGGTTGAGCATGTTGTTGGTAAGGGAGACACACTTAACAGTTTGGGCCTCCTTGCATGTAAAGGATTCATTTATCTACAGGTAGACTAGGGGGTTATACCGTTTGCACCATGTGACACATTGATTTCAAGAAGTGACAATATTTTTAAATTAAATTTAAATCATATTTTTAAACAGGCTGAGTTCTGACTGTTATTTCTTATCATGGCTGTATAGGTCAGCAGCAGTTCTCACAGTAGGAACTGTTAAATTTGTTATTTGTAACGAGGAAATACATTGGAATTCAGTTGTGTTTACATGCTGTTTCAGTCAAAACTCATTCTGAGTGGCTTACCTACCACTTTGGATATTACAATGAAAATAAAACACAGCAAACCATAATACAATAAACAGTAATAACAATAAGTAATAAGAACCTTAGCTCAAGGATGACACTAACCATACAAACCTTACCCGACAGGGAGGGATCAATTCTTAGACTTCAGAATCTTGTTGGTCAGGTTTTAATTAAAAACCCCAAAACACTAGGGATCATTTGATCTTTGGAGTTAGGCAGGGTTAGGATGCCATTCCAGAGAAGGGGTGGGCAATAACAGAGAAATCCTACCATCTTCTATATACGTAGTTGGTATTCTTTAGGGATAGGGATTCAGAAAACCCTTCTTTTCTAGATTTTGTTGGGTGAACAAAATTGATGCTCTTCCTTCCTTCACACAAATTGATTTATTTACTTTCCTCGCCACAAAGACGTGACAAATAGTACTAGTTTGTCTAGGTTGTTTTTTTTTTGTTTTTTTTTGCAAGATGTCTTATTTATGAGAGTTTGTCTTTATTGATAGAGTGTACAGAAGAGATTAGCTGCTCAAGCCTGTGGAGCATTTGTTGAAGCTGAAAAAATTGAATTTGAGAAAAGACTTGGAACTATTCTCCCTGTTATCGAGAGAGAAATTCATCCCTCAAATTTTGAAGAAGTAAGAATTTTAATCAGCAATAATATTTCTGGGAAATTGAAAAGCTGAGAATATTGACCCAACACCTAAATGAGACAAAATGCTTCATTATTTTATAAGAAGGCAGGTTCATGAAAGAAATCTATCAAATTATTTGTGGCAGAAACATGTCATTTTTCCAAGAAGTGTAAAAGGGCCTTATTGAAACAGTTTTAAGAGATAATATATTGTAGCTGTTAATAAGGAGGATAGGGGAAAGTAAAATAGGAGAAAAGAGCTTCTATAAGCTGTTTAGGCTACAGGTGAATAGTCTTCCTCAGTGGGTATGAAGGAAATGAATGGTTGAGTTTCTGTATTATTTTTGATTGTTGTGGCAAACTATTAAGAAATGTTGAATATAGGCCTTGAGCTATAAGAACTCCATTTTCAGTGCTGTAAAATCTGACATGTGTTAGCTTTGCCAGCAATCATGGCGTATCCATTTGTGATGCAGATGAAAGATGCCAGGGTAATACATGACATATTAGTACATAGATATTTTCAGAATGGACCATGGATTTCATAATTAAGGTGATTATCTATAAAGATTCAGTTTAGAGATAGCATGATCTTAATTGGGAAAAGTTTCCTACTCTTTCCCTATATCCATAACAACAGAGGGAAGGAAACTGTTATGGAACTTTCTGGATAAAAGAAAGAAAAATTATTAGGAAGCCAAATTATGCAGTTTATGGTGACTTCTATGTAAACAGATGTGATGATCATCCATTCTTTGTGTTCCTTTGGCTAGGAAATCCTTTGCAAATTTCAATTTCAAATTGAAATTGGAACCTTATCAGAAAAGTGTTTGTGTTGTTTCTGCTCAGTTGTGTTTCAGATTATAGACTCATTGTTCCCATTTGCAGTTGAATTTGCAGTATGATATTAGTATTATCAGTAGGCAGCAACCTAAACCAGGCTATGAAGACTAGTAAGGGATGTATTAATTACTTGAACACTATTGTTTCTGCAGAATATCATTTGTTATCTTCCACGTTCACTTTTTCTTTAAGGTTAAAGAAGAGACTGACGAAAAGCTGGCAGACAGATTGCTCTTCAGCTTCCTAACTTTGCTTGTTAAACTAATCAATGAGTGCAACATTATTCAATTAAACAAACACCATGAGATTCTGATCAACATTTGGGGTTAGTAGTAACGTTTTTTTTCTTCCATTCAGTTGTGTCCAGTTCTCAGAGACAGCCTGGACAAGTGTCTGAAGGTTTTCCAGCAGTGGCTTGCAATGCCTTCTCTGTATGGCTGAGAGAAAGTGATTGGCCCAAGTCAGCCAGTTGGCTTTGTGCCTAAAATGGGACTAGAATTCATGGTTTCTAGTCTGAGATCTTAACCAGTACACCAAACTGGCTCTCAACATTACATTCCTGCAAAAAGAAACTTTGGTGCCTGGCATGTTTATTATGAAGACTGTGCATTTTAAAAAGTGTGTAATGCATAACCGTGTTTTATGTTCCTGCATATAAATAATTCAAGTGATGTCTTTTTCCACCCGTTTTTAAGGTCATGTCCAGTCCCATTTATGGTACCCACACAGCTGGGTGTGGCTGACTTCTGCTCAGATTTTTGGCCTGCTGTTTGCTTCTCACAAGCCAGAAGAACTTGTTAATAAATGGAGTAAAAGAAAAACAGAAAAGAAACAAGTGACACATGAGCCATCAGCAACAATTTTCTTAATAGAGGAACTTAGTGAAAAGGTTACCTTACTATCTTACTTACATTGCTGCATATTCTAAGCCATGGTAGCGCAGTGGTTAGAATCCAGTACTGCAGGCTAATTCTACCGACTGCCAGCAGTTCAATTCTCACCTGCTCAAGATTCAGCCTTCCACCCTTCTGAGTTTGGTACAATGAGGGCCCAGATTATTGGGGAAAATATGCTGACCCTGTAAACCGCTTAGATAGGGCTATAAAGTACTATGAAGTGGTGTATAATTTTAAGTGCTATTCCTATTCCAGTTGGTGGATGGAGCAGAAATTAATATTAATTTCAATATAATTTATTGGTTTCATTAGTTAAAGATCATCAGTGCTAGAGCTTATTCTTTTTGTTGTATTTGTTGCTTCTTTGGGGAGAGTGATTTACTTATATCCAAATTTAGCACCAGGTACATCATATTATCTTGCCTTGCATGTTCCTTTACAGATGAAAACACTTGCTTTAGCTTTCTGCCATCAGCTGAAATCCAAATTTCTCAGTGACAGCCTTGGAGAACAGGTAAATTATTAAGTAGAACTTTGTTGTATTTATAATGCATTTGCTGAAAGAACACATAGTTGAAACAGGTGTAAGAGTTCAAGATCAGAAAGATTAATAAATGATAGCCAGATTTTATGCCATTCAAAAGGCAGTCACAAGTTCCTGGGCCTGACTGCACTCCAGATATGTTTAGTCTCAAGCAGAAAGAAATAACCTTTTTAATGGGATGTTTGTAATCTGAATTATTTTCTCTGTTTTGGCTTTTTTTCTCCTACAGCCATTTTTATTAATCAATTATTCTGTTATCTGAGGCATTCAATATATAAGGAATTTAGACTGTTCTACATGTCAGGAATTATTGTTCCAACCCCTTCTGTAGAAATGCTAGTTCCTTAGGCAAGAGTGATACTTTGGTTTCTGCAAGATAGAAACAGAGATCACTACCCATCGGTAATAGTTTGTGTGTGTGTAGCTTCAAATGGCATGATAACCATGCTAAATCTTTCGCTTTTGCACTAGGCTTAAAGGAGTGTTTCTCAGCCTCAGCAACTCTAAGATATGTGGATTCAACTCCCAGAATACCCCAGACAATATGTTGAAAAACACTAGCTTAGAAGTCATAAAACAAGAAGTTTAATCAAGTAGCTGAAAAACAGTTCATTGAGAAACTGCCCTAAAACTTTTGCAAACGTTTTATAAGTCATTTGGATATCTTTCTTTTGTTTTCTCTTTGTGTTGAAGGTTATAAAGAATTTACTGTTTGTATCCAAAGTACTGTATCTTCTGGCTCCTACTCCAGAAGATGGCAAAGAGATTGGTGAGGATGTGGTTTGGGAAACTGAAGATCAGGGTGACTTAGGAAGTGAAGATGAGAAAGAGGTTTCGGGTATGGAGGCAAAAGAAAAGAGCAGTCCAGCCAGTTTGTTGTGGGTAATGAAGAAACTCCTAGTCATGGCAACAAGAGAAGCTGCTCATTCACCCAAAGATTCTTTAAAGGTTAGTTTGTCTTCTGCAAATAACACCTTCAGCTCAGAAAATACTGTCAAGGTATCAGTGACTTTTACAGTTCACAAGCGCAAATGATTAAAAAAAACCAGGGCAGCTGGAGACTTTCATAAATGGACATGCAAGTGGGAGCAGCATTTTTCCAGTTCAGGGCAAGAAGGCATCCAGCATCAGTTGTTGTCCTTAGCTTCATAGGAAGAGCAGAATTTAAATGAGCAAAAGATCCTCGCTTCAATTCTCTTTGCTGCTTTTGCTCAAGTTATACTGTTATTTTGTTTTGGTTTTTGAAACCTGTTCCAATCCAAGAAGTCTTGCTTTTTTCATTACCTACTTAATAAAACCTGGGGCACAGAGACTCTATTAGTAATTGTACTAAAATATGAACAAGGTTGCCCATGTAATGCTCATCTCAAAGTTAAACTGAAAGAAACCATTTGGGTTTTCACCCTGCAAATGTGGAAAAGGGAAAAGGACCTCTTTTCCCCCCTTTTTCTTCAGATGACTGCTGGGTTCTGCAGTTGCATTCGAGGGGTATGGTCTACGGAGTGCTAAGAAATGCTACCTAGAGTGCATTTGGCCTTGCCAGGCATTGTAAGAAGGGATACAAAAATGAAAGGTTTGGAGAATAGGGCTGTAGAGGCACAGAAGAGGAAGCAGGATCAAATTAGGCTTAACATTAGATATTGAGCAAATCAAACTGTTGTCAGAACTGCTGGAAAATGTTTAGTTTCACTGAGAAAGTACTACCTTGCCACTAATAGTTAACATCTTTGGGTGGTTCTATTGCTTTGTGGGCTAATCTGTTGACCAAATGTGCTTGCCTCTTCAGAGAACCTGCATCTTTAAGTTTCTTGGTGCTATTGCAGTTGACCTTGGGAAAGAGAAGGTAAAACCGTATCTTCCAACAATCATAGCCCCTCTATATAGAGAACTGAGTAGCACGTATGCAGAACAAGGTAAGGGAATTTGCACTCAGGTAGTTGGCATAAAAACATTTATTTTATACTTTCCATATTTTAAAACACCTAGGAAGCTTTCAGTTTTTTTCCAGTAGAATGGATCTATTATTAATGCTTAAAATGGAGCAAGCAGGAGGTTTGGCAACACCTGCAACAGTTTTAAATGGTGCTCATTAACATAATTTTCTTAAAATTTAATAAATTACTAAATTTTAAAACTTGTAGGATTGCTAAATCTAATTTTTTTAAAAATAAGATCATATGAAACTTTTCTACTTGTAATTTTGATTTTTTTAAAAGGTAATTATGCTTTTTGGAGTCAACAACTTTACATATATTGCTTTTGGTCTAAAAGATTGATTTCTTATTGAGGTTCTCTGTTTCTTTGCAGCTACTGCTCTTTTAAATGTCAATATTCCATTCTGGGTCTTATATAGTGAAGTGATTGTGTGTCTCTCATCTCTACAATGCATATAAAGTAACTCGATGAAGAGGTTTTTAAACATGGCAATTGGTGTGAGACACAGTATTTTCTGTGTACTTTTAAACTGTCTTATGGAGATACGGCAAATGGTTCATCTAGGTATCAGGATGCAAAACTAATCTGCTATGCTCCGAAAGCTTGACTCAACCTCTTCTTGTATCCCCTTCATGTATTGGATATTGAAACCCAAAATTCCTTGGCATCTTATCAGTCAGATTGCATAAGAATTATGAAACTTGAGATCCAACGTATCTGGAAAACAGTGTGTCAGTAAAGACTGCTTTATATATTCACTTGCCCCTTGTAACAGCCTAATAGTTGACTACAATTGCAAGCTCTTGGATTCAGATAGTTTGGCTGCATTCTGCAGTAAGGGATTAAGCAAGTATCTGGCAAAAACTTGGTATATATAAATAGCTTGGTGGGTCAAAACCTAAAACTATCAGTGCTGTTTCCCATGCATCTATTTCTGTACTAAATATTTGGCTTTAATCAAGCATTACTGGCTTAATGTTATGCGAGGAGCCTCAGGTTAGCCACCTTGCTTGAGTTAATTATTTTCTGCTCTCACTGTAAAGTCACCTCTTTCCTTTTTACTCTTCTTGCACAGCTGTCAGGCAGAGATAAGAAAGGCCTCTTTCGCCCAAGTTAATTGCAGTTTAGTGTATCCAGGTTCTAAGATTTACTTAAGCTGAACTTTTATCGAAAATTGATGATTTGGTAATCAGAGTCTCTTGGTGTTCAGATGGCTTGGCAAGCTGCACTTAATCTATACCAAAAGAGGTGGCTGAGGATGAAAAGAGCCTGTTTTCTCCTATAAAAAGTGATGGCTCTTTAAAAAAGTATATTTCAAATAATATTTTTGGTGTGAAAATTAAATACTAATGCTGATTTCTGAATAGCCTTCGTTTGAATATTATATTTTATGGAACTTTGTAGAGTATACTACACCTGGACAATTATGCAGAAGATTGAACAATATATAGCATACTTCAGTTTCTATCCTCAGATTTTAAGTAATGAAAATCATATCCTTGCCAGATCCAACTCTAAAGAATCTTTCCCAAGAAATCATAGAACTACTGAAGAAATTAGTTGGATTGGAGGACTTTTCAATTTCATTTGCTTTTGTGCAAAAACAAGCCAGTCAAAGGAGAGCTAAACGAAAGAAACAGAGAGCCCTACAGGTTAGTGTCTACTTCATTTTTCACCTGCATTTGCTTGAAAAAATGACCATCTCATTTGTCACAAGAGGTTTTATTAAAACCAGGCAATTTCAGAAGGTGTGGAGGAAATGGGACTGTCAAAATATTATGATTCTTTGTTTTCCAATAGGCTGTTGCTAATCCTGAGATTGCTGCCAGGAGGAAGTTAAAGAGGCATAAGAATAAAATTGAAGCAAAGAAGAGAAAAATAGAATTTCTACGGCCTGGTTACAAAGCCAAAAAACAAAGAAGCCATGCATTAAAAGATTTGGCAATGGTTGAGTAAAACTCTTATCACATACCTTTTTATACAAAACATTTAATCTTTTCATGTTTGCTTAAAAGAGAAGGCAGAAAACATTTTATGTGATTTTAACAAAATAAGAACAATAGATACAACAGCTTTTATCAACTAAGAATTTGTATTTCTATGGTTTAAAAGGCAAGTATATAGCAGAGGCTATCACATCATCGTCTTTTAAAGTTTGAGATTTGTTTCAGGAAACCATACTTTTGTTTTCAGAAAGAAATACCTACAGGGCTTACTAAATATTTATTTATAATTTTTATTCTTTGTAAATCCTGTTCAACTGGTGGTAATATTGAGAAATCTGTAAAATCTTCAATCATTTCAGTGAGAAAACTTGTGATTAAGGATAGTGAGTTCTCAGCCATTTCAGTTGTCCAGAGATTATTGTACATTAATGTACAGCTTGTGGTAAATGTGTTTTTTTATTAAACTTGATTAAAACTCTCTATTCATAACTGTGCTAAAGTTATTTTGGTAGATTTACTTGTAGCATTAAGTTTATTTCGTACCAGCAAGCATGACACTAGTTTTTTCATAATCAAAATCTCTCATTGTGAAACCGGCTTAATTTCTTTCCATCAAATTTATTTTGATGAGAAGGCTACCTCTTTCAAACAGCATATTAGTGAAATATTATATTTTTCCACTTTAATATCAGCTACATTTCTTTAATTTGTGTACTGTACCAGTTCTTTCAACATTATAGAAAACATTTGCATATGCTGGATTCTCTGATTTTAAGCTTAGAGTTACTAGGTCAGATTCAGTCCATAGTTTGCTAAGTCATGGTTTGTTGAACAAGCCACCAATGGTGAAATTCAAACATTGCACTGAGTAGCAGAATTTACTGTGCATGCCAAAACAGGTAAGATAGGAGTGGCAGTGTTGGGAGGCAAGCTATCTCATTTGTACATGGGTCATGCACCCTGCAGGTGCCACTGGTATTAAGTTGAAAACAAGTTCCTTTTTGCTTTAATATGATTTATGAACTTGGCTTTTTATTTTAAACTGAACTATTGACACACTTTATAAAAAAACTATAACATTTTTAGGACATTTTACTTTTCTTCTAATAACACTTGTGACACCATGAAAGGGGTTTCTATTCCTGTGTTATTCAGTATAATGAAGGGGGTACTTGATAGAATCATCTAATTTCTCTCTGTGAAAATGCTAGGGAGACATTCCCATATCTCTGCAACATACTATTTAACAAAAGGAAATACAGGTAGTCCCTTGGGAGTTGGGCGGCATAGAAATTCGATAAATTAAATTAAATTAAATTAGTCCTTGAGTCCAGTTCATTTAGTGACCATTCAAAGTTATGACACTGAAAAATGTGACTTATGACCATTTTTCAGTTATGACCTTTGTAGCATCCCCATGATCATGTGATCAAAATTCAGATGCTTGGCAACTGACTCATATTTATGACCGTTTCTTTCTCCCAAAGTCATGGGATCCCCTTTTGCGACTTTCTGACAAGGAAAGTCAATGGGGAAGTCAGATTCACTTAACAACCAGGTTACTAACTTAAATGAATTGCAGTGATTCACTTAACTGTGGCAAGGAAAATCATAAAATAGGACAAAATTCACTTAACAAATGTCTCACTTAACAACATAAATTTTGGACTTAATTGTGGCCGTAAATCGAGGACTACCTGAATAAGGATCAAGGTGATTTTTTTACTTACAAATTTCCCTGAAAGAACAGGGCAAGTATAATATGATGGTTTAACAATTTTGAAAAGCCCACATAAATTTTCACCCAATATTCCTGACTTTTAGAAACAGGTTACACAAAAAATGTGCCCTAATTCACCTTCAAATGGGGATTCCTTATATATAACTAGCATGAGACAAAAATGTAGACAGTTAAATATTTATTAGTGTTAAATCGTTTCAGACACTTAAAATAAAGATTTATTCCAATTTTTCTAGCCAATATTCAGTAGAGTATCATAAAAATTGATGTTACGTAACTTACGCAAGATATGAAGTATATATAGTATGCAAACTTTCAGAATGATTGCACAGGAACACCATTTTTTTCAAAAGATAATCTGTCAATCCTATTTACAGCATTGCATTTATTCACATAACCAATGAAGAAAACTTCGTCTGTTTCACTGTCTGCTCTTCAAGGTCTCAACCAGCCTGAAAAAAAAAAATAGAATTGTTTTGAAATTTAAAGATCAAATGTTTTAAAAATAAAGTAATAAATTCATCTTTATGTACTCTGGGTTTCTATAATATGCACTAGGACTGTTCAGAGATCCAAATTCAAAGAGGGAAAAGTGGTTTGGAATGTGCTTCAGCAGGTACTGTTGGCATCTCCTTAAATGAAATGTGGCTTCTTTTGTAAGTTTCTTTATAAACTCAATATGCTACTTCAAAGTTAGTCAGTCTCTCCTACTGTGATCATGGATTCAGATTAGACTACTTCAAGGAACTGCTGATAGGTACTACATGAGCACTGCCAACCCCCATGTGCTCTTAATTAGCTTTTCCTTTTCCCCTTTCAGTCCTAATAAGTAATCTTCTAAGGGAACCAGAACAACAATACTTACCACTCCATAGCCTCATCAAGTCCAGTGCCTTTTGTTGCAGATGTTTTGAATATCTGCCATTTTCTGTCTTTTAGAGCTGGGAGTCCAAGTGCATTTGCCATTTCTGTAGGAGTCATGGCTTGTTCCATATCTTGTTTATTTGCAAATACCACTAAAATGGCTTTCTTTAATTCTTCTTCCTAAAAAAGCAGTCAAAAGATTATATTAGATTTTCAGTACAAAATTATGCTTCCACCATGGAGCACTTAATCACAGGGTGACAAGAGACAGTTAAATAATGAGTGGGGATGTCTAAATCCACAGGTTAGTCAATCTGGGTTAGATTTAGTAAAAGAATTAACATTTTCTTTTGATAGATAGCAACACTGGACTGTCTCTCCTTCGCTGTGTAATGCAGACTTCTACTGAAAGTTATCTGGGATATATCCTGCAATTTGCCCAACATCTAAAAGACAAATTTCTTGCGTTTTCACATTGAACAAAAAAAATTCTGGATCAATTTCATTTATTTTTTGGCCCCCAAAGAATTAAGGTAGCACCCAACTGAATCTCAAGTGACTTAACAAGCATCTAGACATTTATTTCAACACTGAATGACTTCCACAGAACTTTCTGAAGCCCATCATCTTATTTCTGCATGGAGAAAGTACTGTCTCTGTAATCAGAAAAGAAATTTGTGAATACTAGCCTGTCAGGCAATGAAATCTTACCACCTGCTACTTAACAGAATGCTAGTACAGGTAGTCCTTGACTTATGACTACAATTGAGCCCAAAATTTTTGTTGCTAAGTGAGACAGTTCTTAATTGAGTTTTGCCCCATTTTATGACTTTTCTTGCTACAGTTGTTAAGTGAATCACCACAGTTGTTAAGTTAGTAACCCAGTTGTTAAGTGAATCTGGCTTCTGCATTGACTATACTTATCAGAAGACTGCAAAAGCTGATCACATGACTCCGGTATACTGCAATCATCATAAATACGAATTGGTTGCCAAATATCTGAACTTTGATCACATGACATTGGGGATTCTACAACAGTAAAGTGTGAAAAACATTCATAAGTCACTTTTTGGAGTGCCATTGTAACTTCAATTGGTCACTAAGCGAATGGTTATAGGTCGAGGACTACCTGTACAGTAGTCCTGAAAGCCTGTATAGAGTTTATTTGGTTGAAATAATCCAAGGTGTTTGAAGAGGAACTCACTGGAGTTTAGGCCAAAAAGGTGACTCTTACTAGCTTCAAGTGTGATTGGACAAAGACCTAGTTCCACCAAAATAAACTGGCATGCAACAGCATTTTCAGCAACAAAGGAAAGGGTCTCTTATCAGCCCTGCTATGTCCATGATACGCAGTAATTCGCAGATTATAAATCTTAAATTGACCTCTTATTCATCTCCCCTCCCACTCCCCTTAGAATCTATAGCTGTTGAGATGATCCCTGCTAGCCTCAGAGAACAGAAAATCACATTACCAACATTTCTATTTTTTTCCTCTTGCATGATTCATCAAGTGAATAATTATTATTACATTTATCTGACCAAACCCCCAGTGATTCTGGGCAGTTTACAAAACGTTTAAAAACAAGAAACACAAAAACACAAAAATAGTACAAAATGAAAGAACAGATATGACAGGAAAAATAAACCCTGATGGGAACAAGGAAGAGGAAGTCAATTGTCCTCATCAAAAGTCTGGATTTAGGGCCATGCCTTCTGGGGCAGGTGGGGATTATTCAAGTCTTGGTGGAAATTGCATTCCCTCTTGACATGCACTTCCGGGGTTCCCAAAGAAGGCATTGTTTAATCGATGGAACTAGATCGTGCCAACTCTGCCAAATTGAACTGGCTGGGAAAATACTACAGAAGATAAGAAGTTCCTCAAGTAAACAGACCACTGTTATGCACAAACTAAAAGAACAAAAACAAACCCTGATGGGAACAAGGAAGAGGAAGTCAATTGTCCTCATCAAAGGTCTGGATTTAAGACCATGCCTTCTGGGCCCTTCAAAATACCAACAAGGTTGGGATTATTCAAGTCTCAGTGGAAACTGCATTCCCTCTTGACATGCACTTCTGGGGTTCCAAAAGAAGGCATTGTTTAATTGATGGAACTAAATCACGCCAACTGTGCCAAATTGAACTGGTTCAGAAAATACTACAGAAGACAAGAAGTTCCTCAAGTAAACACAGCTCTGTTATGTAGGTTGTTATAGGTAGCAACCAACACTTTAAATCACATCCAGAAGCAAACTGGCAACCAGTGCTACATGGGCATACTGAGGCATGTCCATCACTGCCTGCGCCACTGCATTCTGGACCAGCTGAAGCTTCTGTGTTGCCTTCAAGGGCACCTCCATAAAGAGCACATTGCAGTAGTTAAGGCATGATGTGACCCGGGCATGTATCTAAAGAACAACCAAATCTATGTGCAACTGGTGCACCAAATGAAGCAGAGCAAAGGTCTTTGCACAGCTACCACCTGTTCATTAAGCAGGAGCTGTGAGGACAGGAAGACTCCTAAACTCTGTACTACCATTGAATGGAGAAGTACCACACTATCAAAAGTCAAAGTTGGAATATTCTCAGATCTGGGTGGTCAAAACACTAACCGTTACTATATCTTGATGGGACTGAATGAGAGATCGTACCTCCCAATCCTAACTCACAGACTGCAGGCCTTAGGACAAAATCTCAATAGCCTCAATTGGCTGGCCCAGAGTTGAAAGATATAATTGGACATTATACTGTTGATACCGAATCACAGATTAGCAGATATTAATATATATAAATCCAAAGCCTTCAAAAGAATAAACAAATTAAGCTCATCTAAAGGGTCAACTAAAATGATGCCTGGATTAGTAACAAAAAAGCATTTTT